TATGCATTTGAACCACTGGGAGGAAAGGAAGGAAGGAAGGACAAGAACAGGGAGAGAGGAAGGAAGGAAGGAAGAAAAGGGAGGGAGGGAAGGACGGAGGGAAGGAACAGCAATAGCACTTAGACTTATATACCGCTTCACAGTGCTTTACCACCCTCTCTAAGCTGTTTACAGAGTCAGCCTGTTGCCCCAACAATCTGGGTCCTCATTTTTACTGATCTTGGAAGGATGGAAGGCTAAGTCCAACTTTGAGCCAGTCAGGATCGAACTGCTGGCCCCATCATTTCTAGAGAATGTCATGCAAAGCCAGCTGTCTCATCCAAACCCACAACTTTTGTATACTTCTGTAAGAAAACATGATTTACAAACAGTTACGGCTTGGTTTAAACAAGGCAAAATCATAAGCCGTGGCTTACACAACCACTATGTCTGGGTTCCCACAACTGGGGTTGGAACAAATGGCTTTCATGGACTATAAGATGACAACCATCCACGCATTATATATATTATAGCTCTTGGGCCAGGAGAAAGGTTAGATTATACATATATAAACCAAAGTACATACAGTCATAAAGAAAAATACTTCCTGGTACATTGATGGGGAATTACTTGGGCTGGTGTGTGTAAACAAGAGAAAATTCTCTTTTCTGCTAAGAAAATATTAAGACAAATCAACTGTGCATTATTATTATTATTATTCTGCATAAATCTAAGCCAGTGGTTTTAAAAGTATGCCGTGCTCTTGGTTTAATTGTAGGTGTGTTTCATGTCAGCTATACGGAAAGTCTGTTCAAAGACCACACTATTTTGAGAGCTTAATTAGGATGATTAAATCTTGTTTTAGGGTAATTCTCAGGAACCTAAAAATACTAAATAATCATGAGACTGAAAGGCTGGTGATCCTCCACTTAACAATAACAGAATTTCCATTTCTAACCAAGGCAGTTGTTAAATGAGGTGTGGCCGATTTTACGGCCTTTTTTGGCCACGCTTGTGAAGCCAATCACCGCGGTTGTTAAGTAACTCAGACGGTCGTAAAGCAAATCCAGCTTTTGCTCGTTGACGTAGCTTGTCGGAAGCCGGCTGGGAAGATCGCCAATGTCGGTCAGGTCACCCTGGGACACCTCCGTTGTCCAAAAGACTTGCTGGTTGCCAAGTACTTAAATTGTGATCATGTAACTGGGGGGATTCTGGGACGGTCGTAAGTGTGAGGACCGATAAGTGTAAGTCACTTTTTTTCCAGTGCCGTCGTGACTTTGGACGGTCACCAAACAAGCCTGTAAATATTAAGCTACTGCATTGTAGTGTCCAAGGAGAAAGAGTTGTAAATACAGTACATCAGGGGGTCTTCAAACGTGGCCCTTTTATGACTCGTGGACTTCAACTCCCAGAATTCCTCAGCCAGGCATGCTGGCTGAGGAATTCTGGGAGTTGAAGTCCACGAGTCATAAAAGGGCCACGTTTGAAGACTCCTGCAGTATATCTTCCCACTTCAGTGGATAGCTGCACTTAAACCAATTTTTTTCCTTCCAGGCACAAATGCTTAAGCCCCGATTCTTTCTCCCCTTCCTCTTTTTGGCCTCCGGGCACTCCTACCCCAATGGCTCTGCATTAAACTGGAGAAGTCTGTCTGATGTATGAATCTGCTGTCATTTGCACCTCTTGTGTTATTAATTTGGGAAGCTTCACTCGCTACCAAGTTCAGCAATAACGCTACGAAAGTCCCCCACCCATCTTTCTCTCAGCAGATTGGAAGCTAGTTGAGAATTAACACCTAGAGCAGGGGCAGGCAACCTTGGCTCTTTGATGACTCGTGGACTTCAACTCCCAGAATTCCTGAGCCAGCATGGGGGAAACTTTGGCCCCTTCATGACTCGTGGACTTCAACTCCCAGAATTCCTGAGCCAGCTGAAGTCCACGAGTCATAAAAGAGCCAAGGTTGCCTGTCCTTGAGCTAGAGCAGGGATGGCGAACCTTTTAGAGACCGAGTGCCCAAACTGCAACCCCAAATCCACTTACGCATCGTCGGGTGCTGGGTAGGTGTGGCCTATTGGGTGGGTGTGGCCCATTGGGTGGGCGTGGCTGCGGTGGTAACGGCAGACTGGGTGGGACTAAAAAGTTCAATCAATCAATTCAAACTTTGCAAGAACTTTTTTTTCCCACAGAAGTTGAAATTGACTGATTGATTGAACTTTTTTTTTTTTTTTTGCACATAGCAGCGGAGGCCTAAAGCGAAAAGGTTTTATAAAACCCAGCTGAAGGCCTAGGACTGGGGCGACGGCGCGCGTGCCCACAGAGAGGGCTCTGAGTGCCACGTCTGGTACCCGTGCCATAGGTTCGCCACCACTGACCTAGAGTTTACCTTGGTGGAAGGGTCAGCCATGGGATGGGCCACCTATATAGATCTGGCGTTTTCTGAAACCCAGTTTCTTCCTTCTAGAACTCTGTGTGTGTGTGTGTGTGTGTCCAAACTTGGCAGCTTTAAGACTTCAACTCCCAGAATTCCTCAGCTAGCCATGCTTAAGGTTGCCATGTTTGGAGACACCACCGCCCCTTTCTAGGAGACAGTTTGCCCTTCAGGTCATGTGGATGACCTCCTTCTTAACCCTGGTGTCTTGCTAGTCCACCCTTTCCCATTTGAATGTAAAAAATGGCTTGGGGAATTGACCTTAAAATGTACCCTCCATTTAGGAGAGCTCCCTGAAGCAAACAATGAACTGCAAAACTAGAGTTAATTGAGCAGGTTTGCAGATGCTTGCCCCCCAAATTCAGGATTCTGAAATTATTATTATTATTATTATTATTATTATTATTATTATTATCGATCATCGCACAGTCAGCCAGATATTCAGATTGGATTTGGCATTTTGTCTACCTATCGAGTCCTTACCCAGGACCTGGGATAGGCAGATGTGGATGTTTGATGGTATTACACAGCAGTTCCTAATAAGGCTGCCTTTTGCAATTGACTAATAGCGAATTTGTCAATGCCAATGGTGTTCAAGTGGTGCTCCAGTTGTTTTGGGATTGCACCCAAGGAGCCTATGACTATTGGTACTACCCTTGCTTGCTTTTGCCACAGTCTTTCTATTTCTATTTGTAGGTCTTTGTATTTTGTTATCTTCTCCAGTTCTTTCTCGTCTATTCTGCTGTCTCCAGGCACTGCCACGTCCACTATCCAGACTTTTTTGTCTTTCTTATCGACAATTGTTAAGTCTGGGGTGTTACGTTGCAGGTGCTTGTCTGTTTGAATTGTGAAGTCCCAGAGCAGTTTAATTTTATCATTTTCTATGATTTTCTCTATTTTATGATCCCACCAGTTTTTGCTTACAGGCAAATGATATTTTTTGCAGATCTTCCAATGCACCATTGTTGCTACTTTGTCATGCCGCTGCTTGTAATCAGTTTGTGCAATCTTCTTCTTGTTGTTGTTGTTATTATTATTATTATTATTTAAAGAAAGCTAAACAAAAGAGTCCTTGGACTTGGAATGCTCGGCTTGCTGACAAATACCCTTAAAACCGAAATGCACGGCAGCTACAACCCCTTGCAAATGTCTTCTGTGGCCAGGGATGGTGTTAATGGTGGAGTTATCCTTTTCTGAATGACGGAGCCAGGCACGGGTTAGGATTGGGTGGGGGTGGGGGGATGGTCATCTCTCTGCTTCAGTAATCAAGGTTAGATTCTAACCTTGTAATTAGGGGCCTGCCTGCCTGCCTGCCTACCTCAGGCCTGACCCCAACATTTTGTGACGGTCTCTTTGGCAGCTCCTGAAGCTGTTCAGGTTGGCTTGGCTGTTTTCTTTGAGTAAATATTTGTGCTTAATGGCTCTTATCAGTTTACATGCTGGTGCCAGGCTTCCCAGTTAATCACAAACCACCCACAGCTGCACAATCTTGCAGAAAACAGTCTGGAGGGACCTTTGAAGGAATGCCAGTCTCTTTTTCCTTAATAACTAATAGCCCAAAGAGGGCTTCCTCTTGGAAAGAGGAGGAAGAAGAGAGAGAGGGGGGGAGAGGAAAGAGAGAGAGAGAGAGAGGGAGAGGGAGAGGAAAGAGAAAGGGGAGTGGAAAGAGGGAGAGGGAAGGAGAGGGAGAGAAGGGGAGAGGAAAGAGAGAAAGGGAGAGAGGGAGAGGAAAGAAAAGGGAGAGGAAAGGGAGAGAAAGAGGGAGAGGAAAGAGAAGGGGAGAGGAGAGAGGGAGGGAAGGGGAGAGGGGGGAGAGGAAAGAGAGATGGGGAGAGGAGAGAGAAAGGGAGAGAGAGGGAGAGAAAAGAGAAAGGGGGCAATGAAAGAGAGAGAGCGCGGGAGAGGAAAGGGGGGAAAGAGGGAAAGAGAAAGGGGGGAGGGAGAGGGGGAGAGAGGAAAGAGGGAGAGAGAAAAAGAGGGAGAGGAGAGAGAGAGAGAGAATGGGGGGTGAAGGAATCTGTTGAACATCGTGTGGGAGCATCACATTCACAAAAAAAGACAAGTTTAGCCTAATGGTTAAAAGTGCTGACCTACAAAGCAGGAGATTGCAAGAGTTCTAGTCCCGCTTTAGGCATAAAGGTCAGCTGGGTGACTTTGGCCCCATCACCAGGAGACGGTGAGTTCTAGTCCCACCTTAGGCATGAAAGCCAGCTGGGTGACCTTGGACCAGTCCCTCCCTCTCTCAGCCCAGCTCACCTCAATGGGTTGTTGTTGTTGTTGTTGGGGGGGGAAATAGGAGGAGGAGGAAGCATTAAGTATGTTCATCACCTTGAATTACTGACAAAGGGAGGATAAAAATCTAGCAAATAAATAAACGAGCAAGGCTGAGCTACTGGCTGCTCCCAAAAACCCTTACTCCTCCCCGCACCCTTCGGCTTCTTATCTCCAGGTACTGTCCACTTCTGAGGTTCTTCTTTGTGTGTGTGTGTGTGTGTGTGCACACGTGCTTCTGAAGCTCCTGGTGCCCAAGCAAGGGGGGCCTTTCGTCACTGGCAGCTCCTCTACCTCCCTCTCTTTCTCACTCCCTTTTCAGCCCAGAATGTGACTGTGGAAGAAGTTCTCACCGCCTACAAGCAAGCTTGTCAAAAGTTAAATTGCAAACAGATACCCAAACTACTGAAGCAGGTCCAGGTGGGTGCTTGTTCTTAAAGGTATCCCTGCCTTGATTGATTAGATCTGGCTGTGGGAGGAGGAGGAGGAGGTGGAGGTGGTTATATCCGTCTTTGGGCTTTATTTTTGGCAGCCGTAGGAAACCATTTTGTGCTGAGGCACGCCCTTGGTCTACCTAGGCCAGGGGTAGGCAACCTTGGCTCTTTTATGACTGGTGGACTTCAACTCCCAGAATTCCTGAGCCGGCATGGCTCAGCTTGGAAACCTGTCCCTTTCCCCTCAGCATGGCTGGCTCAGGAATTCTGGGAGTTGAAGTCCACAGGTCATAAAGTTGCCATAGTTCCCACCCTGTCCTGAGGGATCAGGTTAGGACAGGAGTGGGCAACCTTGGCTCTTTTAGGACTCATGGACTTCAACTCCCAGAATTCCTGAGCCAGTATAGCTCAGCTTGGAAACCTCTCCCTTTCCCCTCAGCATGGCTGGCTCAGGAATTCTGGGAGTTGAAGTCCACGAGTCATAAAAGAGCCAAGGTTGCCTATCCCTGACCTAGGTGCTGTTCATACAGGCAGTCCTTGACTTACAACCCCAATTGAGCTCAAAATTTACATTGCTAAGTGAGACTATTGTTAAGCGACTTTTGCCCCCATTTTACGACCTTGTCATCGTTGTTAAACAGATCACTGCAGTTATTAAGCTAGTAACACGGTTGTTAAGTGAATCTGGCTTTCCCGTTGACTCGGCTTGTCAGAAAGGTCACCAAAAGGTGATCACAGGCGCCCAGGACATTGCTAACGTCATAACTATGACTCTGTTGCCAATTTTGACCACGTGACCACGGGGAAGCTGCAATGATCCTAAAGTGTGAAAAACGGTCGTAAAGTCATTTTTTTTTTCAATGCCCTTGTAACTTTGAACGGTCCCTAAATGAACAGTTGTAAGTCAAGAACTAGCTCCACAGCCTTCCCAAGCTTTTCAGGCAAGATCTTTTCCCAGTCCTTCCTGGAGAGACTTGAATCCAGATCTTCTATTCATAGAGGCTACTCTCAATTTCTCATAGCATCTCTCCATCCAAGGAAAAGGAGAAAGGAGATTGCCTCTGATCTCAAGCAAAGTTGCAAAATTCTCTTTAGCATCCATCGTTGGATTTTGAATTTTAGGGGTTCCATCTTGAGAACCATGGCCAGGAAGAAAATCGTAGAGCCGAAGCAAATTGACTTGGCTTCTGAAGAAGGTCTGAGGGAGATTTGGACTTTTTGCTTATGATTTATTTATTTATTTTTTTATTACATTTATCTGTGCTTCCCATCTTACTATCCAAAGTTATAAGACACCCGCAGGGCCCTGGCACACTCCCGTGCTTCTCTCCCACCCTTGCCATAAATCATAATTTGCTATTCTTCTGTTGCAGGAATTTAAAGATCTAACCCCTCGGATAGATTGCCTGGATCTAAAAGGTATGTCTTCCAGCCTTTCGTCAGCAGAGCTGTTTGCCGACACGGTCACACCTTACCCTCTTCCCGTTCAAGAATTGGTTCCAGTTATCTGCATTTGAAAACAGCCCCCCTTTTTGCAAAGGCGGGCAGAATGGATGTCACAGACCCTGGGGCCATTTTTGCCGACTGCCACGTGCAAATTTGTCACTATCCTTTGCCGTGTGTCATCCGACGTTCTAAAACTGGCTCAGGTTTATCACCGGCTTGCCACGGACACTTCTGCGGTTCATCTTTCTCCAGTTGTAGATTTGCAAAGTGAATCAAGCTTGGGGTGGGGTGGGGGAAAATCACCAATGCACCCAATAGTGCAACCAGATTTGACAGGTGGCTGATGAACACCTGTATCATCTTTTCCACAATAAGCCAGAATGACGCACGACCCTCTTTGGATTCACCTGCAGTGAACTTTCCTCTCCCCCCACCCCCCCAGTTCCCTCCCCTGGTTTATATTTCATAACTAAGCAGTCCCCTTTAAAGCCCTGGGTAAACATTGTGTTTGCACAAGGATGACAGCCTCTTGGCTGCAAGGTGGTTTTCCTGTGCAGGGCTGCTAAACAGAAGCTTCGTTTCAAAAGAAAATGCCTGTTCCCAGAGAGGGGGGGGCAGGGCCATAAATTTGTCAGGGCTCCAGGTGTGTGTGAGAGTGTAGACGTCATCTGAATGGAAAACGAATGGGTCACACTTGACAGCCGAGAGAAGAAAGAGCAGCCCTGTCTGGGTTAAACAGCCACTGCTCTGAGCATCCTTCCTGACCTGGGCGAAATTTGCATCATGAGCGCAGTTTTTTTTTCCAATTCATGGTGCTTTGTGAATGGGCACTTCATCATTGTTATCAGGAGTTTGAAAGGGGGCAAAGAAAGCCCGGATTTTCCGTTGCTAAGCAAGACCATTTTGTGTTGTGCCCCGTTTGATGAATAGAATAGAATAGAATAGAATAGAATAGAATAGAATAGAATAGAATAGAATAGAATAGAATAGAATAGAATATGGGAATAGAATAGAATGGAACAGAACGGAATAGAATAGAACAGAACAGGGAATAGGATAGGATAGGATAGGATAGAATAGAATAGGGAATAGAACAGAACAGAACAGGGAATAGAATAGAGAATAGAATAGAATAGAATAGGGAATAGAATAGAGAAGAGAATAGAGAAGAGAATAGAATAGAGAATAAAATAGGGAATAGAAGAGGAGAGAAGAGAATAGAGAATAGAATAGAATAGAGAATAAAATAGAGAATAGAATATAATAGGCAATAGAATAGAAGAGAATAGAATAGAATAGAGAATAGAATAGAGAATAGAATAGAATAGGGAATAGAAGAGAATAGAATAGAGAATAGAATAGAATAGGGAATAGAACAGAATAGAACAGAACAGAATAGAATAGAATAGAATAGAATGTCAGAGTTAGAAGGGACCTTGGAGATCTTCTAGTCCAGCCCCCTGCTTTTCCAGGCCTCGTTGATCTTACCCTCATTTTAAGCCTCCCAACTACTGCGATCTGTGCAGCTTTTCCCCCAGTTAGCGATTCAGCCATTCACAGCCATAATATATATATCTATGGGTCTGACAGCTAGGTATACCAACTTGATTCTTGATTTGAGGTAGCCTTGCCCTGGGCAGCTCACCCCCCCTTTCCTGAGCAGGGAGACGTTTGGTGCATTGAATCCCAAGAGTGTCTAAAACAGTGTTTCTCAACCTTGACAATTTTAAGGCATGTGGATTTCAACTCCCAGAATTCCACAGCCAGCAATGCTGGCTGTGGAATTCTGGGAGTTGAAGTCCACATGCCATAAAATTGTCAAGGTTGAGAAACACTGATCTAAAATGTCTCTTCCTTTAATTCTTTCCAACTGGCTGGTCATAAATCCCCTCCCTCCCCTTTTAAACCTTTACATACTGTTTGTTTTCTCTTGTTTTACAGGTGAAAAATTAGACTACAAGGCTTGTGAAGCTCTGGAGGAGATTTTTAAGCGCCTCCAATTCAAAATTGTGGATTTGGAGCAAACCAGCCTCGATGAAGATGTATGTAACCTAGAAAGATTTTTTTGTTTTTTTAAATATTCCTCTCTTGTCTCCTGGGGGAGCAGAATGCCGTACCTTCCCCTCCCCCCCTCATTCCAAAGTGACCGTCTCAGGAATCGAAAAGGTACGCTTTCTCTCTTGAGGACCACAGCCTTGTGTAGACTCCAAGCAAGCCTTATTAAACCAAGTTGGGCTTGCTGTCGACAAAGGGCCCCCGTTGCTTTTGTGTACAAATTCATAATCCAGTTCGAATTGACTGTCTGGAAAGACGTCTGTGGAGGGTCTCCATCATCTAGGGCAGTGATGGCGAACCTTTTAGAGACCGAGTGCCCAAACTGCAACCCCAAACCCACTTACGCATTGTCGAGTGCCGGGTGGATGTGGCCCATTGGCTGGGTGTGGCCCATTGGGTGGGCATGGCCAATTGGGTGGGTGTGGCCAATTGGGTGGGTGTGGCCAATTGGGTGGGCATGGCTGCAGTGGTAATGGCAGACTGGGTGGGACTAAAAAGTTCAATCAATCAATTCCAACTTTGCAAGAACTTTTTTTTTCCGCGAGAAGTTGAAATTGACTGATTGATTGAACCTTTTTTTTTTTTTTGCACATGGCGGTGGAGGCCTAAAGCGAAAAGGTTTTATAAAACTCAGCTGAAGGCCTAGGACTGGGCCGACGGCGCGCGTGCCCACAGAGAGGGCTCTGAGTGCCGCCTCTGGCACCCGTGCCATATAGGTTCGCCACCACTGATCTAGGTCCTGGTTGTCCCAAAGGTATTTTTTCAAGAGGCAACTGGACTTCCTTTGTTGTTGTTGTTGTTTTCCCTTGCAGACATTTCGCTTCTCCTCCAAGAAGCTTCCTCAGTTCTCGGATGAGAAGCGAAATGTCTTCAAGAGAAAGAAGAAGAAGAAAAAAGAATGTCTGGAAAGAGGCATCTTGCTTTTAAACTGCAGGAGGTAATGTCTTCGTAAATGGAAACGAAATTAAATGAACTTTGCTAACTTTGCTAATTCGGCACCGGTGCCTGGGATGCAGGCAAGGTGATGGTTTGGGATGCTACCCTCTGCTCAGGCTGTTGCTGTGTTTTTTTTTTTTTTCCCTCCTCCCTCTCTTGTTCGCTAGGGTGCATCGGCACTGTTCGATATGATTGAGTACTACGAATCTGCTACGCACCTCAACATCTCCTTTAACAAACACATCGGCACCCGGGGCTGGCAGGCAGCTGCACACATGATGAGGAAGGTTTGTGCCGAAGGTCTCCTAAGCTTCATTTTGGAAAAGTCATAGGCAGGCACGGGGAAGGACAAGAGAGGTCGAAATAACCAACAGACAGGCGGTCCTTGACTTAAACCAGTGGTTCTTAACCTTTTTGAATGAATCGCCCCCTTGAGCCAATGAGGAAGTTGTCATCGCCCCCCTCCCCCAACATAACCTCTCAATTACAACCTAGGAAATAATTCTTCGATTTATGCAAACCCTTGATTTGTTTTCTTTAACATTGTCATCAGGACATAGCGATGCAAATAATTTATTTCCAGTCTTTTTCCCGTATCTCCCATATTCTGGCCAATGGCGCGCCACTGTATGGGCAGAGGCTGCTGCGCAACGCGCACGAAGATAAGCGATGCGTCTTCACATATGTACGGCGTTCTGTACTGAAGCTAGCTGGAGGAACATTTGAAAACACAATTCAATCCACTAAGAGCGAGCGATCTGATGTTTTTGTACGACAGATATACAGCGATTCACTGTACGAAAAACTCTCAAAAGTGTCCCCAAAACTTCTCGCTCCATCGCCCCCACATCGCCCCTTTTCATTCCTTCGCCCCCCTGAAAAATGAAATCGCCCCCTGGGGGGCAATATCGCCCAGGTTAAGAACCACTGACTTAAACGACCGCAATTCAGCCCAACATTTCTGTGGCTAAGTTGAGAGATTTGTTGTGAAGTTTGCCCCGTTTTACGACCTTTCTTGCCAGCGTCGCTGAATGAATCCCTGCAGCTGTTCAGTTAATTAACCCGGTTGTTAAGTGACTCTGGCTTCCCGCTTGTCAGAAGGTCGCCAGAGGGGGGAATCGTGTGACCCTGGGACAGGGCGTCCGTCGTAAATGTGAATCAGTTGCCAAGCGTCTGAATTTTCTTCCTGTGACCGTGGGGAAGCTGCAACGGTCGTTAAGCGTGAAAAATGGTCATAAATCACTTTTTTCCCAGTTCTGTCGTAACTTCGGACAGTCACTGTAAGTCGAGGACTCCCTGTAATGGAAATGCCATTCCTATCTTTTCTCCTGAATTGGAGGCAAATCCTAGGGATGGACTTACGTCTATCTGTATCCGACTTTGTGGAGGTGGAGGAGTGGCAGAGCTGGGGGCAGAGTTAAAAGAGGGATCAGCCTAATAATCATAATAATCATAATCAAGTTGGAAAGGACCTTGGAGGTCATCTAGTCCAATCCCCTGCTCAGGCAGGAAACCCTATACCATTTCAGACAAATGGCTGTCCAGTCTCTTCTTACAAACTTCCTGTGTTGAAGCATTCACCGTTTCTGGAGGCAGGTTGTTCCACTGGTTAATTGTTCTCACTGTCAGGAAGTTTCTCCTTAGTTCTAGGTTGCTTCTCTCCTTGATCAGTTTCCACCCATTGCTTCTTGTCCTGCCTTCTTCGGGTGCTTTGGAAAATAGCTTGTCTCCGTCTTCTTTGGGGCAGCCCCTGAGATATTGGAATACTGCTATCATGTCCCCCCTCATCCTTCTCGTCATTAAACTAGACATACCCAATTCCATCAACCGTTCCTTATATGTTTTAGCCTCCAGTCCCCTGATCATCTTTGTTGCTCTTCTCTGTACTCTTTCTAGAGTCTCGGCATCTTTTTTGCATCGTGGTGACCAAAACTGGATGCAGTATTCCAAGTGTGGCCTTACCAAGGCCTTGTAAAGTGGTATTAACACTTCACGTGATCTTGATTCTATCCCTCTGTTAATGCAGCCTAGCCCTGTGTTGGCCTTTTTGGCAGCTGCAGCACACGGCTCACAAGCGAGCTAAGTCCAACTTCCTGTGAATTCCATCAGCCCAGATCTAGCTGCAAGCAGGTGCTAAGCTTTAGTTGAGAAGATTCCCATGCACAGGCTATTTGGACTTTCACGTGGATCTGGTCTTTTGGGCTTGACCCTTTGCTGTTTTCTTTCTCCCCCAGACAAACTGCCTCCAGTACGTGGATGCCCGCAACACGCCTCTTCTGGATCACTCGGCCCCATTTGTGGCCCGCGCCTTGCGCATCAGCAACAGCCTGGTTGTCTTGCACCTGGAGAACGCTAGCCTGTCGGGCCGTCCCCTCATGCTACTGGGTGAGTAGCTTGGACTGTTCTTTTGTTAGCGTTTTGCACCCCTTTGCCCCCACCCCGTGCTGCAGTTGTTCCGAATCCCCTGTTAAAGAGATCCAGTTGCTTCTTGTGAGTAAGTTAACATCTTAGGCACAGAGAGCAGTTGTGGTCATGTGAAAAACAAATGTCAGGACTGAGGGGTCCCTGGTGCTCTCGGAGCTTGGTGGTTTTCCTGCAGACATTTGGTGACCCAAACTAGGTAACATCATCAGCGCTAGAAGGATGTAGGTAGGGTTTGCTCTTTGTAAAGTCTGTGAAGGTAGCATTGATGATGTTACCTAGTTGGGTCATGAAATGTCTGCAAGGAAACCACCAAACTCAGAGAGCACTGACCCAACAGTCCTCCTCCTCCTTCTTCTTCTTCTTCTTCTTCTTCTTCTTCTTCTTCTTCTTCTTCTTCTTCTTCTTCTTCTTCTTCTTCTTCTTCTTCTTCTTCTTCTTCTTCTTCTTCTTCTTTCTTCTTCTTCTTCTTCTTCTTCTTCTTCTTCTTCTTCTTCTTCTTCTTCTTCTTCTTCTTCTTCTTCTTCTTCTTCTCCTTCTTCTCCTTCTCCTTCTCTTTCCCCTCCTCCTCCTCCTTCTTCTCCTTCTCCTCCTCCTTCTCCTCTTCTTCCTCCTCCTCCTCTTCTTTTTCTTTTTCTTCTCTTTCTCCTCCTCCTCCTTCTTCTCCTTCTCTCCTCCTCCTCCTCCTCCTCCTCCTCTTCCTCCTCCTTCTCTTCTTCTTTTTCTTTTTCTTTTTCTTTTTCTTTTTCTTTTCCTTCTCCTTCTCCTATTCCTCCTCTCCTCCTCCTCCTCCTCCTCCTCCTCCTCCTCCTCCTTCTTCTCTTCTCTTCTCTTCTTCTTCTTCTTCTCTTCTTCTTCTCTTCTCTTCTTCTTCTTCTTCTTCTTCTTCTTCTTCTTCTTCTTCTTCTTCTTCTTCTTCTTCTTCTTCTCCTCCTCCTCCTCCTCCTCCTTCTCCTCCTTCCTCCTCCCCTTGTAGCACTGATAATTTTACCTAGTTTGGATCATGAAAAGTCTGCAAGGGAACCACCAAACTCAGAGAGCACTGACCCAACAGTTCTTCTTCTTCTTCTCCTTCTCCTTCTCCTTCTCCTCCTCTTCTCCTCCTTCTCTTTCCCCTCCTCCTCCTCCTCCTTCTTCTCCTTCTCCTCCTCCTCCTCCTTCTCTTCCTCCTCCTCCTCCTCCTCTTCTTTTTCTTTTTCTTCTCTTTCTCCTCCTCCTCCTCCTTCTTCTCCTTCTCTCCTCCTCCTCTTCCTCCTCCTCCTCCTCCTCTTCTTTTTCTTTTTCTTCTCTTTCTCCTCCTCCTCCTCCTTCTTCTCCTTCTCTCCTCCTCCTCCTCTTCCTCCTCCTCCTCCTTCTCTTCTTTTTCTTTTTCTTTTTCTTTTTCTTTTCCTTCTCCTACTCCTACTCCTTCTCTTTCTCCTCCTCCTCCTCTTCTTCTTCTTCTTCTTCTTCTTCTCCTCCTCCTCCTCCTCCTCCTCCTCCTCCTCCTTCTCCTCCTTCTCCTCCTTCCTCCTCCCCTTGTAGCACTGATAATTTTACCTAGTTTGGATCATGAAAAGTCTGCAAGGAAACCACCAAACTCAGAGAGTACAGTACCAAGGACCTCAACAGTCCTTCTCCTCCTCCTCTTCCCTTTCTCCTTCTCTTCCATTCCACAAACCGCACTCTCCTGTAGCACCCAGAGCTACAATTATTTTCCTTTAAATGTCAGGCAGTATTTCAAAAGTGCGTACAAGCCAAATGAAATGGTTCCCCTCACCTCTTCCCCACATTCTCTATCAACTCATTGTTATCTTGATTCCTCCCCCCCCCCCAAGTGAGGCCCCCTTGGCCGATTCCACTGTGATATTTTATCTTCTAAGGCTGCTTCTAGAGTTTAGGAGAGACAATGGACATTCTTGCAAATAAAGATGAAGAGCGTGAATAATGTATTGGAACCAGCCTGGCGGACTTTTAACATGCAGACCTGCAGCAATAATAAATGAAGGCTGAAAGACTATCCTCTTTGGTCCTGGCAACGATAGCCAGCATTAGTTGACTTGGTTGTTTTTCCATTCCAAACCTCTGGAGGAGGAGGAGGAGGAGGAGGAGAGGAGGAGAAGAGGAAGAAGAAGGGGCTACCCTTGAAGAGCGTTCGGAGGCTGCAGTTGGTTCAGAACACAGCCGCGAGAGCGATTGTGGGCGCGCCAAGGTACGCCCACGTGTCACCTATCCTCCGCGAGCTGCACTGGCTTCCTGTGGGTCTCCGGACGCAATTCAAGGTGTTGGTTATCACCTTCAAAGCCCTTCATGGCATAGGGCCAGGTTACTTACAGGACCGCATTCTGCCGCACAGCTCCCAGAGACCGGTGAGGTCCCATAGATTGGGCCTCCTTCAGGTCCCGTCGGCCAGACAATGTCAGCTGGCGGGCCCTCAGGGAAGGGCCTTTTCTGTGGTGGCTCCGACCTGGTGGAATCAACTTCCCCCCGAGGTTCGAACTACTCCCACCCTGCCGGCCTTTAAGAAGGCCGTTAAAACCCTCCTGTTCCGGCAGGCCTGGGGCTGATGTCCCCGGGGGGGCGGGATATGATCGGACTCGTGGTATGACTGCTTTATTTTATTGTTTTATCATTGTTTTAACTTTGTACGCCGCCCTGAGTCCTTTGGGATTGGGCGGCATATAAATATTTGAAAATAAATAAATAAATAAATAATGAGGAGGAGGAGGAGGAGGAGGAGGAGAAGAAGAAGAAGAAGGAGAAATAATCATCATCATCATCATCATCTGCAAAAAATATCATTTGCCTGTAAGCAAAAACTGGTGGGATCATAAAATAGAGAAAGTCATAGAAAATGATAAAATTAAATTGCTCTGGGACTTCAGAATTCAAACAGACAAGCACCTGCAACATAACACCCCAGACATAACAATTGTCGATAAGAAAGACAAAAAAGTCTGGATAGTGGACGTGGCAGTGCCTGGAGACAGCAGAATAGACGAGAAAGAACTGGAGAAGATAACAAAATACAAAGACCTACAAATAGAAATAGAAAGACTGTGGCAAAAGCAAGCAAGGGTAGTACCAATAGTGATAGGCTCCTTGGGTGCAATCCCAAAACAACTGGAGCACCACTTGAACACCATTGGCACTGACAAATTCGCTATTAGTCAATTGCAAAAGGCGGCCTTACTAGGAACTGCTTCCATCCTGCGACGGTATCTGTAATACCATCAAACATCCACATCTGCCTATCCCAGGTCCTGGGTAAGGACTCGATAGGTAGACAAAATGCCAAATCCAGTCTGAACATCTGGCTGACTGTGCGATGATCCATAATAATAATATATGGCCCAGCTAGGAGTGTGCTTTGTTCCACCTCTATGGCTACTTTTTATGACCAATTGATGAGTTCCCACCCTTATTAGAAAAATTGGGTAGGCATCAGTTGCGGGAATTGGGTTTATTTAATGAAAAGGATTAGGGAGGACATGATAGTGTTCCAATATCTGAGGAGCTGCCCCAAAGAAGAGGGGGGTCGACCCATTTTCCAGAGTTCTAGAAGGCAGGACAAGAAATGATGGATGGGCACTAATCAAGGAGAGAAGCAACCTGGAACTAAGGGGAAATTTCCTGGCAGTGAGAACAATTAACCGATGGAACAACCTGCCTCCAGAAGTTGTGGGTGATCCCTCACTGGAGGCTTTTAAGAAGCTTCCAGTGACGGGAGGCTTGTCCTGTTCTGCCTCCAGATGCTTTGGAGAATAGGTTGACCCCCTCTTCTTTATGGCAGCCCCTCAAATATTGGAAGACTGCTATCCTGTCACCCCACATCCTTCTTTTCACTAGACATACCCAATTCCTGCCACCATCCTTTGTATGTTTTATCCTCCAGTCCCCTAATCATCTTCGTTGCTCTTCTCTGCACTCTTTCTGGAGTCTCAACATCTTTTTTACACCGTGGTGACCAAAACTGGATGCAGCATTCCAAGTGTGGCCTTACCAAGGCCTTGTAAAGTGGCATTAACACTTCAGGTGAAGCATCCCTTGATCACTGTGCAAAACAAAATCTTAGACTAACTGGGCCTCCAGCTTAATCCATAGGGCTTTTTTATTTTCACAGCTTAAAAGAACGTTAGGTAAAAGAAGTTGTGAAAAGAAAGGCCTCTTCAACACAGCCTTGGCTGCAGGGTGTCCCTCGGCTTGTGTCATGGTGAAAAACCCCATCTCTTCACTTTGAACATCGGGATGGGATTTACACCATGGCCTCGTTGCAGCCAACTCTCATGTTTGCATCCTTGCAAAATGACAGCCACAGGGGACTGGACGTTTTGTTCTTCCGCCCAAGTTCTCGCTTGCTCATTGTTTTATTTTTCTCTTTGTTAGCGACGGCTCTGAAAATGAACATGAACCTGCGGGAACTTTACCTGGCGGATAATAAACTCAACAGCCTCCAAGACTCGGCTCAGCTCGGCAACCTGTTGAAGTTCAACTGTTACATACAGATCCTGGACCTCAGGAACAACCACATCCTGGATTCAGGTAGGGGAACTCCTGCCTCAAGCATCCTCATTTTGGGAGGGAGGGAAGGAAGGAAGGAAAGTAAGGAGGAAGGGAAGGGGAATGGGAAGGGAAGGGAAGGAAGAAATTGCAAATTCATTCTCAGCTGTAAGGTTCCAGGTAGCCCTTGACTTAAAATAGATCGTTTAGTGCAGTAGTTCTCAACCTTTTTAATGCCGCGACCCCCAACCGGTTGTAAGTCGAGGACTACTCAACCGGTCGTAAGTCAAGGACTACTCAACTGGTGCAGCACCGTTTGCAGAATGGGACTTTTGGCGGGCTCAGCAGGCAGAGACAGCCTGGACAATTCCTATTGGCTTTTGAAAGCCAATAGAATTAGACTCTATTCAAGAGAGTCTATTCTATTGGCTTTCAAAAGCCAATAGAATAAAAGGGAGGAGCACAGCTAAGGAAAAGGGGGAAAAAATGGCGGACTGCGTTGTTTGGCGACCCCCGTGAAATGGTCGTTCGACCCCAGATGGGGTTGCGACCCATAGGTTGAGAACCACTGGCTTAGTGACTGGAGCTATGATGGATCTGCTGGGGAGATACATGACCTGAATTTGGAGCTAGGACTGACTGTCTCTCCCAGCCCCCCCCCCCCCATACACACACACATCCCAAACTCATCAACTTTGGGTATTTGGCAACTTGGGTGCATTTATGTTTGCAGCATCCTGCAGCCGCACAATTAGATTTTACAATGGTTTTGCAACCACTATTTACTTCCATTTGGGGGGTGAAACTGCACCCATAACTAACCACTGCAAAACAGGCCATCATACTGAGTAGGTCATGCAAGCTCCATTATGATCGTAATTTGAGGACTGCCTGTTCTCAGATTCCAAGCCAAGAAAAATTCAGATGCTGTGGCTTGAAGACATCTCTGCAAATGAACTAATAAGCTTTTGTACATCTGATTGACTTCTGCAGAATTTATTTTGGCCTCGCTGGTCAAAGGATACATAGAAATGTCCCGAGAGTAAAAATAAGACTTTCATTCAGAAAATATGAGCATCTTACTTACGGGTTCATTGTGTCTCTTTGAACTTTTAAATAAATCTCATCAACTCGACAGGTATCAGCCGGGCCCTGATTTTAATGCACTTTATTTATTGCAATAAATTCGTACAGCATTCTATTTTTGAATCAGCCCAGCTTGCAGACTTGGGAGAATTTGGGCTGTCAGCTGGTGATTGATTTTTAAATAAGGTTCTTTTTTGTGGGCTCCTAAAAACGTGCAATTTCTTTGAGGAACTCAAGAAATTAAAATTAAAATTCAAAAGCGTTAAGATACCTCGGATGCAAGAAGCTCATTTTTCAGCGTTTCCTCTTTTCAAGCAAACATAACCAGAAACTAAATAAATTATTTAAAGCAGATGCAGACATCTCAAGACAGCTGTAACCCCAAGAAGAAGCTAATCCAAAGTTTCCAGAAAGAACAAACGGATGTCTTTATTCCCTTAAGCTAAAAATACAGAACATGCCGAACTTCTGTGTTAACCATGTGCTATTTAAAAAAAAAAAAAACAGAAAAAAACCCACTTCCCTTTCTCATCTGCTTGTCTTGTGCTTCCCAGGACTGGCCTATATCTGTGAAGGGCTGAAAGAACAGCTGAAAGGCCTGGTCACCCTCGTGCTGTGGAATAATCAGCTGACTCACACCGGCATGGCCTATATGGGGATGACCCTGGTGAGTCCAAAACTCTTGCCGTATTTCGGGGAAGAGTCTCCAATTTGAAACCTGGAGGCGACGGAGAACCCGACGTAGAACTGTTTTTTAAAGCAAGGCAGAGCATCGATCTGCCCACGTAAGATGGTGGCTGGGAAACTGTCTTCCGAAGACATTCTCTCCTCCCCCCCCCCAGATCCTTTTACCTGGAGATTGTAGGGTGTAGATTTGGGCAGAAGGCCTTGCAGTGTTTCAGGTTTGATTTTAGAAAAGGCAAGAGGGGGTCCTGGCAGGATCTGAGCCGGGTCTACGACAGCCAACTTGTTGTGGACAATTCGCCGCGAGACAAGAGTTACACGAATATCCAAGAAATACTGGAATAGAATCATTAAAGAAAGGGGGCCACAGGCGGGACGCAATGAAATGTGAATAGCAAAAATTAAAACAGCTTTTAAAAATTATTTTAAATAATTAAATTGAGTTGTCCTGCGGCTGAGTTGGCCGTGGCGAGTTGTCCCATTCTGATTCTGAGTCCACCAGCGCCGGGTCCTGCTGCTTCACTGCCTCGTTGCTTCCCTGACTCACGGATTGAGACGCTTGCTAGATCTGTGGCTGCCAGCTCAATGGATCGGCCTCCAAGGAATCAGAGTAGACTGTGACTCTTAGACTGTCTTAGCTGCCCAACAACTCTTAACTTTTTTTTTTTCTGTTTATGGATGTAATTTGGCTAAAGAGAAGGGAGGGAAGGAGGAAGAGCGAGGAAGGAAGGAAGGGTCAGGGAAGGAAGGAAGGAAGGAAGGAAGGGTCAGGGAAGGAAGGAGGGAGGGAGGGAGGAAAGACGGAGGGAAGAAGGGAGGGAGGGAGGAAAGAAGAAAGGACAGGGAGGAAGGAAGGGTCAGGGGAGGGAGGGAGGGAGGAAAGGCGGAGGGAAGAAGGGAGGGAGGGAGGAAAGAAGAAAGGACAGGGAGGAAGGAAGGGTCAGGGGAGGGAGGGAGGGAGGAAAGGAAGGAAGGAAGGAAGGAAGGAAAAAAGGGTCAGGGAAGGAAGGAGGGAGGGAGGAAAGACGGAGGGAAGAAGGAAGGGAGGGAGGAAAGAAGAAAGGACAGGGAGGAAGGAAGGGTCAGGGAGGAGGAAGGAAGGACAGGGAGGGAGGGAGGGTCAGGGAAGAGAGGGAGGGAGGGAGGGAAGGAAGAAAGGACAGAGGGAGGAAGAAATGAGGGAGGGAGGAAGGAAGGAAGGAAGGAAGGAAGGAAGGAAGGAAGGAAGGAAGGAAGGAAGGAAGGAAAGTGTCAGAGAAGGGAGGGAGGAAGGAAGATGCAGTGATTCATAACCCACCATCTGCCCTGCTTACGTCTTCAGCCTCACACCCAGAGTCTTGAGACCCTGAATTTGGGACACAACCCGATTGGCAACGAGGGTGTCCGCAACCTGAAGAACGGGCTCATCAGTAACCGCTCAGTGTTACGGCTGGGCTTGGCTTCAACCAAGCTGACCTGCGAAGGTAAGCCGACTTGGCAGCTTTCCCCAGCAGGGCAGCAGAAGCCCTCCCAAACTGGGGTTGCGAGGCCTGCCTGACCTCTCTTGGTGTGCAGGTGCTGTGGCTGTGGCGGAGTTCATCGCGGAGAGTCCCCGTCTGCTTCGGCTGGACCTGCGAGAAAACGAGATCAAGACAGGGGGACTGATGGCTTTGTCCTTGGCGCTGAAGGTCAATCATTCTTTGCTCAGGCTGGACCTTGACCGGGAGCCCAAAAAGGAATCGGTAAGTCAGGGTGGGAAGCCAACTCCCAATATGGGCCCTCCCCAAATTCCCTAAAGCTGGCTCTAGTTTTTAAGGCACAGTGTCAGAAAGCAAGAGACCGTGAGTTCAAGACCCGCCTTAGGCATGAAAGCTGCTGGGTGATTTTGGGCCAATCACCAGGAGACTGGGAGTTCTAGTTCCACATTAGGCATAAAAGCCGGCTGGGTGACTTTGGGCCAATCACCAGGAGACTGGGAGTTCTAGTCCCACCTTAGTCGTGAAAGCCAGCTGGGTGACTTTGGACGAATCACCAGGAGACTGGGACTTCTAATCCCACCTTAGCCATGAAAGCCAGCTGGGTGATTTTGGACCAATCACCAGGAGACAGGGAGTTCTAGTCCCACCTTAGCCATGAAAGCCAGCTGGGGGACTATGGACCAATCACCAGGAGGCAGTCATTCTCGTCCTGCCTTAGCTAGGACAGCTGCTGGGTGACTTTAGACCAATCACCGGGAGACAGGGAGTTCTAGCCCTGCTTTAGGAATGAAAGCTGGCTGGATGATGGGGGTGGAGTTTGCCACCCGCACCACATCTGGACCCAGGCCGATTGGACTGAGAAGCAGGCGCGAAGGAAAGAAAGCTCATACCTTGAAGCCTCCTCAGTTGATCTAAAATTGCTCTAAAACTGTGCCCATCCGCCTTGTTCTGCCTCCCTCCTCTTAACAGGTGAAGAGTTTTCTCGAGACGCAGAAAGCCCTCCTGACCGAGATCCAGAACGGCTGCAAGCGCAACTTCGTCCTGGCCAAAGAGAAGGAAGAGAAGGAGCAGAAACTCCAGCAGTCGGCCTCCATGCCTGAGATCACCGTCACAGGACCTCTGGAGGACGAGGAGGAACAGCAGCAGCAGCAGGCAGCGGAAGACGGTGGGCGGAACGGGGACGTGGTGTCCAGCCTGGAGGAAGTGGAAGACGGTGCCGAAGCCCTGAGGTCCCGCGAGAACGGAGCGGCGGAGGAGACGGGGCCCGATGACAGCAGCCAGCTCGGCGAGTCTGACTCGGACACGGAAGAGGAGGAGGAAGAGGAGAAAGAGACCTCACAAGCAAAGACTTTCTTTCCGTCGGAACAACACAGCAAGCCTGGCCACACCGAGGGCGTTCCCGGGGTGGGTTCCCTCGAGAAGGACAGGGTCCCCCGTGGAGCCGAAGACAAGACCTCCCCCTCGGACACTGCCGAAGACATCATAAAATGTGAACCTCGAATAGGAACTGCAAGCAGTGCGCCACTGCAGGTCCCTTCTCCTGGGAAGGAGAAACGGATATCGGTTTCCAGTCCTGGGCGAGGCCATAAAATCTTCGTGGTGACCCGGGTGGAGAGCTTGCCGGAGGCGAGGGGAGCCCCGCAGAAGGCAGGCCCCCCAGCTCTGTCTGCACCTCCCTCGAGGCAGGCGGATGCTCTGCCCGTAAAGACTGAAGGCTCCAAAGCAGAGACCGGTGAAACGGTGGCTGGGCCCCCAGCCAGCTTGGAAAGTCCGCCCCCCACGCCGAGTTCCCATTTGGGCACCGAAAAAATGAACCCTGGGTCCTACGAGGACAGTGTCCACCTCACTCTGCTTCCGAACGGACTCAAGACGGAGTTTCTTCACATGCTGCCAGACACACCTTTAGGATACGATGGGAAAAGAGCCAGCTGTGCGGTGGAGCATGGTAAGAAAACAACAAAAGATGTATATAACAGTAGAATGAAAGGGCCTGGCCGCAGTCTGCATTTGATTTATTGTCCTGAAGGGTGAGGCTCAGCAAGGGGGGAGGGGGCTCCCCTCCTTGGGGATGAAGGCAAGGGTTGATGTTCAGTGCTGGAGATACGCTCCCGAAAAAGCAGGAGGAGCAAGGACAAAAAAAAAAACAAAAAACAGTTGAGGCTAGCCCAGGGGTAGGCCATCTTGACTCTTTTATGACGCATGGACTTCAACTCCCAGAATTCCTGAGCCAGCTGCGCTGAGGGGAAAGGGAGAGGTTTCCAAGCTGTGCCATGTTGGCTCAGGAATTCTGGGAGTTGAAGTCCATGAGTCATAAAAGAGCCAAGGTTGCCTACCCCTGGGCTAGATCAAAGCCTTTAAATCAGGGGTGTCCAAACTTAGCAACTTTAAGGCCTGTGGACTTCGACTCCCAGAATTCCTCAGCCAGCATGCCTAGCTGGGGAATTCTGGGAGTTGAGGCCCATAGGTCTACAAAGTCACCGAGGTTGGGCACCCCTGATTTAAGTGGTATTAAAAGTTCCAAGGTTTTAGAGTGGCGCGGTGGCCTAAGAGGTGCAGCTCTCGCCTCGCAATCAGGAGGCTGTGAGTTTGATGCAGATATTTCTCTCTGTGGGTATGATGAGTTATCGTCTGCTCCGAACTCTGTGTAGGCGTCAGGAAGGGCATCCAGCCAGTAAACGCTCAAGCTCCGTTCAGTCACTCCGACTCCACTCTGCTGAGAGGGATTACAGCAGTGGTTCTCAACCTGTGGGTCGGGACCCCATTTGGGGTTGAACGACCATTTCATGGGGATTGCCAAACAACACAGTCTGCCATTTTTTTCCCCCTTTTCCTTAGCTGTGCTACTCCCTTTTATTCTATTGGCTTTTGAAAGCCAATAGAATAGACTCTCTTGAATAGAGTCTAATTCTATTGGCTTTCTAAAGCCAATAGGAATTGTCCAGGCTGTCTCTGCCCTGCTGAGCCCGCCAAAAGTCCCTTTCTGCAAACAGTGCTGCACCCGTTGAGTAGTCCTCGACTTACGACCGGTTGAGTAGTTCTCGACTTACGACCAGTTGGGGGTCGCGGCATTAAAAAGGTTGAGAACCACTGGATTACAGGGTCGTTAAGAGAAAAAAAGGAGTTCCAGAATTTAACCTCAGCAAATACGGTTCTTTCCCATGGATGGGATAATAGTCTCCTTCCATCGTGTCAGAGATGATGGTTTGCTGGCCGCTGGTCTTCAGAGGGCTGCAGGATGGTGGTTCAGCCCTGATCTTACGCTCAGCCTGATAATGGCTGCGCGACCTTCCAGTTGTCCATTTCTGTTTTTCAGAGCTGAACTGTTCCAAAAACGAGAAGGAGCTGGAGGAGTTACTCTTGGAAGCAAGCCTAGAGATGGGGCAGGAATCAATGTGACACTTTAGGTAAGGGACAGCCCCCCCCCCACCATGTGCAAAGGAGAGTTAAGGATAATGAAGGTGTGCTTTAAAGGCAGAGTTGTTTGGCCACAGATTGATTGAGTTTATTAGATTTGTGTAGTTGTTTCCTGGCAAACATTTCATCATGACCCAACTAGGTCCCTCCCTGCCTTCTGTCCCTGATGACGTTACCTAGTTGGGTGATGAAACGTCTGCAGGAAAACCATCCAGCTCAAACAGCACCAAGGATCTTAAAATACTGATGCTCTAACTACTTCTTCTTCTTCTTCTTCTTCTTCTTCTTCTTCTTCTTCCTCTTCTTCTTCTTCTTCTTCTTCTTCTTCTTCTTCTTCTTCTTCTTCTGCTTCTGCTTCTGCTTCTGCTTCTGCTTCTGCTTCTTCTGCTTCTGTTTCTTCTTCTTCTCCTCCTCCTCCTCCTTTTCTTCTTCTCCTCCTCCTCCTCCTCCTCCTCCTCCTCCTCTTCCTCTTCTTCTTCTTCTTCTTCTTCTTCTTCTTCTTCTTCTTCTTCTTCTTCTTCTTCTTCTTCTTCTTCTTCTTCTGCTTCTGCTTCTTCTGCTTCTTCTGCTTCTGTTTCTTCTTCTTCTCCTCCTCCTCCTCCTCCTCCCTCCTCCTCCTCCTCTTTCAGTTCTGAGCAGTTGCTGAGCAGGCGGTTGCTTTATGGAAGCCGTAACTTTACTCCCTGCCTCCACCGTGGGATCCCAAAGTGGACACTAAAACACCGGGGACAACCGAATGCCTTGTCCCTTCCCAAAGAGCTTTGTTTCCAGATGCAGCCCCCTCCCCCTTCTCTCTCTCCCCTGCCCACCCCCCTTTTTTGGCATTCTTGACGTCTTCCTCTGAGAAGAGACCCCCCGCTGTCTCGTGGGACCGATCCAGGAAACCGGCAAGAGGGAGACCTCGATCTGGAGAAAAGCTTTTGTACTCAAGTCCCAGGATGAACTGTGGATAACGGGACGGCCTCCGTCTCTCCTTCTGGAACACTAGCCAAGGGCACTTGCAATTTACCCCCCCCCCTCCATCCTCACTTTCCTTTCTTGAAGAACCCCCGCAAGCCAGATTAAATTTGTCGGCTCTGGATGATGTCCCGGACTAGCGACATCTGTTTTAAACTTTTAAACCAACCAAGGAAAAAAAAACAAAAACAAGACCGAAACAATCCTGCATTTTGGCTTCTCCTACAGCGCAGATGTGACCAGGCTCGGTCAGCGACAGGCCAAGGCGAGTATTGTGACAGTGCTGAGTCAAGGTGGCGAATTTGTCGTGTTGTAGTGCCCCCCATGCTGGGGGAAAAAAAAAAAGGACACAGACTTTTCTCACCTAAGCAGGATGATGCGGGCTGTTTTATTTCGCAGCCCAGACTACTATTTATTTTTAATTCCTCTCTTATCTCTTTATCTACACACACACACACACACACACACACACGGGCGTTCACATCTTCTTTCCTTCCTTTTGTCGTGTCTCCCTGTTTGTTTGGTGTCTATTTATCGTGGTGCGGGAAGTCTCTCGCTTCGAAGCGGCATCCTGGTCAGAAAAAGAAGACAGAGAAGAAGGCCGTTCTTGGTTTCCACGCGGAGCGTTTGCCATCAGCCCAGAACGTGTCGTGCATTTTGGGGGGGGGGGCAATTCCTCTCCCTTCGCTGCCCGCAAATGTGAAAGCTGCCCCTGCCACCCGAAGCGGCTTCTTCAATTGATTGTCAAAAGAATCCACCTTCAGGGTCTTTCTTTCCCATCCGTGTGAACGCTGAACGTGGGCACAGCGGCTTAGCAAGCTCTTCCGCGGATTGTGTCAAAAGAGTTTGCAAAGAGGCACGTGTCGCAAAAGAACACGTGGCTCCCGCGTGACGAAACTTGACACGAGAGCCTTTTCATGAATGCTGCTGGGTTCGGGGTAGTTTCACAACCCTCCCCAATTCTCCCCCCCCCCCCGGATATACCCCGTCTCTTCATGTCGCAGACCTTTCCACATTCTCCTTACGGGTGCAGGAGGGGATGGAAAAGTTAGCTGCACCTCGCCTGGGCCTTACAGAGTCCCAGAATTGCTCCTGTCTTTCTCCCCCAGAGCAACGGCGGAGTCCATCCCAGCCGAGCCAGGCTTTTCTTAACATTCGGCCAGAAAAGGGGGTAGGGGGGACGCTAGAGACGGGGGGGCAAACCAGGTGAAGTGGGACTCTTCCCCTCCCACTTGTGCCGGGAAGCAGAACTTTGCTGCATGTCCTGGTTTGGGGTGCTCCGACATCTCAGCCGGAAAGGAGGCGAAGACGTGGATGGCTGTAGACCAGGAGTATCCAACTTTGGTGACTTTGAAGACCTGTGGACTTCCATTCCGAGCATAGCTGGCTGGGGAATTCTGGGGAGTGGAAGTCCACGCGTCTTCCAAGTGGCCACGTGTGGACACCTCCTCTGCAGACAGTGTTGTGGGGGAGGCTGGACAATTTCTCAGGGAAGGCCTTTTCGAAGAACCCCTCCCCCCCAATATGACACACACACACACACCCAGCGAAGCCAGCACACCCAAGGCTGGTGCCCGCTCACACGTGCCCTCTCCTCAATGGTCCCTTGGTTGGAAGCTAGGAAGAGAAAGATCTCCAGAGGTGGTGAGAAGCTGCAGACCTTCAGGTGGATGTGGTGTCACGGGTCATCCCCCCGAATGGAGCTCTCTATCCATGCATGGAGCCACAAAGACTGACTGGTGCTCAGCCAGGATGAGCAGGCATTTTGGCATGGTGGATGTGGATTGGCAGAAGGGGATCCAGCGAGCCAAAGTCTAGGTCGTTGGACATCACGGTCACAGGAGTGTTCTGGAGACCGTGTTAAATGTCCCCGTTAAATCTTGGAGATTTAAATGTCCTCCCCCCAAAAATCTGTGGAAAACATTCCCAAACCGACTCTTATAAATAAATCTCCATCCAAACAGCTCACCTGAAAGAAAAAGATTAGGAAGCAAATTTTTCATCATCAGCCCCCCCCTTCAAAAAAAAAAAACAACAACCAAGGGATGACTTAGCCCTTAACAGCCATCAAAGCAAAACTGGCAATTATTATTTTTTAATTTACGATACTCATTCGATGAAGCAGAAAAGGAATGTTTTCCTCTGTTTGCTCTGCTCAAAATACCTGGGTTTCTCCCCCCCCCTTTTTTTTTTTTTGGTTTCCCCTTTTTTTCCCTTTTTTTGTACAAAACTGACTGGAGGACGTGTCCTTCCTTGCAGAAGTAGAGGGAAAGCTAACTAATGGAATCGGTGCAGGACTTTTAAAAAAAACGAAAAAAACTTTTGACTTCCTTTAAAAAAAAAAATCCGTGTTTGTTTGTTTGTTTTCTTAAGTGCAATGAAATCTTGATCAGGGAGCATGAAAAATGGCACTTTTTGCTACGGGGGTTGGGCCGGAGAGGCAATTTTTCCGTCTGCCTGTCTTCCTCTTGACCACGACATCTCCTCACCCTCTCTCTCACACACACACACACACACATACACAGGCACAATCCTACCACTTCCCTGTAAAGGAAGGGTTAATGCAGCCCCCTCTTCCCCCCCAAAAAAAAACAAATAAAAATCCCTATCAATAAAGTTCTGGCTGCATTAACCCTCCATTTACTCCTCCCTTTCCATGGCATCAGTTTGATTTTTGTGGGGTTTTTTTTTCCCCCTCTCCTTTTGGTTATTCTTTTGTCATTCCTGTCGGGTGTGTGGGTGCGTGTGTTGTCGTTTTATTTTTATGGAAGCTGTCTTCTATTAAATGAAAAGCTGCATTCATCACGCGCCTCCTTTCCGTGTCTTCCAATCGGGCGTAGGGAGGAGTCGTTCCAATGGCATGGCCTCTGGTTTTCTGCCTCATTTGGCCCAAGTAGACCAGGTAGCCTGATTTCCTGTTTTTTTTTTAAAGGGGGGGGGAGGCTAGGATTCATTAGCCTGGTCCTTCTGCTTGTTTTTTTAAAATTGTGGGCTGGGGGTTTTGGCAACCATCTAGAGCAGAGGAGGGCAACAATGAGGCCTTCATAACTTGAGGACTTCAACTCCCAGAATTCCTAGCATGGCTGCCTCCCAGCTGGCCGGGAGGAATTCTGGGAGTTGAAGTCCAGAAGCCGTGAAGCAATGGCCAGCTCAGGAATTCTGGGAGTTGGAAGTCCACAAATCATAAAAAGGGCCATCGTTCCCCTCCCCTGATCTAGAGTTAATTAAGAATGCCAATCCTTGTCTCCCCCTACCCCCCAAATCTTTGTAGCAGCCCTTTTGGCGATGGGGAAGGAAGCAAAGGAGAAAAGAGAAAGGGAGGGCGCTTGGCTGGAGTTCGCTTAAAGCAGTCCTCGTCTTACGACTACAGCTTGCACCACAGAAATCCAGTTGTAAGTTGAGGCCCCTGCATGAGTGGATGGGTGGGTGATTTCCCTCCCCCCTTTTTTTCTTTACATTTTCCGCAGTTGTTAAGCAAATGGCACGGTCATTAAGCAAATTCATTCTCCTGAAGGAGTGTTTTGTGCAATCTGCAAAATAAAATAAAATTTAAAAAATTGCAAATTGTGGCCACATGACCGCGGGATGCTGTAAATGGTCATAAAGGCAAGCCAGTTGTCAAGTGCCCGAAATAATAATAATAATAATAATATAATAATAATAATTAAAAGTGGGAAGGTACCTTGGAGGTCATCTAGTCCAACCCCCTGCTCAGGCAGGAAACCCTATCCCATTTCAGACAAATGTCTGTCCAGTCTCTTCTTAAAAACTTCCAATGTTGGAGCATTCACCGCTTCTGGAGGCAGGTTGTTCCACTGGTTAATTGTTCTAGCTGTCAGGAAGTTTCTCCTTAGTTCTAGGTTGGCTTCTCTCCTTGTTTAGTTAATGACAACATTGTGGAGGGGCTGACATTTTACAGTAGCCAGGAGTACATTACCACCCATAAAGCACCTGTTCAGAGGCCATCATCGTAATTTTGAACAGTGTAAAAAGGCCAGTCACTAAGGACTACCTGTATATAATGCTGCAAGTAGTCCTTGACTTACAACAATTCATTTAGTGACTGTTCAAACTTACAACGGCATTGAAAAAAGTGACTCGACCACGTTTCACAGTTAGGACTGTTGCAGTCCCCATGGTCACGTGATTTACATTCGGATGCTTGACAACCGAATGCATACTTACGACCGTTGCTGTGTCCTGGGGTCACGTGATCCTCTTTTGCAACCTGACCAGCAAAGTCAGTCAGGAAGCCAGATTCACTTAACAACTGGGTGACTAATTTAGCAACTGCAGTGATTCACTTAACAACCGTGGCAGGAAAAGACATAAAATGGGGCAAAACTCACTTAACAAATTTCTCACTTGGCAGCATAAACTCTGGGCCCCATTGTGGTCGTAAGCTGAGGACTACCTGTATACATTTTTGTCTTGGTTTGTGGTTCTTAACGGAGTCGGTTTGCAGAGACCAAAACATCTCCATGCTGCTGTCTTCACACATATTCCAGAATGTACTGGAATATTTCTTGGCTCTTCGGCCGTTGAGGAGAGGTGACAAATAGCTAAGATAAAATAAGTTAATTCTTTTCTTTCTGAGGATTTAGAGAAGGGGAAAAAAAATCCTCTTTGGTCTTGTACTTTTTATAATTAAAAAAAAAACGCTATAATTTTGTGTTTGTGCACTTAATGGATTTATTGCTCTCATGCCTGGTTGAAATAAACTTTCCTGAGGAAAACTTTGCATTTCCAACTTTGCACTTGATTATTGCCCGAGGTTTGCCTTTTCAAAATTTCCCTGACTTCCCAGGCCTCATCTCTGCATCCCAACAACTTTGGAACGCAAAGAGAGGTACAAGGTTTGCCTTTGGTTAGTAGTATAGGATTAAATGAAAACCAAGTTTGCAGACATAAGAAAAAAGGTCAAAGAAATGCAAGTTTTTCATTATGAATAGGGCCCATCCTTAAGCTTAGCTTTCTTCCCTGTCGGAAGAAGGGAAAACAACTTTTAACAGGAAAAATAAGAGAATTTTGAATTCAGACATTTGCTATAAGTGGAAGCAACTTAGTAGTAGTAGTAGTAGTAGTAGTAGTAGTAGTAGTAATAGTAATAGTAGTAGTAGTTAGTAGTAAAGTTGGAAGGGACCTTGGAGGTCATCTAGTCCAACCCCCTGCTCAGGCAGGAAACCCTACACCATTTCAGACAAATGGCTGTCCAGTCTCTTCTTAAAAACTTCCAGTGTTGGAGCATTCACCGCTTCTGGAGGCAGGTTGTTCCACTGGTTAATTGTTCTCACTGTCAGGAAGTTTCTCCTTAGTTCTAGGTTGCTTCTCTCCTTGATTAGTTCCCATCCGTTGCTTCTTGTCCTGCCTTCAGGCGCTTTGGAAAGTAGCTTGACTCCCTCTTCTTTGGGGCAGCCCCTGAGATATTGGAACATGCTATCATGTCCCCCCTCGTCCTTCTCTTCGTTAAACTAGACATGACCGAGAATGGCCGAGTTTGCTCAGCTTCCTGCTTGAGTGTTTACCAAATCGTGGTTTGAAGAGTTCATTCAAATGACAGCGTTCACAGAACATACAAAGCCACAGCTGGCCAACCCCATTAAGCCTAGAGCACTGTTTCTCAATCCGGGCAGCTTGAAGAGGTGTGGACTTCAACTCCCACAATTCCCCAGCTGGCATAGCTGGGAGTTGAAGTCCTCACATCTTGAAGTGGCCAAGGTTGAGAAACAGTGCTCTAGTATTGAAGGCAACAAGCTAGAAACCAGGAGACAAGGAGTTCTAGTGCCACCTTAGACATGAAAACCGGCTGGGTGACTTTGGGCCAATCACCAGGAGACGGTGAGTTCTAGTCCCGCCTTGGGCATGAAAGCCGGCTGGGTGACTTTGGGCCAATCACCAGGAGACGGTGAGTTCTAGTCCCGCCTTTGGCATGAAAGCCGGCTGGGTGACTTTGGGCCAATCACCAGGAGACGGTGAGTTCTAGTCCTGCCTTTGGCATGAAAGCCAGCTGGGTGACTTTGGGCCAATCACCAGAAGACGGAGTTCTAATCCCGCTTTAGACATAAAAGCTAGTTGAAAAAAAAAAAAGGCCCTGCACTGTAGGAAGAAAAAAATAAGTGATTCTAACTAATATGTGTGAAAGCAAACATTGTGGATTCACAGGTCACTAACCTTAAAAGTGGGTTTCATCAAGTAGCATTGGCATATTCTTCCAGAAAAGAAATAGTGAGGGATCTGGGTTCACCCCAAAAACTTAAAAATGTTTCTCCTAAAAACAAGTTGCTTGCATCTCCTTCAGTGTTGCTTCGGTGAGAGGCTTCAGTTACACAAAAGAGCTGGTTTGTGGAACAAGGGATTAACCTGATTCACACAGTGCAAAGCTGTGGTTTGTTCAGCTGTGGTTTACTGTAAGAACCCACAGTGGTTGGTTCACCCGAGGAAAAACTAAACCGATTACGTTCTCTCTCCGTATAATGGCGCCTATGTGAATGAAAAGGAGAAATTCTTTGGTGGGCCGCTGGATGGCGGGATTGCCTTGCTATACAAGAAAGGATTCACTTCTTGTGTGTGCAGATCACAATAACTGGCAGCTTTTAAAGATAATCCACCATCAAAGTCAGTGTTCCTCATTCCTACTTTCCGGAAGTCAGTTTATTTAGGCTACTCTTCGAAGTAAACTTTTGGAATACTAGTGTGTAAGAATTAAGAGAGCACAGAAGGGAGGGGAGCTGTGGAGAAGATCACACCTTGTTACAAAGGCAAAGCCAAGCTAGACACACATACACACACACACACACACACACACACACACATCCACAACATGCATCTCTACACAGAACAGAGGCCAGCACCGTCTTGCCCATGACTTCAGTCCCCAAAACATCTGGATGCCTCCTGGATTGGTTGAGCAATCTGCAACGCACAAGTGGTCCTCAACTTACGATCCATAGCTGAGCCCCAAATTTCCATGGCTAAGCAACACCGTTGTTAGGTGGATTTTGCCCCATTTTGCGACCTTTCTTGCCTCAGTTGTTAAGCGAGTCACTGCAGTCGTAAAGTTAGTAACACACAGTTGTTAAGTGAATCTGGCTTCCCCATTTGACTTGGCTTTTCGGCAGGTTGCAAAAGGGGATCACCGCAGTCGTCATAAATATGAGTCAGTTGCTGTTGTCAGTTCAAACAGTCACTAAATGAACGGTTGTAAATCGAGGAATAAATAGTATTTGTTTAAATTATATATACACACAGGATCACCTCTGGGTTTAAAAAAATGAGAATTCTGCAAGAAAACACCAATTCAGCAGCCTATGTAAGTTATTATTTATTACGTAGCTGATTGACAGCCTAGGTTCTCTCAATGCCCAAGACAAAGAAGGGTCAGGTCTCCACTTTTGTCCCCACAACAACAACAACCTTGTGAGGTAGGCTTGAGTTGAGGTTTTCCCCCGTCCCAAAAGCACAACATCTGATCAATTGTGAATTGGTATTACTGTTCAGAAGGTTTTTTTTTTAATTTTTGTAATATCTCAATACACATTTTTGGCTCATAAAATATCAAAAATATAATCAAAATACATTTTTTACCCTTGGACATCCTGTTAGGTAATAAATATAATACTCAATCTAAGAGCAGTGTGTGCAGGTAGCCCTCATTTTACCACCACAATAAAGATCAGAATTAAGCAAGTTTGTGATTTTTTTTTCCTTTGAAAACTTTTCATTTCTCATCCAAGAAGCTTCTTCAGTTATTCATGTGGAACTGAAGAAGCTTCTTGGATGAGAAGCAAAAGCTTTTCAAAGGAAATAACAAGAAAGTCCAGTTGCCTTTTGGAAAAGCACCTGGATGATTTTGAATCTCCATAGACATTTACAACTTATGGACTTCAATTCCCAGAATTCTTGAGCCAAGTGGCTCAGGAATTCTGGGAGTTGAAGTCCAGAGGTAATACAGGAGCCATAGTTGGGAAAAGAACTTTGGACATAATATAGAATTAGAAAATTGGCAAAAGATTGGGAAAGAAAGTCCAAATTAACGAAAGCAGTGGCATATATAAAGAAAATATATATAAAATGTTTTACAGATGGCATTTAACACCAGTGAGATTAGCAAAAATGTTTAAAAGTACTTCAAACAAGTGTTGGAAATGCAAACAAAAACCAGGTACTTATTACCATATCTGGTGGACATGCCCTAAAGCTAAAAGATGTTGGTCCAAAATATATTTATGGTTGGAGAAAATGACTAAAAAACAAATAGACTTTAAGCCAGAATTACTTTTATTAGGAATAATAGGAGCAAATTATGATAAAGAATGTATATGTTTAATTTTACATGTACTAACTACAGCAAGAATTGTATTTGCCCAACATTGGAAAAATGAAAATTTACCAACTGAAGAAGAATTAATTAAGAAACTTTTAGATTGTGCAGAAATGGATAGATAGACTTTAACAATAAAAGAGAAAAAAGACTCAGTGCATTTTAGAACATGGGATAACTTTTATCAATGGCTAGAAAAATGAGCTAGAGAGATAGGAATGTGATATATAATATTGATTATATACTAGTAAGAAGACTATCGAACGATTAATTAACATTGTTATGATAATTAGTTATTACTCATTTTTTTCTTTTTAATTACATGTCCCCAGACAACATGCTGTTTGCTAAATATTAAGAATGTTATTTTTAAAAATCCTAACCTCAACCTCAACCCTATATATATATATATGTGTGTGTGTGTGTGTGTGTGTGTGTGTGTGTGTGTGTGTGTGTGTATATATGTATGTATATATATATATGTTTTCTGAGGTTTTCGCGGGTGTTTGTATGTAGGTCTTTGGTTGTTCGGGTTTTCTCCCGCGTAAAATTGGAAGTGTCTTGGCGACGTTTCGACGAAGTCCCATTCGTCATCTTCAGGCTGGTGTTTTCAGCTTCGTGCTTCGAGCAGCAAGCACCAAAGACCTACGTATGTATGTATGTATATATATATATATATATATATATATATATATATATATATATATATGCTGGAAAATTTGCATAAAAATACGACTCCTGGGCATGTCTATGGTACAAATAAAATACGAACACCAGGAGAGTATAAATATAAAAATATACTTTACTAAAAGCTGCCAAGCTTTCGTTTGGAAACTCCAAACATCATGATGATGTTTGGAGTTTCCAAACGAAAGCTTGGCAGCTTTTAGTAAAGTATATTTTTATATTTATACTCTCCTGGTGTTCCTATTTTATTTGTACCATATATGTATGTATGTATGTATGTATGTATGTATGTATGTATGTAGGTCTTTGGTTGTTCGGGTTTTCTCCCGCGTAAAATTGGAAGTGTCTTGGCGACGTTTCGACGAAGTCCCATTCGTCATCTTCAGGCTGATGTTTTCAGCCAGCCTGAAGATGACGAATGGGACTTCGTCGAAACGTCGCCAAGACACTTCCAATTTTACGTGGGAGAAAACCCGAACAACCAAAGACCTACATACAAACACCCGCGAAAACCTCAGAAAACATATATATATATAGTGAATAAACTGGCCAAGTGGCTCAGGAATTCTGGGAGTTGAAGTCCACAGGTGGTACAGGAGCCATAGTTGCCCCCGCTGATCTGTAAGCTTTCTGTCTTTCTTGCTCCCATCTTCCCAGCGAATGAAACCCTGCTAAATTTCTTTCACCCCAGGATTTCCAGGAAGCGCACATGGAATCCATGATCCCTAAGCCCTCTTCTCTGAATTTGCTCCACCTTTGCTGTAGTTCTCCAGAATTGCCAGATCCTGCAGTTCTCCCATCATACATCTTATGGAATGATCTAAGTTGACAGTATACTTCAACAATTTCTTCCCTTCTTGTACAGTGAAGGGAAAATCACCAGACAAGAATCTCTCAAAAAGTTTTGGGTCACCATCCAAGGCCATGATGTTCTGTAGTTCCTTGTGCTTGGAGTAAAGCTCAGGACAGGTCTCCATGAAGACATCCCACATCAACTTCTTCTCATAATCTTTGGGCGGTTGATACTGCAATTTGTCTTCCATGCATTGGAGGATCCAACTCAAGCGACATGGCCATTGGTTGGCCAACACCACCCAAGCAGCCACTTTTCGTGGACAGAGGTTGTTCTTCAGCAGGCTCTGTTGAGTCATCAATCTGACTGTAATGGGGAGGGTATTGATGATCCTCCTCATCTGGATAATGCTATCTGGGACATAATGGTAGAGACGATCCTGTTCATTTTGTAAGCATTGGAAAGCTTCATGGATGTACTGGGATGCCAGTGCATCGATCCGGTGTTGGTTGTCTTTAACCACCGCTTCCATGTCCACCAGTGCTTCATCGTGTCCCAAGTCCATCTTACTTCTGCTGATGCCGTTCATGAGATCTTTCCGAATCTGGAAGATCTCCTGCAAACAACGTTTCTTGGATTTGATGGCGATTTCCGGGATGGAGAATGGAAGGGTCACTGTGCGGTTGAGGTACAGGTAGCCATTGTCCGCCATTTTCTTCATACTGCTAGCCTTCTCCAAGCAAGAAACGATGACGCAGGGGTCAACCACCAGGATGAAGATGAAGGAGGCATTCGTATCGGAAAGAAGTGTGTTGATGGCGTTCAACACCCCAACCACCTGTTCAGGGTAGCATATATCTAAACATGTAATATTAAAGACAATCTTCAAATGCCGACGCTCAAATATTTCCATGTAGTAGACAAAGTTGGTGAGGACCTCAATCTCTTTCTTCACTGCACTCCTGAAACCCAGATGGCTGGTGAACTTCTCATCGCTGGTCATGCTCTCGATCTTCTTCTTCTGGCTGATGATCAAGTTCTTGATGACAGGACTGATGGTTATGATGAACCCTGAGCCCAAAATGGCAGCAATGCTGCTACCAAGGTACTTCAAGATTGTGCCATCCCTTATCCCTGGCATAAAGAGGGCGGTAGTAACCAGGCTTGCGCCGACTAGCAAAATACTTACCATGAGTCCTCCTGCAATGCAGCATGTTTTCCTTTTAAGCCTCCACTCATGGATGAATCCTGAGTCAGATTGTGGACTGCTTCCGACCACGTGGTACAAACTCAGGGGAAGAGGGCCGAAGTGGTTGCGGATATGGTCACACAAGATGCTGACCAACCCAGCCCATAACTGATTGCTGCAGGCATACTCCCAGGCGCTGAAATTTATGATGAGAAACTCGATGGTTTTTCTTCGGAGATGCTCCTCGGTGATGACTGGTTGGCAGAAGACGATGTACCACAGAAGAATCAGGTAATTTATTCCTTCAGGGACTCGGGATTTCTGGTGAGTCCTGCCGAATTCTTCTTTTTTTCTTCGGATGGATTCTTCGAGCATGCTTTCTGCAAAAATCAGTTCAGAAGAGGTCAACAGAAGACCTGCCAAGTTCTCAAAGACCTCCTATCTATAGAAGAGAATCTTTGTAGCTGAGGATTGAAATGTAGGTTCCGTGGTGCTCTCTTAGCTTGGTGGTTTTCTTGCACATGTTTCATAACCCAATTAAGTAACATCATCAGATGATGTTATCTGGGTAGTAAAACATCTGCAAGAAAACCCACCAAACTCAAAGAGCACCAAGGACTCCACTGTCGTCGTCGTTGTCTTCCTCCTCCTCCTCCTCCTCCTCCTCCTCCTCCTCCTCCTCCTCCTCCTCCTCCTCCTCCTCCTCCTCCTCCTCCTCCTCTTTTCCCCCTTCCCCTCCTCTCCTCTATAAACTCCAATCCCTTCAAGCACTGATGATGTAACTTTCTGACACCAATGATACCAGTTTTGTGATGGCGTGCTGACTCCTGTAAGGTTACTTCCTCTCTTCCCAGAGACCCATGGATAGAGGATGGAGCCTTCTACTGAGGACAGGTCTACTGAGATTCTTCCCCATTGATTCTCTCAGGGTGGGACTGACCTGCAATTTGATCCAGTAGGGTGTGAACGCGTGCTTTGTGCGATGAATAGAAGCCCACAGTGACTGGGGTGGGGGTATGGCACAATGTCTTCAATAAACAGGAGCAATAAATCTCATCCTCGCTCAGATGATCTGAGGAGTGGGGGAAAAAAAAAGGAATGGAGAATAACCAGAGGGTCCACATCTTACTCTCACTTAGTTACTATAGCCCTGAAAAAAGCGACTTATGACCAGTTCCTACATTTATCACCGTCATGGCATCCTCATGATCGTGTGATTATAATTTAGGCACTTGTCAACGGGCGAGTATTTATGAAGGTCGCAGCATCCCAGAGTCATGTGATTGCCATTCATGACCTTCCCAGCCAGCTTCTGACAAACACAGTCAATGGGCGAAGCCGGATTCACTTAACGACCGCACAATTCACTTAATGACTGCAATGAATCGCTTAAAAACCACTGCAGAAACACTTGTAAAATCAAGTGCAACTCACTTAACTGCCTTGCTTAGCAATCGGTCTCAATTGTCGTCGTATTCTGAGGCCCACCTGGAATCCCTTCTTGCCTAAAGTAGTGTTTCTTCACCTCAGCGAATTTATGAAGTGTGGACTTCAACTCCCAGAATTCCACAGCCAGCATTCTTTAAGGTGGGTGGACTTCCACTCCCTGCATGGGTAGCTGGGGAATTCTGGGAGCTGAAGTCCATACATCTTAAAGTTGCTGAGGTTGAAAAAAAAATGCTACTAGCGTAAAGGATCGCAAGGAAAAAACCCATCCCTGACAGGCCTTTTGTTCCCCAAAGATCTGCCAGAAAAAAAAATTTGAGAATAATTAGGATAATTAGCTTGTGTAACTCATCCTATTGTAAATGCCTCAGAGTAGAGCTGAGACTGCTTCAGTGTTCCCCCACCCCACCCCCAGGTGCTTTTCTGCTTTCTGGAAGGAGCTGAGCGTTAACCATCCTACGATTTATTTATCAAATTTATTTTCCATCCATTTTGTGGTTGAAGGCCACTTTGGGCAGCTTACAACAATATAAAAACACACAAACATTCGACAATTATAACTATGAAAATGGATTAAACTTACACAAGTTAAAACAGACCAAGACTTTTACTGCGTTTATTTTTGGTGCATTTTTCTGGATGGAAAACAAAATTTTATCAGTGACTTGGAAGGTGGTTTCTGGACTGCAGAAAATGTGGTTTGAGGTTGAAATGTGTCTAGTTTTGCTCTGTTTTATTATGACAGCGGTATGATCAAAAAAAGTCAAGAAGGTGCCTGTGAGGAATGAACCTCTGCCCAGGTTTTTTTAAAGGATACTAAACGGTGGTGTCTGTGTGTATAGATCGATTTCATTGTGACTCAGTTCAATAAAATCTTTTGGTTACTGTAACTTCTTAGTTAATAAAATCTGGATTTACCACGTAGCTTATATTTTTACACATGGGAGCAGTGGTGGGATTCAGCCAGTTTGCACCAGTTCGGCAGACTTGGTAGCTAATTTTTTGTGGGCCAGGCCCAGAACGGACTTCCAGAAGTGGCATCCACACAGAGAACCGGATGTTGACATATTTGAATCCCACCACTTCCTTCCTTCCTTCCTTCCTTCCTTCCTTCCTTCCTTCCTTCCTTCCTTCCTTCCTTCCTTCCTTCCTTCCTTCCTTCCTTCCTTCCTTCCTTCCTTCCGTAGGATTCAGGCAGTTCGCACCACTTTGGCAGAACTGGTAACTAATTTTTTGTTGCCCAGGTCCAGAATGGACTTCCAGAAGCGGCATCCACGCAGACAACTGGTTGTTCACATATTTGAATCCCACCACTGCTTAGGAGCAATTTTTGAACTATCTACACAAGCTGTGCTTTTTGGAATAGTGTTCCCTTGTCATATGGACTGCCCAAATTATTCCTTTTCATATTTCCTTTCCTCGCGTGCAGAAATGTAGCTTCATGAGGAACACCCCTTCTTTAGCAGCTAGTTTTCCACTTGCAGGGAATGTTTGTGTGGAGGCGGGTGTGTGTCAGAAAACTCACACCCGACCTGCAGCCTGAAATTTAATCTCAAGTGGGGATAAATTCGCCCTGATGAATTAATAAACCTAATTAGGGATTATAATGATGACACTAAGACAACTTTGTGTTTTGGTTTATATTTGGAAATCATCTATATATCTAATCAGTGGTGGAGACATAAAAGTCCCTAAATCATTAACAACTTGACTCAATACCGATTTTTTCACCCAGTTAAAAAGTGTGTCTCATAAAAGTGAGTTGGACTCAAGGTTAATTCAGGATGACACAATTCCTTTCCAAATACAACTATCATCACTTATGACCTTAATTGCCAGGCTGCATTACAGTTGTAAATTGAGGACATTTGGCTGGACGTTAAGCGGAACCTATGGGTTCCCTGTTTTATGCCAGCGTTTTCATTTCATCAGATTCTGAACTAATGAACCAAATTTGTGATGACTTGAACTCTAAGAAGGATGCAATAACAAAGTGACTTTAAATTCACTGAAAAAAAAATTCACTAAAAAACCAACAAGACGATAGGAGACTTAAAAAGCCAAATGTAAGCCATACCATTATCTTTGCTTTTAAAAAATGTTCTCTCCAGGTGTTTTTTTTTTTCCTCTCACAAAAATTAAATGCCTGTGATTTTAAAGAAATTGACTCCAAAAATGACAGGGAATTGTTGAGGAAATCGAATTGGTTGTAATCTGGAGTTTAGATTATGGTTGACCAAACTTTGGGCTTGTCTGGACTGCACAGAGTGAAGAGAAATTGCCTTGGGCCACATACAAAATATCAAATATAGGTAATGTATATAAATAACAGACTTGATTTTTTAATATTTTTATTATCATGTGGGGCCATATTACTAGCTGTCCAGGGCTGCGGGCTGCGGTTTGGATATGCCTAGTTTACGTATTACAATAACCTAAAGTAATGAAAAAAATTGCAAAGCGTTATTTAACACTTAGACAATAAGGTGAGCTGATTATTTGGTCCCAATTTCATGCATTCTAAAAGAACCATGCCAGGAAACAAAACATAGCAATTTAAGAGTCTCTAAAATGGCTGCTTGCAAAGCTGGTAAGAGAAGACTTAATGAAGAAAGGAAAGAAAGCATTTAAGATATTATGCTAATGAAGAAAACAACTTCTGTTAATCCTGTTTTGAAAACGTACATTAATTACCCTCCACACACAGGAACCGTTGCAGATGTTAGAATTGTTACCTAACTTTCCCTGAAGATTAAAAGAATTCCTAAGAAAAGTTTGCGTAATGGTTCTAACGTTTGCAACAAACGAAAACACGTCTCTTTCAAAGGGCTGATGAAAAGGCTACTGGGCAGGTAGTCCTCACAACCATTCCTTTAGTGACTGTTCAAAGTTACAGCGGCACTAAAGTCCTCGTACTTACAACCGTTGCAGCATCACCAAAGTCACGTGATCAAAATTCGGATGCTTGGCAACTGGTGTGTATTTGCGATGGTTGCAGCATCCTGAGGTCATGGGATGGTCATTTGCCACCTGGGCATGTGGGCAAGCTTTTAGGATGGCCGCTTAAATTGAGGTTTAATGTACAGGTACATTCACATTCACAACTGGGACCAGAATTTGTGTTGCTAAGCAAGGCAGTTGTTAAATGAGTCCCATCTGCTTTTATGACCTTTTTGGCCCTTTTGTTACACCAATCGGTTGTTAGGTGAATCACATGGTCATTAAGTGAATCCAGCTTTCCCCCCCCCCTCCCCATTGACTTTGCCTATCAGAAGTCAGCTGGGATGGTCGCAAATGATGATCACGGGACACCAGAAGATTGCAGCCATTGGAAACATATGCTGGTTGCCAAGAGCCCAAATTCTATGAGGTCACTGCACAAATGCTGTATTAGTGATAAGTGTGAGGGACCAATAACAACAACCACAACAATAACAACAATGACAATAACAATAACTGGAGAAGATAACAAAATACAAAGACCTACAGATGGAAATAGAGGCAAAGGCAAGCAAGGGTGGTACCAATAGTAATAGGCATCTCGGGTGCAATCCCAGAACAACTGGAGCACCACTTCAGCATTGACAAATTCGCTATCAGTCAATTGCAAAAGGCAGCCTTACTAGGAACTGCTTCCATCCTGTGACAAGATCTGTAATACCATCAATTCAAACATCCACATCTGCCTATCCCAGGTCCTTGGTAAGGATTCGATAGGTAGACAAAAATGCCAAATCCAGTCTGAATATCTGGCTGATTGTGTGATGATTACTAACAACAACAACAACAACAACAACAACAATAATAATAATAATAATAATAATAATGTTGGAAGGGGATATTGGAGGTCTTCTAGTCCAATCCCCTGCTCAGGCAGGAAACCCTATACAGACAAATGGTTGTCCAATCTCTTTTTTAAATACCCCCAGTGATGGAGTCCCTATGATTTCTGAAGGCAAATCCTTTCACTGGTTAATTGTTCTCACAATCAGGAAGTTTTTCCTTAGTTCCAGGTTGCTTCTCTCCTTGATTAGTGTCCATCCGCTGCTTCTTGTCCTGCCTTGAGGCACTTTGGAGAATAGCTTGACCCCCCCCCCATTTCCTTCGTCCTTCTCTTTATTAAACTAGACATACCCAGTTCCAGCAACCGCTCTTCATATGTTTTAGCCTCCAGTCCCCTAATCATCGTTGTTGCTCTTCTCAGAACTCTTTCTAGAGCAGTGGTTCTCAACCTGTGGGTCGGGACCCCATTTGGGGTCGAATGACCATTTCACGGGGGTCGCCAAACCACGCTGTCCGCCATTTTTTCCCTTTTCCCTAGCTGTTCTACTCCCTCTTATTGATGGCCACACCCACTTGGGGGTCACCACAACATGGGGAACTGTATTATGGGGTCACGGTATTAGAAAGGTTGAGAACCACTGTTCTAGAGTCTCAACATCTTCATAAATTACTTTTTAAAGTACCGTTGTAACTTCAAACGGTTGCTAAACTAATGGCTGTAAGTCAAGGAATGTCTGTACTAAATTTGATTTTTGGAAGAAGTGGGATGAAATCCTTGCTACCTTCCATTTGTCCAAATCCAGAGGTTGTGAATTAGATGCCGAGCTTACCTTCATCACAACGTCCATCGTGGCTAAAGTGGGAATCCTTTGTTGAGAACAGGCTCCCCGCTTCGTGGTACTCCTCTGCATGGAGCTGCTGAGCAGCTTCCTCGTCAGAGTAACTCATCAGCTCTGGAGTTGCTGGACCATCAACTGGACTTCCCAGGCAAGCTGGAGCCTGCCAAAAGACGATAAGGCAGACAGGTGATTCAACCTGGTTACCTGGGACAGGTAAGCTTCTAATGAGAATGAATGAACAGAATATAGATATCAAGCCACATCTGGGATAGATGCATTGTAGTAGGGTTTTTCTCTCTCTGCCTTTTTCTTGTTTCCAGGTTTTAGGTTAGAAAAACTGAGTCCATTAAGTGAAAAGAGAGAGAGAGAGAGAGAGAGAGAGAGAGAGAAAGAAAGAAAAAGAAAGAAAGCAAGAAAGAAAGAAAGAAAGAAAGAAAGAAAGAAAGAAAGAAAGAAAGAAAGAAGAGAGGAGAGGTGTAGTTTTGGTTCCTGAAGCTCCAGATTCTACTGACCTTCACAGCTGGCCTCCAATTCTCTTTAAGTTGGAGAAAAAAGACCAACAAAATAAAAGCCCAAAGGTTTGGCAAATGAGAACCTCATTTGTTTCTGATAGGTTGCTAATTGGGATGAGAAAATATTTCCGCCACTGTATTGAGAAAGAGGATCAGATGCAGGGGGTGTGGCCTGGACATCGAGCCATGGGCTGTGAGCTTAATTCTGATGATGTTCTAATGAAATACCAAATTTCCCTTTTTTCCCCTTTTCTGTTCTTACGTGGCATTCTCTTCCAGTGACAGAAAAAGTTTGCTATACACACAATCCACGTAATGATATACACAATTTCTACGGGGGTTTTGGCAGGCGTCTCATAACTGGATGTCCAGGTCAGCTATCCAGGCGATGGCCCCTGGCGTCACTTCGTGCAGATCTTCTAGGGTCCCTGAGAATGCACATCATGGTGCAAACTCACGCAACATGTTTAATAGTTTGCATATCAGCACCAGAATCGCAACAAGGGGAATCTGTCCATCCCCTCTGATGCAGGACAGAGGCCCGTCTTCCAGAATTCACCCCTAATTCTATTTAATTTTGACCAGACAGAGCAAGTCCGGTCAAAACCAGGTGGTTTGTTAGAAGGATTACTAATGGTCAGGCCACAAGCAGGTACCCTAATCCAGATGTGAATACCTGATCAAAAGTGATCAATCTAAGAATGTTTATGCAGAAAAAAAGACCCACTATATTTCAGGGGGCTGAAAGTAAAGCCGATTTTGGAGATTGCAAAACTTAACCCTTTAAGAAATGGTATAGGGCAGTGATGGCGAACCTTTTAGAGACCAAATACCCAAACTGCAACCCAAAACCCACTTATGCATCGTTGGGTGCCGGTTGGGTGTGGCCCATTGGGTGGGTGTGGCCGATTGGGTGGGTGTGGCTGCGGTGGTAACGGCAGACTGGGTGGGACTAAAAAGTTCAATCAATCAATTCCAACTTTGCAAGAACTTTTTTTTCCCCTGAGAGAAATTGAAATTGAATGATTGATTGAACCTTTTTTTCTTGCACATGGCAGCGGAGGCCTAAAACGAAAAGGTTTTATAAAACCCAGCTGAAGGCCTAGGACTGGGGCGACAGTGCACGTGCCCACAGAGAGGGCTCTGAGTGCCGCCTCTGGCATCCATGCCATAGGTTCTCCACCACTGGTATAGGGTTACCTGCCTGAGCAGGGGGTTGGACTTGATGACCTCCAAGGTCCCTTCCAACTTTTTTATTATTATCGATCATCGCACAGTCAGCCAGATGTTCAGACTGGATTTGGCATTTTGTCTACCTATCGAGTCCTTACCCAGGACCTGGGATAGGCAGATGTGGATGTTTGATGGTATTACAGTATCGTCGCAGGATGGAAGCAGTTCCTAATAAGGCCGCCTTTTGCAATTGACTAATAGCGAATTTGTCAATGCCAATGGTGTTCAAGTGGTGCTCCAGTTGTTTTGGGATTGCACCCAAGGAGCCTATGACTATTGGTACTACCCTTGCTTGCTTTTGCCACAGTCTTTCTATTTCTATTTGTAGGTCTTTGTATTTTGTTATCTTCTCCAGTTCTTTCTCTTCTATTCTGCTATCTCCAGGCACTGCCACGTCCACTATCCAGACTTTTTTGTCTTTCTTATCGACAATTGTTAAGTCTGGGGTGTTATGTTGCAGGTGCTTGTCTGTTTGAATTCTGAAGTCCCAGAGCAGTTTAATTTTATCATTTTCTATGACTTTCTCTATTTTATGATCCCACCAGTTTTTGCTTACAGGCAAATGATATTTTTTGCAGATCTTCCAATGCACCATTGTTGCTACTTTGTCATGCCGCTGCTTGTAATCAGTCTGTGCAATCTTCTTGCAACAGCTTACCAAGTGGTCCACTGTTTCTTCAGCTTCTTTGCATAGGCGGCACTTACTGTCTGTTGCTGTCTTCTCAATTTTGACTTTGTATGCATTTGTCCTTAAGGCTTGGTCTTGTGCAGCCAGAATTAGTCCCTCGGTCTCTTTCTTCAATTTTCCTGCTCTTAGCCATTGCCAGGTTTTATTATTATCTGCTTTCCCAGCTATTTTTTTCATGTATTGGCCATGTAGTGCTTTGTCTTCCCATGCCTCTATTCTGTTCTTCATTTGGTCTTTCTTGTAGGCCAGTTTGGTCTCTCCAGTAGTTAGTAAGCCTTCCTGATATACTAATTTCAGTGCATCTTCATCATTGTTCTTCAGATATTCTTCCAAAGCCATTTTTTCTTCTTCAACCATCTGATGTACTTGTAGCATTCCACGCCCACCTATTTGCCTTGGTAGATAAAGTCTATCAATGTCACTGCGTGGATGAAGGGCATGATTCATTGTCATTATTTTTCTGGTCTGCCTATCCATTGCTTTTAGTTCTGCTTGAGTCCAGTCCACTATTCCAGCTGTGTACCTAATGACTGGGATTGCCCAGGTGTTGATTGCCTTTATGGTATTTCCTCCATTGAGTTTGGACTTTAAGATCTTCTTCACTCTCTTGATGTATTCACCTCTAATCTTTTTCTTGACTTCAGTGTGCTTGATGTTGTCAGCTTGAAGGATACCCAAGTATTTGTAGTACTCTTCCTCATCCAGACTCTTAATGTTATTTTCGTGGGGCATCTTGATTCCTTCAGTTTTCACTATTTTTCCTTGTTTGATAGTAAGTGTGGCACATTTGTCCAAGCCAAACTCCATTACAATATCTTGGCTATATATACGGACAGTGTTGAGCAGCGATTCTATTTCAGATGATGTTTTTCCATACAGCTTCAGATCATCCATATAAAGGAGGTGGGATAGTCTAGCAGATGTTTTTGATGTTTGATAGCCATGTCCTGAGTTATTCAGTATTGTTGACAGAGGAAACAGTGCAATAACAAATAGTAATGGTGATAATGAATCTCCTTGAAATATTCCTCTCTTGATATTAACCTCTCCCAGCTTTTCACCATTGATCTGCAACTGTGTCTTCCATTGTGCCATCGATCTTTGCACAAATTTTCTGATGTTTCTACTGACTCCTGTTATTTCTAGGCACTTGATTATCCAATCATGTGGCAGAGAGTCAAATGCCTTTTTGTAGTCAATCCATGCCACATTCAGGTTGGTCTTCCTTCTCTTGCAGTTTTCCAAGATCATTTTGTCTATTAGGAGTTGATCTTTTGTTCCTCTGCTATTGGGGCGGTTTCCTTTCTGCTCAGGTGGAAAGAGATTGTTTTCAACTAGATGCTGTTGTACTGCATCAGCTACCACACCAGTTAGTAATTTGAAAGTTGTTGGTAAGCAGGTAATTGGCCTGTAGTTACCTGGTGTTGCCCCTCTTGTTGGATTTTTCATTATTAGGTAGGTTTTCCCAGTTGTTAGCCACTTTTCAATTTCTCCTCCTTGTAGTATATTGTTGAATTGCTTGGCAATGAGTGGGTGTATAACAGTTAGATGTTTCAACCAAAACCCATGCAGTTCATCTTCACCTGGTGCTGACCAATTTTTGATTTTCTTTGCTCTTTTTTCTACCATTTTTGTTGTTATTACTAGTTCTTTCATTTCAACTTCTGTTTTATTTGCATCCACCTCTTTTAACCAAGCCGCATCCTTGTTGTATTTCTTTGGGTTATCCCATATCTGCTTCCAGAACTGCACTGTTTCTTCCTTGTCAGGTACTGACTGATTCCTTGCAGTTTCTCCATTGATGGATTGGTAGAAACGTTTCTGATTGGATTGAAATTGGAGGTTCTGCCTATAGTTTGCAATTCGAGCTTCATATCTACTGATTTTCCTGGCTATAGCTGTTATTTGTTGCTTTATTATTTCCAGTGCTTCCTTGATCTTCCTTGTTTCTAAGTGGTATTTCTTGATTAGGTATTCTTTGGTCTTCTTGTTCTTCAGCTTCTTTTCTTTCATCTGTTCTAGCTTGCTTGCATGTGATCTTAACTTGCTGATCTTATTTTCTAGTCTAACCTTCCATTTTTGTGGTGCACTGTTTGTTTGTTTTTCTTTTTTGTTGATTTTACATCCCAGGTATTCTGTTATAACTGCAGCTGTGCTGTACATTAATTGGTTTGTTTCTTGCAGTGAATTGGTGCTTATACTTGCTATTGCAGTATTTGCATCTTTTAATGCTTGTGCTAGCTGTTTCTTTGGAACAAGCTTCAATGCAGGCAGCCTTATTCTGTTGTTTTTGTGCTGTTCTAGATGCTCAGTTATTCTTTGTTTCAATTCTTTTATTTCTTTAGTTAGAGGGTTTTGTTCTTCCTGAGGAAGAGGTGCCTGGTTTCCAAATGAGAACAGTTGTATATCTCTACTGGATTCTTTCACTGCCAACTCCCCCTGGTTTGCCTCTACATTCTGAATTACTTCTTGTAAGGCTTTGATTTCTTTGCCCTGGGTAAACCTTTGCAGTTCGTCCAATTCTGTTTCTGTAAATACTTTATTTCGTGTTATAAATCGGCGTTGATCTGCTAGTCTCTGTTCTGTTATTTCTGATTCTGGATGTTGTTCTTTCCAGAATTGGTGCATTCGTTTTAGATATCCTCGTCTTGTTGGACTTGATCTGTAGTAACAGATCATTATTTCTTTGTTTTCCATCACTGTGTATCTGCGACGGGTAAACACCTTTTCTTCCAGTAGTTCTGCAGCTGCTGGCCCTGGTTGCTCAGCCAACAGTCCTGAGTCCTGTAACCCATTTTTCACCAGATATCCAGGAACTCCAATATCTAGTGCGGACCTTGTTAACCCGGGCGACGTCCGAGCCGGTATGGCATTCTGAAATTTACGTCTCACCATATTTTTTATGGGAGAGACACTCTTTGTCTGACTCCTCTGATGAGACCTGTCCAGTATGGTTGAACCTCTGGCATAGCTCTCATCTTCCTCAGAGTACACAAGCCCCACAACCACGATTATTATTATTATTATTATTATTATTATTATTATTATTATTATTATTATTATTATTATTATTGATCATTGCACAGTCAGCCAGATGTTCAGACTGGATTTGGCATTTTGTCAAGTTAAGTCTGGGGTATTATGTTGCAGGTGCTTGTCTGTTTGAATTCTGAAGTCCCAGAGCAGTTTAATTTTATCATTTTCTATGACTTTCTCTATTTTATGATCCCACCAGTTTTTGCTTACAGGCAAATGATATTTTTTGCAGATCTTCCAATGCACCATTGTTGCTACTTTGTCATGCCGCTGCTTGTAATCAGTTTGTGCAATCTTCTTGCAACAGCTTACCAAGTGGTCCACTGTTTCTTCAGCTTCTTTGCATAGGCGGCACTTACTGTCTGTTGCTGTCTTCTCAATTTTGACTTTGTATGCATTTGTCCTTAAGGCTTGGTCTTGTGCAGCCAGAATTAGTCCCTCGGTCTCTTTCTTCAATTTTCCTGCTCTTAGCCATTGCCAGGTTTTATTATTATCTGCTTTCCCAGCTATTTTTTTCATGTATTGGCCATGTAGTGCTTTGTCTTCCCATGCCTCTATTCTGTTCTTCATTTGGTCTTTCTTGTAGGCCAGTTTGGTCTCTCCAGTAGTTAGTAAGCCTTCCTGATATACTAATTTCAGTGCATCTTCATCATTGTTCTTCAGATATTCTTCCAAAGCCATTTTTTCTTCTTCAACCATCTGATGTACTTGTAGCATTCCACGCCCACCTATTTGCCTTGGTAGATAAAGTCTATCAATGTCACTGCGTGGATGAAGGGCATGATTCATTGTCATTATTTTTCTGGTCTGCCTATCCATTGCTTTTAGTTCTGCTTGAGTCCAGTCCACTATTCCAGCTGTGTACCTAATGACTGGGATTGCCCAGGTGTTGATTGCCTTTATGGTATTTCCTCCATTGAGTTTGGATTTTAAGATCTTCTTCACTCTCTTGATGTATTCACCTCTAATCTTTTTCTTGACTTCAGTGTGCTTGATGTTGTCAGCTTGAAGGATAACCAAGTATTTGTAGTACTCTTCCTCATCCAGACTCTTAATGTTATTTTCGTGGGGCATCTTGATTCCTTCAGTTTTCATTATTTTTCCTTGTTTGATAGTATTATTATTATTATTATTATTATTATTATTATTATTATTATTAAGACGTGGACTTCAGCTCCTGAATCTGTCTTCCCCATTGACTTTGGTCCTCAGAATGTTGCAAAAGGGGATCACAGGTAGTACAGGAGCCATAGTTGGGAAAAGAACTTTGGACATAATATAGAATTAGAAAACCGGCAAAAGAAAGAAATGCTAAATTAACGAAAGCAGTGGCATATATAAAGAAAACTTATATAAAATGTTTTACAGATGGCATTTAACATCAGTGAGATTAGCAAAAATGTTTAAAAGTACTTCAAACAAGTGTTGGAAATGCAAACAAAAACCAGGTACTTATTACCATATATCTGGTGAACATGCCCTAAAGCTAAAAGATGTTGGTCCAAAATATATTTATGGTTGGAAAAAATGACTAAAAAACAAATAGACTTTAAGCCAGAATTATTTTTATTAGGAATAATAGGAGCAAATTATGATAAAGATTGTATATATTTAATTTTACATGTACTAACTGCAGCAAGAATTGTATTTGCCCAACATTGGAAAAATGAAAATTTACCAATTGAAGAAGAATTAATTAAGAAACTTTTAGAGGGTGCAGAAATGGATAGATAGACTTTAAAGATAAAAGAGAAAGAAGACTCAGTGTATTTTAGAACATGGGATAACTTTTATCAATGGCTAGAAAAACGAGTTAGAGAGATAGGAATGTGATATGTAACATTGAATATATACTAGTAAGAAGACTACCAAGCGATTAATTAACATATTGTTATGATAATTAGTTACTACTCATTGTTTTTTTTCTTTTTAAATACATTTACCCAGACAATATGCTGTTTCCTAAATATTAAGAATGTTATTTTAAAAAATCCTAACCCCAACCCCAACTTCAACCCTACCTTATTCCTAATCCTATAAAAACTAATTATTTATATATATAAAGAAAGGCCAGCTGCCTTTTGGCTCAGGAATTCTGGGAGTTGAAGTCCAGAGGTGGTACAGGAGCCATAGTTGCCCCCGCTGATCTGTAAGCTTTCTGTCTTTCTTGCTCCCATCCTCCCAGTGAATGAAACCCTGCTAAATTTCTTTCACTCCAGGATTTCCAGGAAGTGCACATGGAATCCATGATCCCTAAGCCCTCTTCTCTGAATTTGCTCCATCTTTGCTGTAGTTCTTCTCCAGAGTACCTAGAGCCCGCAGCTGTCCCATCTTAAATTTTAAGGAATGGTCTAAATTCACAGTATATTTCAGGTATTTATGCCCTTCTTGTACGGTGAAGCGAAAATCAGCGGACAAGAATCTTTCAAAAAGTTCAGGGTTGTCATCCAAGGCCATGATATTCTTGAGTTCTTTTTGCTTGGACAACAGCTCAGGACAAATCTCCACAAAGATGTCCCACATCAACTTCTTCTCATAATCGCTGTGCAACTTGTCTTCAATGCATTGCAACTTGTCTTCAACGCATTGGAGGATCCAACTCAAGCGACACGGCCACTGGTTGGCCAACACCACCCAACTGGCCACATTCTGGGCACAGCGGTTGTTCTTCAGCAGGCCCTGTTGTGTCATCAACCTGATCATAAGAATGATGGCGTTGCCAATCCTCCACATCTGGACAATGTTATCTGGGACATAACGGTAGAGACAATCCTTTTCATCTTGCAAGCATTGGAAAGCTTCACGGATGTATTGGGATGCCAGGGCATCGATCTGCTTTTGGCTCTCTAAATCTTTGCTCACTTCCAGGTTCCTTGTAGTGATCAGAACTTCCAGACTCTCCAGGGTCTTCTGCAAACTCTGCCTCTTGGACTCGATGGCGATTTCCGGTATGGAGAACGGAAGGGTCATTATGCGGTTGAGGTACAGGTAGCCGTTGTCCGCCATTCCCTTCATGCTGCTAGCCTGCTCCAAGCAAGAAACGATGATGCAGGGATCGACCACCAGGATGAAGATGAAGGGAGAATCCTTATTGGAAAGGAGCGTGTGGATGGCATTCAACACCCCGACCACCTGTTCAGGGTAGCATATATCTAAAGATGTGATCTCAAAGACAATCTTCAAGGGCCGACACTCAAAGATCTCCATGTAGTGTATAAAGTTGGTGAGGACCTCAATCTCTCTCTTCATTGCACTCCTGAAACCCAAATGTTTGGTGAACTTCTCATTGCTGGTCATGCTCTCGATCTTCTTCTTCTGGCTGATGATCAAGTTCTTGATGACAGGACTGATGGTTATGATGAACCCTGAGCCCAAAATGGCAGCAATGCTGCTACCAAGGTACTTCAAGAACGTGCCATCCCTTATCCCTGGCACAAAGAAGACGACAGTAGCCATGTCTATGACAGTTAGCAAAACAATCAGCAGGAGTCCTACTGCCATGCAGCACGTTTTCTTTTTATGTCTCCATTCTTTTTGGGTGGCTTGTAAGTCTAATTCTGGAGCGCTTCCTACCACTTGGTACAAACTCAGAGGAAGAGGACCGAAGTGCTTGCGGATATTGTCACACAGGGTGGCGATCAACCCAGCCCACAACTGGTTGCTGCATGCATACTCCCAGGCGCTGAATTGTATGAAGAGGAAGTTGACGTTTTTTCTTTTGCGGTGCTTCTCAGTGATGACTGGTTGGTAGAAGATGATGTACCAGAGGAGGATCAGGTAGTTTATTCCTTTGGGGACTCGGGACCTCTCACGAGTCCTGCTGAATTCTTTTTCTTCCTTTTTGATGGATTCTTCAAATATACTTTCTGGAAAAATCAGTTCAGAAGGGGTCAACGGAAGACCTGCCAAGTTCTCAAAGACCTCCTATCTATAGAAGAGAATCTTTGTAGCTGAGGATTGAAATGTGGACTCCATGGTGCTCTCTTCTTGCAAATGTTTTGTAAGTTACATCATCAGATGATGTTACCTGGGTAATAAAACATCTGCAAGAAAGTACCAATCTGAGAGAGCACCAAGGACCTAACAGTCCTCCTCCACCTCCACCTCCACCTCCTCCTCCTCCTCCTCTTTTCCACCTTCTCCTGCTCCCCTCTATAAACCCCAACTCCTTCTAGCACTGATGATGTTACTTTCTGACGCCAATGATACCAGTTTTGCGATGGCGTGCTGACTCCTATAAGGTTACTTCCTCTCTCCCCAGAGACCCATGGATAGAGGAAGTACCAGTGGTGGGATTCAAATACCCAAACAACCGATTCTCTTATTGGATGCAGGCCTGGGCCTGCAAGGCCTAGAACGGACTTCCGGAAGTGGCATCCATGCACTGCCAGCGGGCCATTCTAGGCCTGGGAAGCCTCCTCCAGGCCTCCGAGGCCTAGAACGGACTTCCGGAAGTGGCATCCGTGCACTTCCGATGCGCCGTTCTAGGACTGGGAGGCCTCCTCCAGGCCTCCGAGGCCTAGAACGGACTTCCGGAAGTGGCATCCGTGCACTTCCGATGCGCCGTTCTAGGCCTGGGAAGCCTCCTCCAGGTCTCCGAGGCCTAGACTGGACTTCCGGAAGCAGTGTGTATTCAGCTGGTTCTCCAAACTCAACAAAATTTAGCTACCGGTTCTGGTGAACTGGTGCAAACTGGTTGAATCCCACCACTGGGAAGACCCCTTCTACTGAGGACGGGTCTACTGAAATTCTTCCCCATTGATTCTCTCAGGGTGGGACTGACCTTTAATCTTGTCCAGTAGGGCATGAAGGCGTATTTTGTATGATGAACAGAAGCCCACAGTGACTGGGGTTGGGGTTTGGCACAATATCTTCTTTAAAGAGTAGAAATAAACATCTTCCCCGCTCTGGTGATCTGAGGAGTGGAAAAGGAAAAAAAAAAGAAAGGAATGGAAAATAACCAGAGGATCCACACACCAGTGTCCCTAGCTGGCTGTTGGCATAGCCCTGAAACAAGTGACTAGGTTCCTGCTTTTACGACCGTCATAGCATCCCGATGATGATGAGATCAGAATTCAGGCACTTATCAACGGGCATGTACTTAGGACAGTTGAAGCATCCTGGGGTCTTGTTATCGCCATTTGCGACCTTCCTAAGTTGACTTCTGACTAACATGGTCAAGGGGGGGAGAGCTTGATTTGTTTAACGACCACATGATTCACTTAATAACTGCAATGATTCACTTACGGACCACAGCAAAAACACTTGAAAAATCGGGTGCCTTTCACTTAACAGGTGTCTTGCTTGGCAACGGAATTCCGGCCCCAGTTGTGGTTATAAACTGAGGCCCACCTGGAATCTCTACTTGCCTAAAGTAGTGTTTCTTCACCTCAGCAAATTTATGAAGCGTGGACTTCAACTCCCAGAATCCCAGCATTCTTTAAAATGGATAGACTTCCATTCCCAGCATGGGTAGCTGGGGAATTCTGGGAGCTGAAATCCAGACATGTTAAACTTGCTAAGGTTGAAACAAATACCACTAGCCTAAAGCATCACTGTGGAAAAACCATTCCTGACAGGCCTTTTGTACCCCAAAGATCTGTCAGAAAAAAAGAGTAATGAGGATAATTAGCTTGTGTAACTCATCCTATTGTAAATGCCTCAGAGCAGAGCTGAGATTGCTTCAGTGTTTCCCCCCCACCCCCAGGTGCTTTTCTGCTTTCTGGATGGAACTGAGCGTTAACCATCCTGTGATTTATTTATCAAATTTATTTGCCATTTATGCAGGATGACATTCACAATTCCTTTGCAAATACAACTATTATCACTTATGACCTTAATTGCCAGGCTACATGATGGTTGTAAATTGAGGACCATTGGGTGGTCATTAAGTGGAACCTATGGGTTCCCTGTTTTGTGCCAGCATTTTCATTTCATCAGATTCTGAACTAATGAACCAAATCTGTGATGACTTGAACTCTAAGAAGGATGCAGTAACAAAGTGACTTTAAATTCACTGAAAATAAGTGAGCTTTATAAAAAAAAAACCACAATAGGAGACTTAAAATGCCAAATATAAGCCATAGCATTATCTTTGCTTTTAAAAAAATGTTCTCCCCAGATGGTTTTTTTTTTCTCACAAGAAAATTAAATGCCTGTGATGTTTTAAAGAAATTGACTCCAAAAATGACATGGAATTGTTGAGGAAATCGAATTGGTCATAATCTGGAGTTTAGATCATGACTGACCAATCTTTGGGCTTGTCTGCTCTGCACTGAGTGAAGAGGAATTGTCTTGGGCCACATACAAAATATCAAATATAGGTAACGTATATAAATAACAAACTTAATTTGTTAATATTTTTATTATCATGTGGGACCATATTACTAGCTGTCCAGGACTACATGTGGCTGTGGGCTTCGGGTTGGACATGCCTGGTTTTCATATTGCAATAATCTAAAGTAATGAAAAAATTTGCCAAGCGTTATTTAACAATTAGACAACGATGTGAGCTGATTATTTGCTCCCAATTTCGTGCATTCTAAAAGAACCATGCCAGGAAACAAAACATAACAATTTAAGACTCTCTAAAATGGCTGCTTGCAAAGCTGGTAAGAGAAGACCTAATGAAAAAAGGAAAGAAAGCATTTAAGATATTATGCTAATGAAGAAAACAACTTCTGTTAATCCTGTTTTGAAAACATACATTAATTACCCTCCACACACAGGAACCGTTGCAGACATTAGAATTGTTACCTAACTTTCCCTGAAGATTAAAAGAATTCCTAAGAAAAGTTTGCGTAATGGTTCTAATGTTTGCAACAAACGAAAACACGTCTCTTTCAAAGGGCTGATGAAAAGGCTACTGGGCAGGTAGTCCTCACAACCATTCCTTTAGTGACTGTTCAAAGTTACAGCGTCACTAAAGTCCTCGTACTTACAACTGTTGCCGCATCACCAAGGTCACGTGATCAAAATTCGGGTGCTTGGCATGTATTTGCGATGGTTGCAACATCCTGAGATGATGGGATGGTCATTTGCCACCTGGGCATGTGGGCACGCTTTTAGGATGGCCGCTTAAATTGAGGTTTAATGTACAGGTAGTCTTCAACTTACATTCACAACTGGGACCAGAATTTGTGTTGCTAAGCAAGGCAGTTGTTAATTGAGTCCCATCTGCTTTTATGACCTTTTTGGCCTGTTTGTTACACCAATCGGTTGTTAGGTGAATCACATGGTTGTTAAATGAATCCAGATCCCCCCCTGCTCCCCATTAACTTTGCCTATCAGAACCATGCTATCATGTCACCCCTCGTCCTTCTCTTCGTTAAACTAGACATACCCAATTCCAGCAACCGTTCCTTATGTTTTAGCCTCCAGTCCCCTAATCATCTTTGTTGCTCTTCTCTGTACACTTTCTAGAGTCTCAACATCTTCATAAATGACTTTTTAAAGTACTGTTGTAACTTCAAACAGTTGCTAAATGAATGGTTGTACCTGTACTAAATTTGATTTTTGGAAGAAGTGGGATGAAATCCTTGCTACCTTCCATTTGTCCAAATCCAGCGGTTGTGAATTAGATGCCGAGCTTACCTTCATCACAACGTCCATCGTGGCTAAAGTGGGAATCCTTTCTTGAGAACAGGCTCCCCGCTTCGTGGTACTCCTCCGCATGGAGCAGCTGAGCAGCTTCCTCGTCAGAGTAACTCATCAGCTCTGGAATTGCTGGACCATCAACTGGACTTCCCAGGCAAGCTGGAGCCTGCCAAAAGGCGATAAGGCAGACAGGTGATTCAACCTGGTTATCTGGGACAGGTAAGCTTCTAATGAGAATGGATGAACAGAATATAGATATCAAGCCACATCTGGGATAGATGCATTGTAGTAGGGTTTTTCTCTCTCTGCCTTTTTCTTGTTTCCAGGTTTTAGGTTAGAAAAACAGTCCATTAAGTGAAAAGAGAGAGAAAGAGAGAGAGAGAGAGAGAGGAAAGAAAGAAAGAAAGAAAGAAAGAAAGAAAGAAAGAGAAAGAAAGAAAGAAAGAAAGAAAGAAAGAAAGAAAGAAAGAAAGAAAGAAAGAAAGAAAGAAAGAAGAGAGGAGAGGTGTAGTTTTGGTTCTTGAAGCTCCAGATTCTACTGACCTTCACAGCTGGCCTCCAATTCTCTGTAAGTTGGAGAAAAAAGACCAACAAAATAAAAGCCCAAAGGTGTTGAAAATGAGAACCTCATTTGTTTCTGATAGGTTGCTAATTGGGATGAGAAAATATTTCAGCCACTGTATTGAGAAAGAAGATCAGATGTAGGGGGTGTGGCCTGGACATCGAGCCATGGGCTGTGAGCATAATTCTGATGATGTTCTAACGAAAAACTAAATTTCCCTTTTTTCCCCTTTTCTGTTCTTACGTGGCATTCTCTTCCAGTGACAGAAAAAGTTTGCTTACCACCAGGAGTCCTTGAATTACAACCCAAATGCTTCTAGTGTTGGAGCATTTACTGCTTCTGGAGGCAGGCTGTTCCACTGATTAATTGTCCTCACTGTCAGGAAGTTTCTCTGTAGTTCTAGGTTGCTTCTCTCCTTGATTAGTTTCCATCCGTTGCTTCTTGTCCTGCCTTCAGGTGCTTTGGAAAATAGCTTGATTCCCTCTTCATTATGGCAACCCCTGAGATACTGGAATACTGCTATCATGTCCCCCCTCGTCCTTCTCTTCGTTAAACTAGACCAGGGGTAGGCAACCTTGGCTCTTTTATGACTCGTGGACTTCAACTCCCAGAATTCCTAAGCCAGCCTGGCTCAGCTTGGAAACCTCTCCCTTTCCCCTCAGCATGGCTGGCTCAGGAATTCTGGGAGTTGAAGTCCACCAGTCATAAAAGAGCCAAGGTTGCCTATCTCTGAACTAGACATCCCCAATTCCAGCAACCGTTCCTTATATGTTTTAGCCTCCAGTCCCCTGATCATCTTTGTTGCTCTTCTCTGTACTCTTTCTAGAGTCTCAGCATCTTTTTTACATCGTGGTGACCAAAACTGGATGCAGTATTCCAAGTGTGGCCAGGTATTCCAGATGTGAACACCTGACCAAAAGTGATCAATCAAGGATGTTTATGCAGAAAAAAAGACACCCCGTATTTCAGGGAGATGAAAGTAAGGTCGATTTTGGAGGCTGTAAAATGGGTGTTTTTTTAAATACATATTTTATTAATTTTCTAGTTTTACAATCGTAAGTACTTAATAAGCAACGTGTTGTCTGGGTCCATTAGTAATTCAGTGGTACATATTAACTTTTTCAATCTAGGCCCAATATTACACCATCCAATGCTTCTTCTCTTTGTGAGTTCACAAGAAATGTACATGTTGTAATTTTCCATTTCTGCTAAAGGAATAGGCATATAGAGGCACTTAGCCAAGGTAGTTTTAGGAAAGGAGATGTGGTAAGCTGGAGAAATAGAGAGAAACTCTATATTCTGACTTAAAGCATACTTTAAGAATAGTGCACACTATTGTAGAATAGCATGTAGCTTATGAATAACATATTATCCAGGTTTATTCTTTATAAAAACTGCCTAGAGTTAGTATTTTAAAGTATAACTATGAACCAAAATGCAGCCATGTTTAACCAAAGCATGAACTCTGTTGCACACATAACTTTTAGATGAAAAGTAGGCACTCTTATAGATAAACAAGGAAGACATAAATCTTTTATAATTGAAATTATCCAGTTTGGGTAACAGTTCACCTTGTAGATAAGGCTATACCCTTAGTTAGCAAGGTGTTATAAATCAAGCCACAGAAAAGGGAGGGAAGATAAGAGGAACAAAAGGGTGCTTTTTGATCTAATAATTGGAGGATTTGGTAATTGTAATGATTGCTAGGCAGTCGGGAAAGCATGTAACCGGTTGGGCCTATCAACTGGGCTCACTTTGGAAGGATGTGGCGTGATGCACAGGACAGGGTATAAAAACCTATGCAAACGTTGATTCAGGTGTGGACTCTGAGATTTGCCATTACCAAGAGTTCCACCAGCTTTTGCAAAAGCTTTAATAAAACTTCTTTTGTTTTCCAACACCCTTGGAGGAATTTTTATTCCTCACAAATACAGTAGAACAGTGTTTCCCAAACTTGACAATTTTAAGGCATGAGGACTTCAACTCCCAGAAGTTTTCTTTGTTATCTTCAGGGAGGAGGGGGCTCCGTGGTATCCGAAGCAGAACATCTGGATTCAGTCACAGTTTTGTGCCATACAAATATTAACCTTGTAAACTCTAAAGTTTCCTCCTTCCGTTAGGTATTCAAGATGGACAGGGATTAATATTTATATGTTACTTATATGTAAGGGTGTAGGTCTATACATACGTTGCATATAGTATGTTTTCGATGTGTGTTATGTATGTGTACACTTTGAGAGGGAGCAACTAAATCTCATTTTTACTGTGTGCCATTGAGCCCACAGGGAAAAAAATGACAATAAAAGTTATCTAATTTAATCAACATTTTTGTTACATTTTCCTAATAATATCAATAATGTTGGTTTAAAACCCTAACCCTAACCTTCCCCCCAATATGACACCCCTCGCCCCCCACCAGTGAAGCCAGCACATCAAGGCTGGTGCACTCTCCCACATGCTCTCTCTTCTCTTCAATGGTCCTTTAGTTGGAAGCTAGGAAGAGATCTCCAGAGGTGGTGAGAAGCTGTAGACCAGTGTTTCTCAACCTTGACAATTTTAAGGCATGTGGACTTCAACTCCCAGAATTCCACAGCCAGCAATGCTGGCTGTGGAATTCTGGGAGTTGAAGTCCACATGCCTTAAAATTGTCAAGGTTGAGAAACACTGCTGTAGACCTTCAGGTGGATGTGGTGTCACGGGTCATCCCTCCAAATGGAGCTCTCTATCCATGCACGTAGCCACAAAGACTGACTGGTGCTCACTCAGGATGAGCAGGCATTTTGACATGGTGGATGTGGGTTGGCAGAAGGGGATCCAGCGGGCCAAAATCCAGGTGATTGGACATCCCGGTCACAGGAGTGTTCTGGAGACCGTGTTAAATGTACCGGTAGAATAGTTGAAGTTCAGGGTTGAACTGTGGGGTCCTTGATGTTCTCTGAATTTGCTTGTCTTCTTGCAGACATTTCATTAAACAAACTATGTAACCTAATCAGTGCTAGCGACTGATGATGTTACCTAATCTGGGTAATGAAACAGCTACAAGAAAACAGCCGAGTTCAGAGAGCACCAAGGACCCCTCGTGTTCAACGTCCTCATAAATCTTGGAGGCCATGTGAAATGTTCTTGAAAATTTGTGAAGAACTCTTTCAGTGAGAGGCATCAGGATTACAAAGACCTGGTTTGTAGATCAAACTATAAACCTGATTCACACAGTGCAAAACTGTGGTTTGTTCAGCTGTGGTTGACGATAACAAACCATAATGGTTGGTTCACCCAACAAAAAAAACTAAACCAACTACTTTATCACGTAGTCCGATGTGGTGAGCCAACCTACATCCTGATAGCCTAATGCTCAGCACTGGCACAAGAGGAAAAGTTCTTTGGTGCACCACTGGGTGGTGTGCTTTCCTTTCCATACAAGCAAAGATTTAGAGTGGCACCTAAATCTTTGCTAATTGGTTTTGGGGAGTGCGATAATTACCAAAAAACGATGAGTACCAAACAAATTTCCCCAAAAGGAATATTGTAGTGAGTCACAAGGCAGCCGACACTGACAAGTTCTAGTTTGTGCGTTGAGGACAAAATAAACAATGAGTATCGGGACAGAATTTTTGCATCAAAATGTGTTGAGTACCAAATTCAATGACACTGCAACCATCATAGGTACAAGCATCTGAATTTGGATCACAATACCATGGGAATGCTGCAATGGTAGCAAGTGTGAAAACTTGTGTGAAGTTGTAATTTCAAATGGTCACTAAATGAGTGGTTGTAAGCTGAGGACTTAGAACTTACACCAACTTCTACGATCCGAAGTCTTCCACATCGATAAAAAGTACTCATAATATTTCTTAATTACATACATACACAGGATCGCCTCCCAATTTAAAAACTGAGGGTTCTCCATAAAACCCACACTTTCTGCAGCCTATGTAAATTATTATTTATTTTGTAGCTGATTGATAGTCCGGGTTCTCTCGACGCTCAAGACAAAGGAGGGAGATGTCTCCCCATTTTTTTCCCAGAACAACCACCTTGTGAGGTAGGTTTACATTAAGTTGAGGTTTTCCCCAGTCCCGGAACTCAACATCTGATCAGTTGTGAATTGATACTATTGTTCAGCAGGTTTGGTATTTTTGCAATATTGTGATGCATATTTTTTTTTCACCCATAAAATATCAAAAATATAATCAAAATACATTTTGTAACCTTTGGACAATCCTGTCGGCTCACAAATATAATACTTAATCTGACAGTTGTGTATACAGATAGATCTCAACTTACAGCCACAGTTAGGACCAGACTTTCCCAGTTAAACCCAATTCTGAAACTTTTCTGCCATGGTTTTAAAGTGAATCATGTAGAGATGAAGCAAATCCAGCTTCCTCCACTGACTTCTCAAAAGCGGTCAGATGACCCTGGGATGCTGCAACCGCCATAAGTACGTGCCAGTTGCCATCCGCCTGAGTTTTGATCACATGACCATGTTGCGACAATCATAAATGGGAGGATGGGGTTGTAAATCACTTTTTCACTGCTGTTGTGACTTCCCACAGTGTTTAAAGGAATGGTTGTAAGTCAAGGACTATCTATACCAGGGGTGGGCAACTATGGCCCCTCTAGGACCTACAACCAAAACTTTTCCAACTTTTACAATTTTTTTCCTTGAAAACATTTTTTTCTCACCCAAGAAGCTTCTTCAATTATTCATGTAGAACTGAGGAAGCGTCTTAGATGAGAAGTAAGACCTTTTCAAAGGAATAAAACAAGAAAGGGCAGCTGCCTTTTGGAAAAGCACCTTAGAGACAACCACGAATCCCCATAGACATTTACAACCTATGGACTTCAACTCCCAGAAATCTTGAGTCAAGTGGCTCAGGAATTCTGGGAGTTGAAGTCCACAGGTGGTACAGGAGCCATAGTTGCCCCCGCTGATCTGTAAGCTTTCTGTCTTTCTTGTTCCCATCTTCCCAGCGAATGAAACTCGTGCTAAATTTCTTTCACCCCAGGATTTCCAGGAAGTGCACATGGAATCCATGATCTCTAAGCCCTCTTCTCTGAATTTGCTCCACCTTTGCTGTAGTTCTCCAGAGTAGCCAGAGCCTGTAGCTGTCCCATATGATACCTTATGGAATGATCTAAGTTTACAGTATACTTCAATAATTTCTTCCCTTCTTGTACGGTGAAGGGAAAATCACCGGACAAGAATTTCTCAAAAAGTTCAGGGTCGCCATCCAAGGCCATGATATTCTTGAGTTCTTTGTGCTTGGAGTAAAGCTCAGGACAGGTCTCCACAAAGACGTCCCACATCAATTCCTTCTCATAATTGTTGGGTGGTTGGCACTGCAGCTTGTCTTCCATGCATTGGAGGATCCAACTCAAGCGACACGGCCATTGGTCGGCCAACACCACCCAACTGGCGACTGCCCGGGCACAGATATTGTGCCTCAGCAGATGCTGTTGAGTCATCAACCTGATTGTAATGGGGATGGTGTTGACAATCCTCCTCATCTGGATAATGCTATCTGGGACATAATGGTAGAGACAATCTTGTTCGTTATGCAAGCAGTGAAAAGCTTCATGGATGTATTGCACTGCCAGTGCATCGATCTGTTGTTGGTCTTCTTGAACCTCTGCTTCCATGTTCACCAATGCTTCAACATTCCCTTTGGACTTTGTCACTCCCAACTCCACGTTCCTTGTAATGATGCCGTACATCAGATCTTCCCGAGTCTGGAAGGCCTCATGCAAACATCGCATCTTGGATTTGATGCCAATTTCTGGGATGGAGAATGGAAGGGTCACTGTGCGGTTGAGGTACAGGTAGCCATTGTCCGCCATTCCCTTCATGGTGCTAGCCTGCTCCAAGCAAGAAACGATGACACAGGGGTCAACCACCAGGATGAAGATGAAGGGGGCATTCCTATCGGAAAGGAGCGTGTTGATGGCGTTCAACACTCCAACCACACGTTCGGGGTAGCACATATCCAAACATGTGATCTCAAAGACAATCCTCAAACGCCGACGCTCAAAGATCTCCATGTAGTAGACAAAGCTGGTGAGGACCTCAATCTCTCTCTTCACTGCACTCATGAAACCCAAGTGGCTGGTGAACTTCTCATCGCTGGTCATGCTCTCGATCTTCTTCTTCTGGCTGAGGATCAAGTGCTTGATGACAGGACTGATGGCTATGACGAACCCTGAGCCTGAAATGGCAGCAATGGTGCTACCAAGGACCTTTAAGGTTGTGCCATCCCTTATCCCTGGCACAAGGAGGGCGGTAGTAGCCAGGCCTGCGCCAGCTAGCAACACCACCACCAGTCCTCCTGCGGCGCAGCATGTTTTCCTTTTAAGCCTCCATTCTGTTTGGGTGAATCCTGAGGCGAATTGTGGACGGCTTCCTACCACTTGGTAGAAACTCAGGGGAAGAGGACCAAATTGGTGGCGGATATGGTCACACAGGGTGGTGACCAATCCAGCCCACAATTTGTCACTGCCTGCATATTCCCAGGCGCTGAATCTTATGAAAAGGAACTCGATGGTTTTTCTTCGGAGGTGTACCTCGGTGATGACCGGTTGGTAGAAGACGATGTACCACAGTAGAGTCAGGTAGTTTATTCCTTCGGGGACTCGGGATCTCTGGTGGGTCCTCCTGTATTCTTCTTCTTCCCTTCGGATGGATTCTTTGAGCATGCATCCTGCCAAAGTCAGTTCAGAAGGGGTCAACAGAAGATCTGCCAAGTTCTCAAAGACCTCCTATCTATAGAATACTCTGTAGTTCAGGGTTGAACTACAGCAGTGGTTCTCAACCTTTTTAATGCTGCGACCCCCAACCGGTCGTAAGTCGAGGACTACTCAACTGGTGCAGCACCGTTTGCAGAATGGGACTTTTGGCGGGCTCAGCAGGGCAGAGACCGCCTGGATAATTCCTATTGGCTTTTGAAAGCCAATAGAATTAGACTCTATTCAAGAGAGTCTATTCTATTGGCTTTCAAAAGCCAATAGAATAAAAGGGAGTAGCAGAGCTAAGGAAAAGGGGGAAAAAAATGGCAGACTGCGTTGTTTGGCGACCCCCGTGAAATGGTCGTTCGACCCCAAATGGGGTCCCGACCCACAGCTTGAGAACCACTGAACTACAGAGTAGACATTTCATTACACAATTAGGGAACATCATCTGATGATGTTCCTAGGGGGGTCATGAAACATCGGCAAGAAAATCAATAAGCTCAAACACCACCAAAGACTCCACAGTCCTCCTCCTCCACTTCCTCCTCCCCTCCTCCTCCCTCCTCCTCCTCCTCCTCCTCCTCCTCCTTCCCTTCATAATTGTGTGATGGCGTGCTGACTTCTGTAAGGTCACTTCCTCTCTCCCCAGAGACCCATAGTTAAAGGACCTTTCTACTGAGGATGGGTCTACTGAGATTCTTCTCCATTGATTCCCTCAGCATGGGACTGACCTGCAATCTGGTCCAGTAAGGAGTGAATCCGTGTTCCGCATGGGGAATAAAAACCCACGGTGACTGGGGTGGAGGTATGGCACAATGTCTTCGATAAAGAGCAGCAATAAATGTCATCCTCGGTCAGCAGATCTGAGGAATGGAAAAGAAAAAAAAAGGGAATGGAAAATAACCACATATTAATGTCACTCAGGATAGCACCGAGAAAAGTTCTCGCGCTTATGACTGTCAACACATCCCCATGGTCATGTGATCAAAATTCAGGCCCTGGGCAACTGGCATGAATTTATGAAGATGGAAGCCTCCCAGGGTCATCTGATCACCATTTGTGGCTTTCCCAGCCGACGTCTGATAAACGAAGTCAATGGGGGGAAGCCAGATTCACTTAACGACCGCACAATTCACTTAACAACGGCAGTGATTTGCTTAACAATCGTGGCAAAAATGCTTGTAAAATCGGGCGCGGATGCCTCAGCAATCACCTTAACAACCACCTTGCCTAGCAACCGGAAGCAGTCTTTGCCAACCTCGGCAAACTGATGAAGTGTGGACTTCAACTCCCAGAATTCCTCAGCTAGCATTCTTTAAGAGGCGTGGATTTCTGTTCCCATCATGCATACCTGGGGAATTCTGGGAGTTGAAGTCCACGCATCTTAACGTTGCCAAGGCTGAGGAACACTACTAGTCTAAAGCATCACTATGGAAAAATTATCCCTGACAGGCCTTTTGTACCCCAAAGATCTGTCAGAAAAAAAGAGTAATTAGGATAATTAGCTGGTGTAACTCATCCTATTGTAAATGCCTCAGAGCAGAGCTGAGATTTCTTCACTGGTTTTTTTCCCCCCTCAGGTGCTTTTCTCCATTCTGGAAGGAGCTGAGTGTTAATCATCCTATTTTAGGCTTTAAGATGCCTAAAGGTTTATTTCTGGTGCATTTTCGGGATGGAAACGCAACTTTTATCAGTGTCCTTGAAGGGGGTTTCTGCCTTGCAGAAAACATAGTTTTGAGGTCGTAAGGGGTCTAGCCTTGCTGTTTTATCATGGCAGGTGTATGGTCAAAAAAGTCAAGATGGCAGTTGTGAAGAGCCAACCTCTGCCCATTTTATGTTGTGTACTTATAAACAACAGTACTGTTTGTAGATAAATCGGATAGTGATTCAGCTCAACACATATTTTTTTTTGTTAGCTTCTGCTTACATTCTGAATTTCTTCTGTGTTGGTAGTGAAATCTTCTCAGTTTATAGCCTAGGCCAGGGGTAGGCAACCTTGGCTCTTTTATGACTTGTGGACTTCAACTCCCAGAATTCCTGAGCCAGCCGTGCTGAGGGGAAAGAGAGAGGTTTCTATGCTGAGCCATGCTGGCTCAGGAATTCTGGGAGTTGAAGTCCACCCATCTCCGAGTGGCCAAGGTTGAGAAATACAGGCCTAGGCCAGGGGTGGGGAACCTTGGCTCTTTTATGACTCGTGGACTTCAACTCCCAGAAATCCTGAGCCAGCCGTGCTGAGGGGAAAGGGAGAGGTTTCTATGCTGAGCCATGCTGGCTCAGGAATTCTGGGAGTTGAAGTCCATGAGTCATGAAGGGACCAAAGTTCCCTCATGCTGGCTTAGGAATTCTGGGAGTTGAAGTCCACGAGTCATAAAAGGTTGCCTACCTCTGGCCTAGGCCGCTTTATGACTCGTGGACTTCAACTCCCAGAATTCCTGAGCCAGCATGGCTCAGCATGGATACCTCTCCCTTTCTCCTCAGCATGGCTGGCTCAGGAATTCTGGGAGTTGAAGTCCACGAGTCATAAAAGAGCTAGGGTTGCCTGCCCCTGGCCTAGGAGATATTCTCACCTAGGAGAGCAATGTCTGAACCATCTACCCAAGCGGTGCTTGCTTTGAACAGTGGATTTGACCCTGCCAAGTTTTCCCTCCTTGCCTGCAGAAATGTAGCTTTGTGAAGAGCACCACTTCCTTAGCAGCTAGTTTTCCATTCACAAGGAACGTTTGTGTAGAAATGGGTGTGTCTCAGAAACCCACACTAGACCTGCAGCCTGAAAGTTTATCTCAAGTGGGGATAACCTCGCCCCGCTGAACTTATACACCTATTCAGGGATTATAGCAATGGTGGTAGGTCAGCTATAAACTCTGGTTTATATTTTGAAATCATCCAGCAATGGAAACATAAAAGGAAGGGAAACTCCCTAAACTGTTAAAGACTTGACTCAGCACAGATTTCTTCTCACCCAGTTAAAAAGTGTGTCTCATTAAAATTGACGCAGGGTTAATTCAGGACGAGATTCACAGTTCCTTTGCAAATAAAGTTGTGAGCTGTAATGACGGTTGTAAAGTCGGTTACCACACGCTCGACTTGATTTTACAACTTTTATGTGGCAGTCGTTAAGTGAAATCTAGGAATTCCTCCTCTGGGGCCAGCAATTCCATTTCATTAGATTCCGAACTAATGAACCAAATTTGTGATGACGTGAACCCTTAAGAAGTTCGTGACCTTAAATTCCCTTTTTTCCTACTGAAAATAAATGTTTGTTTGTTTTTTTTGAAAGGCCATAAAAGCAAAACTAATGGCATGGCTTGTGTTTTGGCTTTCTAAATCTTATATAGCATTTTTTTTTTTTTTTGCCGTGGCGTGCTGACTCAGCAGTTAAGATAGTTTGAGGCCTGAGGTTTGAGACCTGAGCGTCATGCGACGGGGTGAGTCCTTGCTCCAGCTCCCGCCAAACTTGCAGGAGATGCATGCAAATGTGAGTAAATAAACAGGTACCACTTCGGATTTTACTTTGCTAGTTGATGCCCACTATAGGGGGTGCTGCTCATCTCCTTTTCAAGGCCATTGAGACAGAGTTGTCCGAAGACAATTTCTGCAATCATGTGACCAGCATGATGTCACAGAACGCGGTTACTTCCCACTGAAGTGGTACTTATTTATCTGCTTGCATTTGAATGCTTTCAAACTGCTAGGTAGGAGCTGGAGCAAGAAACGGAGCTCGCCCCGTCTCACGGCACTCAGGTCTCAAACCTTGGGCCTCAAACCATCTTAGCTGCTGAGCCACTGTGCCACCACCAAAAATGCCATCGAAGATTTAAAAAAAACGAATGCAAGGCATACCGTGATCTTTGCTTTTTAAAAATATTCTCCCTGGGATCGCTTTTTTTTTTCCCCTCCCAAGAAAATTAAATTCCTGTGATCTTAAAGAAACCGACTCCAAAAATGTTTCGGGGAATTGTTGAGGAAGTCAAAATGGTTATCATCTAGAGTTTAGATCATGGTTCTCCGACCTTTTGGTTTCTTTGGGTTGCATTGAGTGAAGAGGAATTGTCTTGGGCCACACACAAAAAATCAAATGTAGTTAATGTATATAAATAACAGACTTTATTTTTTAAAAAAATATTTTTTACTGTCAGGTGGAGATGCATCACTTGGTGTCCAGGACCGCAGACCACAGGTTGCCATGCCTGGCTTAGATATTAGAATAGAATAGAATAGAATAGAATAGAATAGAATAGAATAATAGACTGGACTGGACTGGACTAGAATAGAATAGAACAGAACAGAACAGAACAGAACAGAATAGAATAGAATAGAATAGAATAGAATAGAATAGAATAGAATAGAATAATGGACTGGACTGGACTGGACTGGACTGGAATAGAATAGAATAGAATAGAATAGAATAGAATAGAATAATAGACTGGACTGGACTAGAATAGAACAGAACAGAATAAGAACAGAACAGAACAGAACAGAACAGAATAGAATAGAATAGAATAGAATAGAATAGAATAGAGACCTTGGAGGTCTTCTAGTCCAACCTCCTGCTCAAGCAGGAGAACCTAGACCATCTCATATTGCAATAACCGAAAGTGATGCAAAAATCTGTGAAGCGTTATTTAATAACTAAGGAGGAAATAATGTGGAGCTGATTATTTGGCCCCAAATTCATTCTTTCTGAAAGATCTACATCAGGGAACAAAACATAGCAATTTAAGAGTCACTAAACTAGTTGCTTGCAAAGCCGGCAAGGGAAGGCATAATGAAGAACGGAAGAGAAAGCATTTAACATATATTATGCTAATAAAGAAAATAACTACTGTGTATGCAATCTGATTTTAAAAGCAGACGTTAATTACCTCCCCACGTACAGGAACTGTTGCAGATGTTAGAACTGTTACCTCCCCTTAAGATTAAAAGCATTCTTAAGAAAAGTTGAGGTAATAGGTCTAACTTTTGCAACAAACAAACACAAGTCTGTTTCAAAGGGCTGATGAAAAAAACTATCGGTCAAGCAGGCCTCAGTGTACCTCCATTCTTTTAGCGACCATTCCAATTGACAACGGCATTGAAAAAACTTACAGCTGGTCCTCACCTTTATGACCGTTGCAGCATCCCCAGAATCACGTGATCAAAAGCTTGGCAACTGGCATGTGTATTTACGAAACTTGCAATGAGGTCATGGGATGGACATTTGTGACCTAGGCATGCTTTTTTGACCGCCCCTTAAATCAAGGTTTAATGTACAGGTAGCCCTCGAGTTACGATCACAGCTGGGACCAGAATTTCTGTTGCTAAGCAAGCCAATTGATAAGTGAGGCACACCTGATTTTATGACCTTTTTTGCCACAGTTGTTAACAAATCACTGCAGTTGTTCACGGTCCTTAAGTGGATCCGGCTCCCCCCCCCTCCATTGACTGTGTCTGTTGGAAGCTGGCTGGGAAGGTCACACATGGCAAAAATGTGATGTCAAGAGACTGCAACCGTTGGATATAGGTGCCCATTGCCCAATGCCCAAATTTTGATCGGGGTCACCATGAGCCCCATGCTGTGATGGTTGTAAGTGTGAGGACTGTTCATAATTCACTTTTTGCCATGCCCTTGTACCTTCGAACGGTTGCTAAACGAATTGATTGTAAGTCAAGGACTAGCTGCACAAAATTTGATTTTGGGAAGAAGTGGGCTGAAATCCTTGCTGCCTTCCATTTGCCCAAATCCAGCGGCTGTGAATTAGATGCCGAGCTTACCTTCATCGTGGCATTCGGCATGGCTAAAGCCAGTCTCCCGGCTAGAGCAGAGGCACTCGGCATGGTGCAGCCTGGCGACTTCCTCATCATAGTAACTCATCAGCTCTGGAGTTGCTGGACCATCAACTGGACTTCCCAGGCAGATTGCAGCCTGCCAAAAGGAGATAAAGCAGACAGGTGATTCGACCTGGTTACCCGGGACAGGTAAGCTTCTAATGAGAATGAATGAACAGAATATAGATATCAAGCCACATCTGGGATAGATGCACTGTAGCAGGGTTTTTCTCTCTCTGCCTTTTTCTTGTTTCCAGGTTTTAGGTTAGGAAAACTGAGTCCATTGAGGAGAGAGAGAGGGAGAGAGAGAAAGAGAGAGAGAGAGAGAGAGAGAGAAAGAGAGAGAGAGAGGTGTAATTTTGGTTCTTGAAGCTCCAGATTCCACTGACCTTCACGGCTGGCCCCAACTTCTCTTTAAGTTGGAAACAAAAGTCCAATAAAATAAAAGCCCAAAGGTTTTAGGTTAGAAAAACCAAGTCCACTGAGTGAAAAGAGAGAGACACACACAGAGAAAGAGAGGTATAATTTTGTTTCTTGAAGCTCCAGATTCCACTGACCATATCAGAAACCAGTTTTAAACCAGGTTTGGCATCCCAAGGATGCTAATAGGGAGGACGAAATAGTTCAGCCACTGCAGATAGAAAGACTTTAGAAGGGATTGTATGCAGGGTGTGTGGCCTGGATATTGAACTATGGGAAATAGGGTTAACTCTGATGATGTTTCAGCAAAAAACAGATTTGATTTTTTTCCCCCTTTTCTGTTCTTTAGTGGCTTTCTCTTCCAGTGACAGAAAAAGTTTGCTTACACCAGGATTCCTTGACTGGGGCCAGAATTTCCATTCCTAAACAAGGTGGCTGCTAAGCGGGATGTGCTCAATGTTATGATCTCTTTACTATGGTTGTTAACTCCATGCCAAAAAGGACTAATTATCTCCCGGTGACTCAAATTCTTCTGCAAATAATCTCTCTTTAAGATGAAGATTATTATCAGTGGCATAGAATAGCAGCAGACATTTAAGTCCCAGACATTCCTTCACCGATGTTTAAATCCATCTTGGTGAAAATATAATTATTCTCTCTCTGTTTCTGTCTGTCCATCCATATTGGAATAAGTGACCAAACCGTGAACAATCTATGAATATTTAGACGGAAAAGAGTTCCACTGTATTTCGGGGGTTGAAATAAGAGCAATTGGGGAGATCGTAAAACAGTTTTTCTCAACCGTGGTTGTTTTAAGGTGTGTGGACTTCAACTTCTATGAGTAGCTGGATCATTCTGGAAGCCCACACATCTTTGTGCTTGCTGGCTGGGGAATTGTTGGAAGCTGAAGTCCACCCATCTGAAAGAACATGGCTGGCGATTTATGCAAGCTCAAGTCCACGCATCTCCAAGTGCCCAAAAACACTGATCTAGATTAAGGTTATTATGCAAACAGATTAAGAGTATTAATCTTTGAACTCTACTTTACAAATCCCAGGGGGTGGGTCACCCAATTTGCAAATGCAGTGTTGGCAATAGGCCACCCATGATGTTTTTTCACTGAACATCTGCAGAACACCAGTATTTAATATTTCCCTTTTCTTCCAAGAAATACACTGCATAAAACCCCGCAAGAGATTTTGCTTAGTTTGTTTGCTTTCTTCAGCTTTTCTTTTGCTCCAAATGCTTCTGCAGTGCCCTGGGGGGGGGGGTAGAGAAGAGAAGCATGCTGGCTGGGGAATTCTGGGAGTTGATGTCCACCCAGCTTAAATTAGGCCAGGTTGAGAAACATTGCTGCAAGATATTCCTCCCAATTAGTTAAGGAGATTAAATCAAGAAGGTTAGCTTGAAGCCCTATCAATCTGATCCAGAAATTCTCTACCTTCGCTCATGTGCTACTCGGAGGAGGAGAGCATCTGTTGTAAAATGAGGGCAATAGGCAGGCCTAGCTCTCGTGATGTCAGTGGGTGAAGATCTAATTGCCAGTCTACAGTGCCAGGTAAACAAAATCTTCAAGGGATGACCTCAAACGCAGCTCAGTGACTAAGCCTGCAGGGGTGGCGTTGGAGAAGGCTCACCGTGTGATCCCAACCAAACCGTGATCAGATCTTCCAGGGATTGATTAAAAGAGGCATTTCCTGTATTACCTCTTCCTCCTCCAGCCTCGAAAACAGCTGGATTTACAAATCAACCACACAGCACGGTTGAGTCCTTTGCGTTACGAGCCCAGCTGAGCCCCAAAACGGCTGTGCCGAAGTGAAACATTGGTTAAGTTGAGTTGTGCCCCCCCTTTGCGATTTTTCTTGCCACGGTCGTTAAATAAATCACTGCAGTTGTTAGGAACCCCGTTGTTAAGTGAATCCGGCTTCCCCAATGCCTTTGCTTGTCCAAAGGTCGCCCAAGGGGATCACTTGACCCTGGGACACTGCGACCGTCATAAGTACATGCCAGTTGCCAAGCATGGGGGTTTTGATCAAGTGACTCATGAGGACGCTGCAAGGGTCGTAACTGTGAACAACCGTCATGCCTTGCTTTTTTCAGCGCCGTTGTAACTATGAACGGTCACTAAAGGAACTGTTGTAAGTCGAGGACTACCTGTAAAAGCATAGCAACCCGGGTACCTTTGAATGCTTGACTACCAGGGATCTCTGTTTTTCAGACAGGCCCCACAGAGCCTTTGAACCTTCGCCAGGGGTTGCCAACCACTGCCAAAGCTGCTACATCTGTATTTTCTTTCTTTAACCAACCCCCTGACACCCCCGGCAGCTGCAGAAGAAGCAGAGATCCAACGGGAAGCTACTCCATCCTTCCACTTTTAACCTGGGGAAATGTTGAATGCTGAATGGATATTTTTTGCAAAGGGATTAGGACAGCGGTTCTCAACCTGTGGGTCGGGACCCCATTTGGGGTCGAACGACCATTTCACGGGGGTCGCCAAACAACGCAGTCCGCCATTTTTTTCTCCCTTTTCCTTAGCTGTGCTCCTCCCTTTTATTCTATTGGCTTTTGAAAGCCAATAGAATAGACTCCCTTGAATAGAGTCTAATTCTATTGGCTTTCCAAAGCCAATAGGAATTGTCCAGGCTGTCTCTGCCCTGCTGAGCCCGCCCAAAGTCCCATTCTGCAAATGGTGCTGCACCAGCTGAGTAGTCCTCGACTTACGACCGGTTGGGGGTCGCGGCATTAAAATGGTTGAGAACCACTGGATTAGGAGGTGATGAGCAGAATATGTTTTTCAGAGCCAGCTCTGTTCCTGTCTCTTCACCTGTTCTAAAGGAGGGAAGGTATCTCACTATAAATAGCCCCAAAAGGGAGTTGGTTCAATGCCTTGGCTATTTTTGATTTCCTACTTTGCGTCTCTCTCTCTCTCCTCTCTCTCTCTCTCTCTCTCTCTCCCAGAACAATGTGGCTTTGTAGTTGCTTGGCATACATCTTGATAATTTCAATTTTGGCTTCCTTCTTTGATGCTATGAACCCTGTTGACTAAGCCTTCAGATCTCTTACTCATAGTTTATGGCACAAACCACACAACTAAGTGGCTTTGCCCAATTCGTGACGTTTCTCTCTCACAAGGGCTGTGGTCATAAAACTCTAGTTGGTTACTTAGGGTTAATGTCACCTAGTTTGGGGCATGAAACGTCTGCAAGGAAGCAACTAAGCTCAGAAGGCCCCAAGAACCCTCAACTCAACCTTGAGCTACAGATATTCTCCTCCAAGCCAAATCTAAGAGTTTCACATTCTAGCAAAATGTGTGAATCAACTTTCTATCAGCTTATTCTTTCCCATATTTCAAAATTCCTTACTTGTGATAGTAATAGCAAAGGAACGACACCCATATCTTTCCTTTTAATATGAGTGTTTCCTAAGCTGATCTTTCACGTCCATACAAGCTCGGCTGTTTTGGAGGACAATAAGTAAATAAATAAATACATTCTTGCAGACGGTTTCCTTTCAAAAGTTGGAAAGTTTGTGATCGTTGTCCCGAGATTCCCATTCTTGGATGATGGCTAAATATTGACCATCTTCAGCTCGTTTTTATGTATGATTAAGCCTGGCTTTCCAAGAACGAAACAGACTATAAATATCCCCTCTACAAAGATTCTACTTTGACATTTTTCATCTACTAACACAAGTAATCCTTGACTTGCGACCACTATGATCTGCTGCTAAGTGAGACAGAGGTTAAGTGAGTTTTGAGCCATTTTACAACCTTGCTTGCCACAGTTGTTAAGTGAATCACTGCAGTTGTTCATTTAGTAACACGGTTGTAATTGTCATGGGGATCACGTGACCCCGGGACACTGCGCCCGTCATAACTGTGAGTCGATTGGCAAGCGTCTGAGTTTCGATCCTAGGGATGCTGCCATGGTTGTAAGTGTGAATACCGGACATAAAAGGTCACACTTTCTTCAGTGCCATTGTAACTTTGAGCGATCACTAAACAGACTGTCGTAAGCCGAGGACTCCCCTGTACGTGAAGGAACAGCCTTGGGCGACTCATTGAATTAACCTGATAGGGATGTTGTTAACAAAAAAAATTATACAGCACTTTTCTCCCCTGTTTCATCAGTTAACATCCAAGAGAGATAGAAGAGAAGGTCTAAATAGGCTGGTGCCAAGAGGGTCAGAAGCCCCGTGGCTGGGAATTATGGGAGCTGAGGTCCAGCACACCCACAGGTTGGAGAAAGTTCTTGGGTCCTGCGGCGTGTTTGTACCAGCTTTTTTGTAACAGGTGAGGAGGAAGAAATAAGAATATTGGGAGCTTAGTCATCCCAAACACCAACCCCCACTTCAGTATCCTTCCGGGGGGAGAATTGCGGGTCAGGAGAGAGACCCTGTCATTTTAGCAATCTCTTCCTTTCCTCCAGTCAGCACAAGCCCCTTGCCCTGTCTGAGGTCTGACCCATTTCTCCATCAGCGCCTTCAACGTGAAAGATACTCACCCCAGATCACATAAGTTGCTTGGAGAAGACAGCCAAGTCCTCAAGCTCTAAACACCTCCTTTCTTCTCTACCCTACGGGTACCCAAAGTGTCAAATTGGATGAGCTGGAGGGTTTTTACAGGTCTTGGCAAGGCACCGGTCCTCAAGATTCCTCTCCTTGCCTGCAGAACATCCTGGATGCGTTCCTCCTCCAGAGGACTTTCCAGGACAAAGATTGCAGCAGCTTCTTAAATCTCCCTCAACCTGTTTTTGGGCCCAGATTGCGAAAGGCAGAAAGGAGGGATGCAGGCGGCTTTCGCCATTCACACCTCCACCTCGACACAGGAGAAGCACGCGGGCCAGACTGCAGGAAGCAAACCTAACCTGGAATTATTTTGAATGTGGGTGTCTTTTTTTTTCTTCCTTTCCTTGATGTTCAAGTTCATTTCTTCCCATTTAGCTTTGGATAGTCCAGGTTGTGCCAAAAAGATTGAACAAGATATAGGAACACCTTGGAGCTGAGAATGCCGGCATTAATCACTCAAGGATTGAGGGTGACGTTACCCATTCAGTCACGTCAGACTCTCGCTGATTCTATGGGCCAGATGTTAAGTGAGTAATGGGGTTAAGTTGTGGGTTTCCCCCACTGACTTTTCTTGTCAAGAGGTTGCCAAAAAGGATCACGTGACCCCGGGATCCTCGTAAATATGAGCCGTTTGCCAAGCGTCCTAGAATTGACCACGTGCCCCTGCAGAGGCTACAACGGTCGTAAGTGTGAGAAACGCTCCTAAGTCACTTTTTTCAGTGCTGTTGCAACTTTGAACGGTTACTAAATGAACTGTTGTAACTTGAGGACCACCTGTATCAGTCTCAACCCGCACTTGTAACCTTCAGCCTTGCCTTTTGACACCACGATCTTAAAGTCATGTTTCTTGGTAGCTTGAGAACGGGTGGACTTCAACTCCTAGATGTCTCCAGTTTAGCCAGGCTGGCTGGGAAATTCTGGGAGCTGAAGTCCTTCCATCTTCAGGTTGGCAAGGCTGGCGAACCCTGAAGACCCCAGAAGTCCACCACCAGAAGTCCAGACTCTCTCAGGGAGCTGCAGTTTTTTAACCCAGCAAGCGATAAAGTACCCAATGGAATTAATCACATTTATTTAGCTGGATCCCTCTCGAGTGATGTGACGTCAAATGGACCTTTGTCCTTCCTGTGCCCACTCTTGACTCCGATGCCACCTTCTTTGGGGAATGTAGGTTCTGACAGGTTGGCCAAGCACCTGACCTGGCTTTCCTCTCTTCCAACATGTCACATCCCAAATCTGGATCCCGTTGAAAGCCGTGGGACTTCCTTAATGAATCAATATGGGATTCTGGTACAGATCGAATCCATTGTTTCCCGAGAAAATAGGCACCCATTCAAGGAAGACTCAGCCAGCTTCAACTGAGGTTTTCTTCCAAAGGAGGATGGTGGAGGATTTGCAATCGGCCATATTTTTAAGGTAGGTTTCTGCCACCTCCTGGTGGTGGTGATGATAATAATAATAATGTTGGAAGGGACCTTGGAGGTCATCTAGTCCAACCCCCTGCTCAGGCAGGAAACCCTATCCCATTTCAGACAAATGGCTGTCCAGTCTCTTCTTAAAAACTTCCTGTGTTGGAGCATTCACCGCTTCTGGAGGCAGGCTGTTCCACTGGTTAATTGTTCTCACTGTTGGGAAGTTTCTCCTTAGTTCTAGGTTGCTTCTCTCCTTGATCAGTTTCCATCTGGTGCTTCTTAATAATAATAATAATAAAGTTGGAAGGGACCTTGGAGGTCATCTAGTCCAACCCCCTGCTCAGGCAGGAAACCGTATCCCATTTTGGACAAATAGCTGTCCATCTCTTCTTAAAAACCTCCAGTGTTGGAGCATTCACCGCTTCTGGAGGCAGGTTGTTCCACTGGTTAATTGTTCTCACTGTCAGGAAGTTTCTCCTTAGTTCTAGGTTGCTTCTCTCTTTGGTTAGTTTCCATCCGTTGCTTCTTGTCCTGCCTTCAGGATGTTGGTGGTGATGATGTTTATCCATTCATTTGTGTCCAATTCTTGGTGATCCAAAAATTGGTCAGGTCTCTTCACAGTTTTTTCTGTGCTTTGGTTGGGGTCAGCTTTCACGGTAATCTCCCTGCCATGAAAAAGCACTGCTGGGGGCACGGAGAAGTAATTTCCAGCAATAACTTGGGCTCCTTCTTCCCAAGGAGTTAGCAACCCCATTTTTATTTTTTTATTTTTATTTTTTGGCCATGGAATCCATAGCCAAACCAGTTTCTATCCTCTGTGTGATGGTGGTGTTGCAGCTGTAAACAAGGAAGCTTCCCAACTCCACCTTTTTTCAATTTCACATTGGGTCTTGAAAGGTGCTGGGCATGTAAGTGGGGGAGCTGGGGAAGGGTCTGCATTGTGAAAGACCACAAAAGCTTGGAACAGATGAATGGAATGGAATAGAACAGAACAGAATAGAATAATGGAATGGAGTAGAAGGATAGAGTAGAGTAGAGTAGAGTATAGAATAGAATAATGGAATGAAGTAGAAGAATGAATGGAATGGAATGGAATGGAATAGAATAGAATAGAATAGAATAGAATAGAATAGAATAGAATAGAATAGAATAGAATGAAGTAGAAGAATAGAACAGAACAGAACAGAACAGAATAGAATAATGGAATGGAGTAGAAGAATAGAGTAGAATAGAATAATGGAATGGAATAGAGTAGAATAGAATAGAATAGAATAGAATAGAATAGAATAGAATAGAATAGAATAGAATAGAATAATTTCACTAAATCTACCCTAAGGAGCATACTTTAAATGAGATTTTGTGGCATACAGCTCTCAGACGGTAGCCACCTCCAATATGCAACATACTCTACGTAAACCTGATGGGGGAAGGGCACCCTCCTCTAACCTCCATGGGTCTCCAGGAAGGCTGAAATGCAACACACTAGTCCTCTTCTAACCGCTGCACCACCACGGCTCGCGTGTTTACCTTCCTGTTTGCTTCCACGGGATCATGCTCTGCTCCCTCGGTGTCCAGTGTGGGCTTGGCTGCTGCAACCTGGCTGCACATCAATGAAGCTCAGCCTGCAACTCCCTCACCTGTCGACTTTAGGGCTCCTGTGGAAGTCCTCAATTATCCCTTTCTTTTAATCCCTCCCATGGCTTCCCTGCCCCCCCCCCACCCCCCTCTCCTTTCTTTGATTTTGTGAATGGCAGAGGAATGCTGTGACTAAACCTTGGAGCAGCACAAAACGTGGGACCTTCTCCAATCAAAATAATTATTAGCCGTATGAAGCAGAAAATCAAGCCGGACCAGGAATAGCGGTAGATGCTAAGAGAAAGGAAATTAAACACCCCTTTCCTTCTTCTCCACGTGAGTTACGGCACGGGCACTTATTTATTTTATGATTTTTTTATATATATATGTACATAAATTCGCAGCAAAAACCTTGTAAATCATAGTCACGTAACCGCAGGACTTACTGCAAAAGCGGTAAAGGCCAGCTGGTTACTGAGCGGTCAAAAGGTGGTCACATGACCGTGGGGGTGGGGTGGGGGGGGTCAGAGGTCAGAACTTCGAATCAGACCATATGTCCTCTAGCGGCGCTTCCCAACAGAGTGAGCTGCGGTACAGTTTTGATCTGTCTTCAGTTGGCTCAGCCGTTTAGATAAGATGAACTGTCAAGGTCCAGACAGTTTCTCAGCTTTCTTCTGTATTTCCTCCATTTCAGCTTGGCCAATACAGGCGATCCTCGACTTACAACAGTTCATTTAGTGGCCGTTCAAAGTTGCAACGGCACTGGAAAAAAGTAACTTGTGACTGTTTTTCACATTTACAACCGTTGCAGTATCTCCATGGTCACGTGATCATAATTCAGCCACTGGGCAACTGACTCGTATTTATGATGGTTGCAGTGTCCCGGGGGGGGGGGTCACGCGATCTCCTTTTGTGACCAGAAGGCAAGCCAAGTCAACGGGGGAAGCCCAATTCTCTTATCAACTGTGCTACTCACTTAACAACTGCAGGGGTCCACTGAACGGGGGCCAGAAAGGTCGTAAAAGGGGGCAAAATTCACTTAAGAGCTGTCTCGTTTATCAACAGAAACGTTGGGCTCAGTTGTGGTTGTAAGCCGAGGACCAATTGTACGTTTGTGTTCACGTTTCGTTCTACATTGCCATTTTGGATGTACGTTTCATTGTTTGTACGCGTATAGCCATATTCTAGGTCAGGGGTAGGCCGCCTTGGCTCTTTTATGACTGGTGGACTTCAACTCCCAGAATTCCTGAGCCAGCCACGCTGAGGAGAAATGGAGAGGTTTCCAACCTGAGCCATGCTGGCTCAGGAATTCTGGGAGTTGAAGTCCACGAATCATAAAGCGGCCTAGGCCTAGGCAGGCAACCTTGGCTCTTTTATGACTCGTGGACTTCAACACCCAGAATTCCTGAGCCAGCATGGCTCAGGTTGGAAACCTCTCCCTTTCCCCTCAGCACGGCTGGCTCAGGAATTCTGGGAGTTGAAGTCCATAAGTCATAAAGCGGCCTAGGCCTAGGCAGGCAACCTTGGCTCTTTTATGACTCGTGGACTTCAACACCCAGAATTCCTGAGCCAGCATGGCTCAGGTTGGAAACCTCTCCCTTTCCCCTCAGCACGGCTGGCTCAGGAATTCTGGGAGTTGAAGTCCACGAGTCATAAAAGAGCCAAGGTTGCCTATCCCTGTTAAATCTAATTTTTTGTTGAAGAGTGTAATAGTGGTATAACAGGAAGTCTCCATCTGCCCCAAATTGGACTGGCTAGGTATCCACCCATCTGGTTTAAGGATACACCAAAGGAAACGTCGCAATGTGACCTCCCTATTTTGGGGTGATTCAATCAAAGGGACTCTTAGCTTGCACCCCAAGAGTCCCAAACACCCCACAGCTCCCTCGTGCCATAAAAGCCTTCTAATAAATTAAACCACAATGCTCAGAAGTAGATGAAGAAAGTGGGGAGCGTCTAGGAGTAATTACGGGATGATTCTTGAGGATGTTTTATTTTTTAGATTGCTATTAAGTCCAGGGAGGGTGTTTCTCGTCTGTCGGTTACCTTCCGCTTTTCTTCAAACCACACAGGTGTGCTGGGCTGTTGGAAAAGCACTGTAGTTTCCTGCACTGTGTTTGCGTGGCCAGGATGTACCTTCACGCAGGAAGTCAGAAAATGGAATCCCTCAGTTGGCCCAAACTGCACAAAGGCTTCATAGGATCAGAAAGACCGTGATTTAATGCATGCTTCTCTCAAACCACCTCACATCCTGGCTCTGTCTGCAACAGTTTGGTGACAGAATGATTGCAGCAAAATGGTTTGCTGGTTATTCGGGGTAATCGCAAAACGGAGACACGATTCTGCAAAAGATTCAGCTGTGCCGGGAGAAGTAGCCCTTGATTTACAAACATTTGCTTGGCGGCCGTTCAAAGTCACACCAGCACTGAAAAAAAAAAAGACTTACAACCAGTCCTCGGGCTTATAACTGTCGCAGCAGCCCCATGGTCATGGGATCAAAATTCACATTTCAGCAATCCCTTTTTTCAGCTCACCTGATTTCCATTTGTGACCTTCTCAGTCCGTTTCTGGCAAGTAAAATCAATAGAGAGTCACTTAATGGCTGCAATGATTCACTTAACAACCATGTTTTTGGAGATTCAGTCATCCAGGTCATGGTTGTCCCAAAGGTGCTTTTTCCAAAAGTAACTGGATTTTCATTGTTTTTCCTTGAAGACCTTTCGCTTCTCATCCAAGAAGCTTCTTCAGTTCTGACTGAACTTTCATTGTTTTTCCTTGAAGACCTTTCGCTTCTCATCCAGGAAGCTTCCTCAGTTCTGACTGGACTTTCGTAGTTTTTCCTTGAAGACCTTTTGCTTCTCATCCAGGAAGCTTCCTCAGTTCTGACTGGACTTTTGTAGTTTTTCCTTGAAGACCTTTCGCTTCTCATTCAAGAAGCTTCTTCAGTCATAAGTCGAGGACTGCCTGTACTGGAAACATAAGCTTTTTTGTTTGTTTGTTTGTTTTAAAGCATTTTGAAAGCATCCCTTAGGTGTCCTGGAAGAGCATTCCAAGCATAACAAATTGTAAAAATGGCTAATGTCTTATTTTTGTTCATATGAGGATGGCTGAGATCCTGGAGCGTATCTAATTTCTCCTGATTTTTAGTTTTGCATTTCTAATATTTCTTTTTAAGAAAAATCAGCTTTTTGGTCATGGGAGGTGAGAAGGAATCTGTGAACCACTTTTCTTTCCAAAATAGGTTTTACTTACATATGAATTGGATGTTGGAAAAGAAGGCTCAGAAGCAAAGGCTAGGAACTCAGGATCACCATTAACTGTGTTGGCTGGGGATGATGAGTTCTGTAGTCTGGACACGTACAGAAGAGACTAGTGTGAAGACGTTGTTTCAATATTAAACTCCTTGGTTTTAAACTCGCTGCACCCAATTGTCCTTAGTAGCAGTTACCAAAACAAAAACAAAAACAACTATAAATCAACTATAAAATTTGAAGTATTTATAAGTGTCTCATTTGGCTCCGTCTTAACTGAGACAAAATCATTAAGGCAATTAAGTTAAGAACAATGCCCAATTAGCATAAGCTTCACCCTTTCTAAATAGGATAGGCATTAAAATAAAGCAAACCAACCAGGCACGCCCGTTTTGATGCTTCTTTCAATTACAATGCCTGGATAAAGTCACACAAATGAAATGTCAGATTTTGCTGGACTGACCAGCTTTAGTCGCATTTAAATTGCTTAAGTTGGACTCTTAAGTTGCTGTGATCAATTTGAGTATTGTTATACAGGGAGCGCTTTGCTTACTTTGAAGTTATAAAAAAGGGATTTACGACTTGTTTTCACTGTTGCAGCATCCCCAAGGTCACGTGATCAAAATTTGAGTGCTGGCAACTGGCATGAATTGCGACAGTCGTTGTGACCTTCCCATCCAGCTTTTGACAAGCAAAGTCAAAGGGTGAAAGCTGGATTCATTTAACAACTGCACGATTCACTTGTTTGTTTGTTTTATTCGTATCAGAGGCACCACAATGAAAATAAGGCAGGCTATATGACGTAATGTTTAAAATATAAAATACAAGATTAAAATACAAATCGAAGAGATCTTGTGGTCTATGGAGATTCTCAGTCAGCCAGGTTATGGGTGTCCGAAACGTGTTTTTCTTTGAAGACATTTCACTTCTCACTCAAGAAGCTTCTTCAGTTCTGACTGGACTTTTGTTGCTTTTGCTTGACGATGTTTTCCTTCTCATCCAAGAAGCTTCTTCAGTTCTGACTGGACTTTCCTTGTTTTTCCTTGAAGACGTTTCTCTTCCATTTCTTCAGTTCTGACTTCAGTCGAGTCAGAACTGAAGAAGCTTCTTGGATGAGAAGCGAAACATCTTCAAAGAAAAATCAGAAAGTCCAGTTGCTTCTTGAAAAAGCAACTTTTGGGGAAATCTTGCCCAGAAATTAGAAATATTAATTGTGTTCCATCACACTTCCAGGAGATCCTCAAGTGTACACTGATCAGGAAACAAAGGGCAGATATACTTATGTGTGGTTGTCTGCATATCACTACAATCACAAAGAGCAGAAGCAACCGGATAGCCCCATTTGTTCAGGGTGTCTCTGGGACTTAATTGATTGTTGTATTTAGAAGATGATGGCTGGCTGGGGAATTCTGGGAGTTGAAGTCCACCCATCGTATAATAGTCCACGTTGAGAAAACACTAATCTGGAAAGACTTGTTGAAGGAAAAATCTTCATCATGGTTCAGTCCAAGCCGGGAATAAACAACATGGTGACTGCTTTAGAAAGAAGTGAGGGAAGTTAGCCCAGAGAAGGAAATATTAAAATGGTAGAAAAAATATATTTTTCAAAAGGACTTTTTTTAAAACCAAACCTGGCCCCAAATCTATCTCTCTGCCCCAAGCAAGAGCTAGGCCCATACAAACGCAGATGTAAAACCATCAGAAAGTTGGAGCCAGAGCAATCAAGAAGACAAAGAGAAGATCTGCATACCCCACCCAAACTCTAGGAGTCATTAGTCCCATCACCTGGGAAGCAGGATATGATAATAGGATTAAACCACAGATATCAAGGCCTAGACAAACACTCAGAAACAGCCTCAAGGTTCATGCCACAGGAACAGGAAACTATTCCAAACAAGGCTAGAGAGGGTATAAAAAAACCTACTGCCCATGTGCTCAATCTCTTTCCTCTCCTCTGCTCCTTCCTGCAAGGACCATGTTTCTGCTTCTTCAATAAACTGTAACCTTCTTCCCAAAGCAGTCTCCATATTGCTTATTTATTCCCGGCTTGGATGAACCAGGATGAAGATTTACTTCTCACAGAAGGTTGCAGTTTATTGAAGAGGAGAGCCAGATAGGAAAATGGCTCTGGAAGAAAAGAGAGAGAGCATATGTAGGGAGTGGGTTTTTATACCCTCTGCAGCCTTTTGTTTGGACTTGTTTCCTGTTCCTGTTTGAGGCTTTGTATTTCCTGTGTCATGTACTTTGAGCTGAGTCTGAGTGTGTCCCTTTGGCATCTATGGGTTAATCCTATTAGGTCCTGTCCTAGAATTTGGGTGGAGTATGTAGATTTTAGGTGTCTTTGTCTTCCTAAGCTTCTAGCTGGAGGGCTCCAACCTTCCTGAATGGATTATTACATCTGCATTTCTACAGAGCTGGTTTTGCTTGGGGGAGGGAGACTTAGGGCTATTAAGAAAAACTGGGCATGCTTTTCTACCTCTTTAATATTTCCTTCTCAGGGGGGGGGTGTGACTTCCCACAGACTGAATATTCTTCTGGTATCTTATTTCTAGCAATTTCATGGACATTTCTTTGCGGTTGACTTTGAAGAGCTAAGCTGAATAGGATCCGGTTGAGAACTTAATTAAAAAAAAATCTGATTTTTTTCCCCAAGGAACCATGCTGTGACAGCCATAGCCACCTCCTTCCCCTGTAATTAATGGACTAATCAGCAGAAATTGCTGATATTTGCTATTGTTCTCTTTCGGGAAGACGTTATTATATATGAGTCAATCGGGAAAACATCAATCATATACTCAACTTTTATGAGTCAATAAATATAAAGCAAGTGGATAAATAAAGCTGGGAGAAAGGCCTTTGGATAATTAAGCGATGGGACTCTCCCTCTGCGAGATGGAAAGATGGGAAAAAAAACAGATAAAGTCTTCCTTGAGTTGAGGTGACTTAATGAATGTGTAGATGCTGTTTTTGTGGGTGGTTCCCTTTGGGTATTTTGGTTGTTGTTAATTGCAAAGTCGTGTTCGACCCATCGCGACCCCATGGACAACGTTCCTCCAGACCTTCCTGTCCTCTACCATCTTCTGGAGTCCATTTAAGCTCACGCCTACTGCTTCAGTGACTCCATCCAGCCACCTCCTTCTCTGTCGTCCCCTTCTTCTATTGCCCTCAATCTTTCCTAGAATTAAGTCCTGTCCAAAGGGTAGCAGAAAAACGCCTAAGAGGAACAGTCATGATCACCTTTTGCAACCTTTGGACAAGCAAAGTCAATGGGGAAGCCAGCGTCACTGAACAAACATGTGACAAACTTTAACAACTGCAGTGATTGACTTTAACAACTGGGGCAAGAGAGATTGTACAACGGGGCAAACAAAACTCATGCAAATGTCTCACTTAGCAACATGACATTGGGGCTCATATGTATTGGAAGTGGTGGGGAAATACCGACCTTGAATCCCAAGATTTAAGAAACACCCTTTTATAAAGTTTTGATTGTTGACTTACAGGGTAAAGTACAAGCGGTTGCAAACCACGCCCCTTTCAAAGGAAATTAAACTTAATTTCCTGGCACCTTTTCGAAAGTTCTGCTTTTACCCAGAGGGCATAAGAAGCAAGCCATCTTTAATCCACCAACTCCAGCAAACCCCAAAATGGCTTTGCAACAGCCCATCTTAAATCCGGTGAGTAGGGAGAGAATTTCCACAGGGAATTTTTCTTTTGGGTGTGGGGGGGGGGAGATTTCCCCTGCCCCCCAATGTATGGTGATGGGCAATGCAGAGCAGAGACTTAGAGACACTGAGACTCAGGTTGGTCGCCTGTGAGAAGGAGAGAGAGAACGTGCAGCTCATCCAGCACTTACTTGCACCATCTCTCAACAAGGATCAATACGAATAAACAAATTGCTAAGGCTGGAGGTCAAGGATGGGAGACGTTTCATTGTCCTCAGCTGTTGGTCAGCCTTCAGTCTGAAAGTCAGGGAGAAGGAAAAAAGGAAAAAGAAGAAAGAAAGAAAGAAAGAAAGAAAGAATGAGGGAGGGAGGAAAAAGAAGAAAAGAGAAAGAACAAAAGAGAAAGAAAGAAGAAAGAAATGGGAGAAAAAAAGAAAGAAATAGAAAAAAGAGAAAGAAAGAAAGAAAGAAAGGGAAGGAGGGAGGGAGGAAAAAGAAGAAAAGAGAAAGAACGAAAGAGAAGGGAGGAGAAAGAAAAGAGGGGAGGGAAAGAAAGACAGAAAGAAGAGAAAGAAAGAAAGAAAGGAAGGAAGGAAGAAAGAAGAAAGAAAGAGAGGAAGGGAGGGAGGGAGGAAAAAGAACAAAAGAGAAGGGAGGAGAAAGAGAAAGAAATGAGGGGAGGAAAAGAAAGAAAGAAAAAGAGAAAGAGAAAGGAAGGAAGGAAGGAAGTTGTTCCAATGGGGTCTTTCCTGTGAAGGCAAGCTAAGCTCTTACAAGTGTTTCCTGCAAATGGTAGCAACAGATTGACCCTGTTTTGCCTCAGGCTAAGCAGAATTGAACCTGGTCTGTCCTTGGCTGGACAAACATTTGGAGACACACCCCGTCTGTCCGTCAGAAAAGGGTCCTTGGAAAAGGCATCTGGACAGAAATGTTTTTGTGAGCCTGATTTTATTTCCAAGTATCCGGAGGGTCCTCATTCTTGAATCGGAGACCATGTTCATGAAGACTAAACTTAGGAGAATAAAGTAGCTTTTTTTAAAGTCAAGGGAAGCGGTTAGGAGTGGTTTACTCTAAGCCCTTTGCTATTTCCTGCTTTCTTGCTATCAACCACGTAGGAGAAAGTGGGTGTCTGAAGTCGATTCTGACCCACAAAAACACATTCCAGCTGAAACCTGTTAGTCTCCAAGGTGGCCAACCCATGTTGCTCAAGCGGGGTTGCTGGAAGATGGGTGGACTTCATTTCCCAGAATTCCCTAGCTCGTGTTAAGACTAAGTCCCCTCTCCACCGCCCCGGTTGAGCTTTGCCCAAGCAAGCAAACTACAGATAGTTCTCAACTTATGACTACCCTGCAATCCAAAATGTCCGTTGCTAAGTGAGACAGTTCTTAAGGGAGGGTTGACCTTTTCTGCCACCGTTGTAAAGTGAATCACTTTAGTTGTTAAGTCAGTCACACGGTTATTAAGTGAATCTGACTTCCCCGTGGACTTTACTTCTCAGAAGTTGCAAAAAGGGATCACATGACCCCAGGATATTGCGACCGTCATAACTGTGAGTCAGTTGCCAAGCGACTGAATTTTTGATCATGTGACCCTGGGGATGCTGTGACGGTTGTAAGTGTGAAAAATGGTCATAAGTCACTTTTTTCAGTGCCGTTGTAACTTGGAACAGTCACTAAATGAACCGTTGAAAGTCGAGGACGACCCGTACTATGACTTGGTCTGGAGGGTGGACTCCAGTTTCTGCTATTATTTTTAATTTCATTGTGTAGGCTTCCTAGACGTAAAGTCTTAGAGATGCTCTCCCAAAATTGATGGGGAATTTGAACATCAAGGTGGAAGATCTGAAGGTTCTCAAGGGGGTGATAATATCCATAGCCAGAGAGACTGAGGCTGCAGTACAGAGAGTCCTCCACTTACAACTTACAATTCATTTAGCAACCGTTCAAAGTTACAACGGCACGGATGTCCCTCACAGCCCCCCGGTGGTCACGAGATCAAAATTCAGGTACTTGGCAACTGGCATGTACTTATGACGGTTGCCCTTTGCAACCTCCCACAGATAAAGTCAGTAGGTGAGTAGGGGAAGCTGGATTCATTTAACGACCACATGATTTACTTAACAACCGTCTTGCTTAGCAATGGAAATTCTAGTCGACCGGCGACTTGTGGAAGTTGTAAGGAACTCCTGGTGGGGAGCATTACCACCAACCATAACTGGCGGAGGCATAATGGATGTCAACACCGCCCTTCAAGAAGTGTTGAAAACTGCACTTATCCGTGATGGATTAGCTCGTGGAATTCGTGAAGCTGCCAAAGCCTTGGACAAACGTCAAGCCCATCTTTGTGTTCTTGCATCCAACTGTGACGAACCTAAGTATGTCAAGCTGGTTGAAGCTCTTTGGGCTGAACATCAGATCAATCTAATAAAGGTTGATGATAACAAGAAACTTGCAAGGTCGACACAGAAGGAAAACCTCATAAAGTTGTGGGTTGCAGTTGTGTGGTTGTTAAAGAAAATGGCAAAAAATCTCAGGCCAAAGATGTCATCGGAGAATACGTCAAATGCAAGAAATAAACAAATAAAATACATTTGAGTTGGAAATTCTAGTTGTAAGTCAAGGACCACCGATCAATGGGCTTAGGGCACAGATCCGAGTATATTTGAATTCCGACACAGGTGATTTTTTTTTCCCCTCTCCTCTTTATCCCGCAGTGTGTTCCCTTTTGCAGCTCTATTTTTGGAGGTCTCAGCGAAGGAAAAATGATTGTGGTTCAAGGTTGCGTCTTGTTCTCTGCAAAAAGGTTTGTTAAATCTTGATTGCGGTTAAATCTCGATTCCTTTTATTCCAGTTTCACCTCCTGCTTTGAAGCCTATTATTCTTTCTCCCGGCTGGCTGCACTGCAGGGCGTTTCGTTTCGTTCATTTTATGCTTGCACGGTCCCTGCTTGTAAGGAAGGAGGGACTGAAGTCCAAGGGCCGAGTGGCTTTGGAACCAGAGGTTTCGATGTTGCCCAGAGAAAGCGTTAACATCACATGCACAACCTCGCTGGAGCAGCTCAAAGTCCATTTGAATCCAGCATTTTGTTTCTTATCATAGAATCCTGCTGACCTGCAAGGTTATTAGATCCAACCCCTGCCTCCTGCAGACTCAGCTAAGGCAGATATGTCTAACCTTGGCAACTTTAATCTTGTGGAAAACGAAAGGACTCTTACGAATTCCAGAGGGTTTTAGCAGAGAGATTTATTGCGCAGGTTCAGAAGCCATAGCAATAAGCAATTCTGAACCCCGAGGGCCGGGTTCAGACTTCAGTTTTATACTTTCCTTTTTTTCCCCTCAGGAACAAAGGAATACACATTGAAATACACATTGTAATGCATTAGGTCCATTTCTCGCGGGTATACAATGGAGGGTTTGCTACATACATTCTATCCAAGTGCAATGCGCATTAGGTTAGTCACATACTACTAACACAGCACTATTCCAGTAATTATGCAGACACATCATTATTCTAATGATTGTTCATTATTCCACATTATTAAGACTGGGGACTTCAACTCCCAGAATTCCCCAGCCAGCGTGCTTTAAGTTGGGTGGACTTCAACTCCCAGAATTTTCCAGCCAGCGTGCTTTAAGTTGGGTGGACTTCAACTCCCAGAATTCCCCAGCCAGCGTGCTTTAAGTTGGGTGGACTTCAACTCCCAGCCAGCCTGTTTTAAAATGAATAGACTTTGATTCCCAGAATTCCCCAGCCAGCTGTTTTCCTATATTCTAGATCAGATCTAGATCAAGGTTTTCCAACCTTGGCAACTTTAAGGCCTGTAGACTTCAATTCCCAGAATTCCCCAGCCAGCATTAAAGTTGCCACGGTTGGATGCCCCTGTTGGATTACTGTAATGCCCCTGCTGTAGATCATTTTAGAAGTCAAAAGTGGAGCTTGAAGGGCATATATTCAGCCACAGGGCCTTTGGTGTTCCAGATTCTCCGTGAACCTGGTCTGCGCGAATGGAGATATCGCCTTCCATTTCAACCCACGATTTGATGAGGGCAATGTCATTGTCTGCAACACGCAAGAAAAAGGCTGCTGGGGACCTGAGGAACGGACTTCCAAAATGCTCTTCCAGCCAGGGGTCTCTTTTGAAGTGATCATCAACATCAGGAGCTGTGGTTACCAAGTAAGGCCAAGAGCAGAAGGCTCTCTTGTGGACCTCTGGACATTCATAGGGTCCTTAGCGTTCTCTGAGCTTTCTTGCAGATATTTCATTACCAGGTAGGCCATGCCAACAATGTTAATGAAATTCAGCTCACAGAGTACCAGGATCCCCACAATTGTAGTTTCTTCCTCCTCCTCCTCCTCCTCCTCCTCCTCCTCCTCCTCCTCCTCCCAAACCCCACTCTGTTCTAGCACTGATGATGTTACCTAGTTGGATAATAAAACAACTTCAAGAAAACTACCATGCTCAAAGATCACCAAGGAGCCCACAGTCGTCCTCCTCTTCCACCTCCTCCACCTCCTCCTCCACCCTTCTTCTTCTTCTTCTTCTTCTTCTTCTTCTTCTTCTTCTTCTTCTTCTTCTTCTTCTTCTTCTTCTTCTTCTTCTTCTTCTTCTTCTTCTTCTTCTCCTCCTCTTCCTCTTCCTCTTCCTCTTCTTCTTCTTCTTCTTCCTCCTCTTCTTCTTCTTCTTGTTCTTCTTCTTCCTCTTCTTCCTCCTCCTCTATTCCACAATCCCCCCTCCCTTCTAGCATTGATGATCTTACCTACTGTAATTGGGTATGGAAAGTTCTGCAAAAAAAAACCACTAAGCGCAGAGAGCGCCAAGGACCCCCATTTCAACCCTGAGCTACGAATATTCTCTTCCTTTGATATCCCCCAGGTGGCATCAATTTTTTCACTGTTGCCCTTGTAGCCAAACCATCAGGTGATTTGTTCTTGGCTTAGGATGTTGTGTGAATACATAACTTCTGGTTTGTAGACCATGGTTTATGCAGGGATGGCTGTCTTCAAAGCAGCAGGAAGGCGGGTACCAGTATGGCTAGGGTCACAGTTAGATGGCTGCCCTGGGACAGCTGATGGGAGTTATAGTTTAGTGCATCAGAGCGCCTGGTTTGAAAAGGCATCTGGGATTGTGCCCACTGTGGAGGAAGCTCCTTAAATTGGGAAAGGGTAAATTTAGACCAGATTGAATTTAATCCACCCCTCTCTGCTCTCCTTTTAAAATTGAGCCCCAAATTGTGAGTGGGGTATAGCTGTAAATAAAAAACTCTGGGACTTAAATCAACCTTTTGACATCTCAATTTTTTTTATTTTGCTTCCCATTTCAATTTCTTTTTTATTTTTGGTCCTGTTTAATTAATAAATCAAATATGAAAAGGCGATGTCGTGATTTTTCCTTGCTGTCCCCTAGTGGTGGTGCATCAATTCATTTTTGCTTCCCCCCTAGTGCAGAATTATTACCAATTGCATTCTGGATGCTTCCAAATAATTTTTTTTTTTTTATATGCCTGACCTGAAGTCTCATCTCTTCCCCTTTGCTCTTCTCAACAGACAGATGTTTAGGAGAGGAAGTTGCAATGGTCACACAGAGAAGACCTGTGGCTCTAGAGAGTCTCTAGACTCTAGACCATTGTTTCTTAACCTCAGCGACTTTAGTAATAGTAATAATAGTAAAGTTGGAAGGGACCTTGGAGGTCATCTAGTCCAACCCCCTGCTCAGGCAGGAAACCCTAAACCATTTCGGACAAATGGCTGTCCAGTCTCTTCTTAAAAACTTCCAGTGTTGGAGCATTTACTGCTTCTGGAGGCAAGCTGTTCCACTGATTAATTGTTCTCACTGTCAGGAAGTTTCTCCTTAGTTCTAGGTTGCTTCTCTCACCAGCCAGCATGTTTTAAGACGTGTGGGCTTCAGCTCCCCAAATTCCATGCAACTTGAAGCTGTGTAGACCTCAACTCCCCAAATTATCCAGTCAGCCTGCAGGCTGGGTGAATTCTGGGAGTTGAAGTCCACATTTCCTAAAGTTCCATGGCTGAGAAATACCCATCAAGACGTTCTATGTTTGTTTCTTTCTACACATACACACACACAAAATTTCACTTCTCATTCTGTTCTTTTTCCTTCTTTAGGTTTCCGTCAATAGCAGCCAGTTCATAGATTACCGACACCGCCTTCCCGTGCATCTGGTCCAGACTTTGCAGATCAAAGGGGATGTCTCCTTGAGTTGCATCAATTTCACAGGCGGATTGGTGAGTACTGCCACTAGCATCTAACCCCCCAAGTTCAATTTGCCAGCATGGATTTTTTTGTAACTTCATTTGTGGGAAACAAGAAATGTTTGCATTGGTGCACTGATGATGTTGCCTAGTATGGTCATGAGACATCTGCAAGAAAACCACCAAGTTCAGAGAGCACCAAGAACCCCACAGTTCAAATATGAGCTGTAAATATTATCTTCTATCAGTACAGAGGTTTTTATTGCCTGGGTGAATTCTGGGAGCTGAAGTCCACAACATCATCGAGTTGATTTCAGTTGGACCATCATTTTCCACTTTGAAAAGCTCACAGTCAAAACAGCTGCCTTTTCCCACAATAAATCTTCTGTTTGGAAAGCACGGGCTGCCTCCAAAAATTATTTGCTTGGCAATGAAAGTCCTTCCTTATTAGGAAAAATGCTGCTAACTCAGGTTGTCCAATCTTGAATTTGGGATCAATCATGGATCCATACTTACCGCTGCTCCTTCTGCATTTCAGGTTCCACCTCCTTATGCACCTCCACCTTACAATCCCAACCCACCTATGAATGTAAGTAACATTTGAGTGTTTATTTACTTGTGTTCCATTTGCAAAAAAGAAAAAAAAAGATTGAGGCTGTGAATTTTCCAGTCTTGGTTATTAATACAGGCAGTCCTCGTTTAACATCCACTTGTGCGGTGGCCATTCAAAGTTACAATGGCGCTGGAGGAGGAGATTCACCATGGGTGAATCATAGTTGCAAACCGTTGTAGAGTCCCATCATGATCATGGTTGGGGTGCTCGGCAACCAGCTCACGATTATGACGGCCACAGCATCCTACAGTCATGTGATCCCCATTTGTGACCTTCACTGCTGGCAAAGTCACTGGGGAAGCTGGCAGGAAATCACAAAGACATTCCAGTGTCTTTTGTGCTTAATGACAGCATGCGATTTGCTTAATGACATCAAACAGAAGTGCCACAACTGCCCTTGTAAGCTAGCATGTGATGCCACACTTTAAGACTGCATTGCTTAGTGACAGAGTTGCTTGTCTCATTACCAACATTAAGCAAAGCCTACCTGGTCTATATATTGAGTATTTTACACCTTTGCTTAAGCCAGTGATGGCGAACCTTTTAGAGACCGAGTGCCCAAACTGCAACCCAAAATCCACTTATTTATCGCCGGGTGCCAGGTGGGTGTGGCCCACTGGGTGGGCGTGGCTGTGGTGGTCATGGCAGACTGGGTGGGTGTGGCCAAGCTGGGCATGGTCACCTCGATTTTGCTCATGGGGAGGGACGCCTGTGGGGGCCGGGCAGGGTTGGGGGAGATCCAGGGAGTCTCTGGCAGGTGGGGCTGTGGGCAGGAGGCTCGTCCTGCGGGGTGAGGCGGGGCAAGGCGAGGCAGGGCAGGGGTGCCATTGTCACAGGGCAAGGTGAGGCAGGGGCCAGGGCTGCTGCCTGACACCATTGGCCCCCGCACACAGAGGCCAGCGAGCGCATGGGTGCTGGGATGCATCCAGCCACATGGGACCTCAGCGAGTTAGTGGGCGGCTGGTTGAAGAGGGATGGTTGCCATCTCTGGGGCATAGCGCTCGTGCCCACAGAGAGGGCTCTGAGCGCCGCCTCTGGCACATGTGCCATAGGTTCGCCACTACTGGCTTAAGCCTTTGGACCATTATGAGTAGTTCCCTGATGGACCAGCCTCAACCATGAATGAATGGTTCTAGACAAGGAGAGAATGTCCTCTTTTGTTGAGAACTAGGGCATCCTTGCTGGACACCCTTGATGAGAATTCTGGATCTTTTAGCTCCAACTTAGTCTATCTAGATCTCCATAACAAGTGTCCTTTCCTTTCCTTTCCTTTCTCAGAACGTCGGTGGAATGACGGTGTACAATCCGGTATGTGACCTGTTTCCTCTTTTTAGGACATTCCCCAGCAAATGGGTTGGTCTTGATTTCCCTTTGCAATGACCTTTGCAAGCCCCCTGCCGATTCCAGATGATTCTTGAAGGAACATTCAAAGACCTTCCCTGCAATCCAAGTTCTTCCATCTACTGCAAGGTCTAGTGAGTCAGTAGATCGGAGGACTTTGGTTGCATGGAATGTCTTTGAACGTTTCTTCAAGAGCCATCTGGAATTTAACTTCTCTTGGAGATGGGGATAGCTGGTCAAGAGATGATCAACTGTTGGATTTTATTGGTCCTTTACGAAAAAAGCTGGTATAAGAACATGAGAGTTTAAGCACAAGAACCAAAAGGAAGTGGACAGACAGATCAGGTGGAATTCAAGGGGAGTCGAATGGAGATGGAAGCAAAGGAAAAATGAGTAATCATGTTCAGGACTCAACTAAGCAAGTCCTTTATCATGGACTTGCTGAGAACCTGGAGATTGCAAAGTGAAAGTTTTAGTACTCCAAAGTGACCTTGAAGTCTCATTTTTAGTAGGCCTCCTATGAGTGAGGCTTGCTTGGCTGTTACTGACTTTATGGACATATCCATGTATTGGTCTTGGCTACAGTGCAAAGTGAGTCAACACTGCCCTCTTCTGGGTACTTTTGAAACTGCTAGCTAGCCTATACTTCTGATAATCTCCCGTCTAAGTCTAATTGTTAACTCAGTTTGACCCTACTTAGCTTTTCAAAATTAAACTAAGTACTACTACTGCCTCTAGACAAAGGAAGGGGACAATGCCAGACTGGACCACCAGTTCCAAAATGGAATGTATCTAGCTCAACTCCATGGAAAAATAGAAAATGCTATCAGGTCATCTCCATCTTGGTTTTCGTAGTCCTTGGATAGTCTCAGCTTCAGTGTCTACAGATGGTCCTCAACCTATGACCATTCATTAGCGACTGTTCTGAGTTACGACAATGCTGAATGAACCGTGACTATGCCTGGTCATTGGGGATCCCACTGCCCCGGAACCCCAGCGGTCATGTGATTGCGATCTGGACCCTTGGCAATCGTCTTGCATTTACGACCGGTTAGAATTTCCCATGAACACACAATCACCATTTGCAACCTTCCCTCCTGGCTTCCCCAGAAGGTCAATGGGGAAGCCAGTGGGAAAGCTTGTCAGGTCTCTGGGATAAATCCTCCTCATTTGTTCTCCTTTTCCCTTGCACCCCGGCACACCATCCTTGATCCACCCTGCTCCTGTCATGCACCCCGTCACAGCCTTTTACCCCTTCTCACACCTGGCCACGGCCACTTATTGCCTGCCAGTCTGAGACTTGGGATTTTATCCCAGCTTCTCCAATGACTTTGGCTGTCGGGAACCGGCAGGATTTGGTTAATAATGGCAACCAGGACTACAGGCACTGTGGTCATTAAATGATGCAGTTGTGCTTTACAACCTTACTACTTAGAGATGGAATGTCTTGCCCCAATTGCTATTGCCCATATTAAGCTCCTTTCTCTTAAACAGCCAATCTTGGCAGACCTTGGAAAAGTAAGCAGAGTTGGAAAGCGCCTGAAGGCAGGACAAGAAGCAATGGAGGGAAACTCACCAAGGAGAGAAGCAACCTGGAACTAAAGAGAAACTTCCTGACAGTGAGAACAATTAACCAGTGGAACAACCTGCCTCCAGAAGCGGTGAATGCGCCAACACTGGAAGTTTTTAAGAAGAGACTGGACAGCCATTTGTCCGAAATGGGATAGGGTTTCCTGCCTGAGCAGGGGGTTGGACTAGATGACCTCCAAGATCCCTTCCAACATTATTATTATTATTGACCCTGGATAAGGAGGCAAAGACCAAGACGATTACTGAACATGCCCCCAAATCGTCAGATGGGTGTCTGCCATATATGATCAAAGAAATCAAGATGGCAAGCCGCGGCAGCGCAGTCATCTTGACTTTTTTTAAACCATTCTTTAAGGCCAGTCCATCATCAGGATTGAAACTCGCATCTTAGGAACGTTCTTCTTTTTCTTAATTCTTCTCTTCTTTTTATCCTGATCTTTTGTAGACCACCCCATTTTGTGGATCTCTTCTGGGGCGTTTCTTTCCCTCCTGCAAGATCACAATTATAGGGACCATTCCTTATTCAGCAGACAGGTATGTGCACCTGAGGGAAAAGAACGGGGGGGGGATAATAATACTCGCAATATAGCCTGCCTTTATACCTTCCAAGATTTTGAGCGGTGTGGTGGTCCAGAGGTGGAACTCCCACCTCACCATCAGGAGGGTGTGAGGATCGAAGTAGCAGCAGATATTTCTCTCTCTGGGCGCAATGAGAAAAGATCTGCTGTGAACACCACGTAGGTGTCAGGAAGGGCATCCAGCTGGTAAATGCTCAACTCCATTTAGTCGCCCCGACTCCACCTTGATGCAAGGGATTACGGGGTCATTAAGAGGGGGAAAGAACCCTTTAAAGATTTTCTCTTCTTTCTAAAAAGACCTTGGTTATTGTCTGGTTTTTGTTTCCCAATTTCTTACTAAATATTCTGTGTTTAGCCACTTACACAGCTGTTGCTGAAGTCTTTCTCATGTTCCCTGCCTCAAAATATTAGAAATCTGTGCCGCAATTTTTAGAAAGCCTACAGGGGGGGGGAAGTCCTTCAAAGGCAACTACACCAACTTAAAGACCCCCCCCCCCAAAAAGAAACCAAATTGCCCCTCCTGGGGCTAAATTAGCTAGAAATCAAAAGTTTAGTGACATCTGAATTGAAGATCCTGGACGGAAAGACCACCCATCCACATTCATTTGATGTATTTTTAGCAAAGGGGTTTGCAGTTCCGATTCCTGGGTTTCTTCCAAGGGCAATTTAGCGTGTCCCTTGAAGTAACCAACGTGCTTTCCTTGGATCCAGATTTCACGTGAACCTGAAAAACATCCTGATGGGCAACATCGCCCTGCACGTCAACCCCCGGTTCAAAGAGGGAGCCCTGGTCCGGAATTCGTTCATCAACGGCTATTGGGGAAGCGAAGAGAGAAATATTGCCTTCCTGCCATTCTGCCTTGGACAGACCTTTCAGGTAAGACCAGTATCCTTGGGATAAGAATTCGCTTTGTGCCATTTCAGGGTCGGCCAGAAAACCTATATCAAGGTTACTTTCAAGAAAATGGGAGATCGGGAATTCTAGTCCCTCCTTAGGCATGAAAGCCAGCTGGGCAACTTTGGGCCAATCACCAGGTGATGGTGAATTCTAGTCCCTCCTTAGGCATGAAAGCCAGTTGGTTAACTTTGGGCCAATCACCAGGTACTGGTGAATTATAGTCCCACCTTAGGCATGAAAGCCAGCTAGTTAACTTTGGACCAATCACCAGGTGCTGGTGAATTCTAGTCCCTCCTTAGGCATGAAAGCCAGCTGGTTAATTTTGGGCCAATCACCAGGTACTGGTGAATTCTAGTCCCACCTTAGGCATGAAAGCCAGCTAGTTAACTTTGGACCAATCACCAGGTGCTGGTGAATTCTAGTCCCTCCTTAGGCATGAAAGCCAGCTGGGCAACTTTGGACCAATCACCAGGTGCTGGTGAATTCTAGTCCCACCTTAGGCATGAAAGCCAGTTGGTTAACTTTGGGCCAATTACCAGGTGCTGGTGAATTCTAGTCCCATCTTAGGCATGAAAGCCACCTGGGTAATTTTGGGCCAATCCCCAGGTGACGGTAAGTTCTAGTCCCACCTTAGGCATGAAAGCCAGTTGGTTAACTTTGGGCCAATTACCAGGTGCTGGTGAATTCTAGTCCCATCTTAGGCATGAAAGCCAGCTGGGTAATTTTGGGCCAATCCCCAGGTGACGGTATGTTCTAGTCCCACCTTAGGCATGAAAGCCAGCTACTCTACTCTTCTTGCAAATGAGTGGATTAATTAAAAAAAAAAAACAGAATAAAAATGTCTCCTGCTTTCTTTGACCGTTAGCTGGAGATCATCTATCTGCAGAACTGCTACGAGGTGATGGTGAACGGGCAGCTGAAATTTGAATACTATCATCGGATCCCTGCCTCTCAAGTGGATCAACTGGAAATAGCCGGAGACGTGAAGCTTTCCTGCGTGCAGTACTGATCACCCTCTGTGAACTGTCGTGTCCTGTTTCGGCTCTGGGTTTTGGTGGAGAGAGAGAGAGCAAGATCCCCCAGGTTGCCGTTCCCATGTCCCTCTTCCAGACCAATGTGCCTGCTCAGGTTTCCATCATGCTTGCAAAATAAAATCCCTCCCCCATCAATTAAAAGAAGCCTGGAGTATGTGGTCCCCATAGAGAGGTGTGGATTATTTGATGTCGGCCTCCCCAGGTGCAAAGAGACAGGAATCACAACCAATGGGTAATTTCCGCGCTACAGATAGTCCTCGACTTAACAGCCCCAGTCAAGTCCAAAATTCTCCCTTGCTAAGCGAGACAGACGTTAAGTGGATTTTGCCCCGTTTTTAACCACCTTTCTTGCTACTGAATCCCTGAAATTGATAAAGTTAAAAACCCGGTCGTTAAGCAAATCTGGCTTCCCCCTTCACTTTGTCAGGTGGTCGCAAAAGGGGATCACGTGACCTTGGGACGCAGCGACGGTCATAAATAGGGGCCAGTCGCCAAGCAGCTGAACATGGAGCACGTGATCATGGGGACGCTGCAAAAGTCGTTAACTAGGAAAACTGGTCATAAGTCCCTTTTGTCATTGTCGTCATTTTGAACGGTCGCTAAATGAAATGTGGTAAGTCAAGGACTACCTGTCCGCTGTGCTGTTTGGGTCAAAGCTTTTTTTTTTTTCCCCAACCAGACATAACGAAAAGACCTATAAAGCAGCAGAAGGCAAAGACATGAAGAATTAGTGGGTTTTACCACGATGTAAAAAAGATGCTGAGACTCTAGAAAGAGTACAGAGAAGAGCAACAAAGATGATTAGAGGACTGGAGGCTAAAATATATAAGGAACGGCTGCTGGAATTGGGTAGGTCTAGTTTAACAAAGAGAAGGATGAGGGGGAACAGGATAGCAGTGTTCCAATATCTTAGGGGCCGCCCCAAAGAAGAGGGAGTCAAGCTGTTCTCCAAAGCCCCTGAAGGCAGGACAAGAAGCAACAGATGGAAACTAATCAAGGAGAGGAGCAACCTGGAACTAAGGAGAAACTTCTTGACAGTTAGAACAATTAACCAGTGGAACAACCTGCCTCTGGAAGCAGTGAATGCTCCAACACTAGAAGTTTTTAAGAGACTGGACAGCCATTTGTCCAAAATGGTGTAGGGGGTTGGCCTACACCATGAGGGGGTTGGCCTCAAAGGTCCCTTCCAACTTTTTATTATTATTATTAATATTATTATTATCAGTTCTTGCTCAGTTACCCTTCTCTGGAGAAAGCTTTGAGGCTGGGAATGGTGGAAAGGAAGAGCAGATGACCAGCACAGTACAAGGACTCCATTATAGTGGTAGAGTTCCTACTAGAGGGGGATCAATTCATCCCCCTCCCATGAATTACTTGGAAGAACTGAAGAATCAAGTTTGAGATGTATCATCCTGCAGAAAATCTATTTTTTTGCACTAAAAAGAGTTGCAAGTCAATGTTTTTCTTCCCCCTCCCTTTCCCCTTTGTTTCTTTCTCTTCCTTTTTTCTTCCCCCCTTCACACTATTTTCATTTTCTTTTGTATTTTATACCTTGAAAAGAATCAATTTATTAAAAATCAATCAATCAATCAATGCTTCTAGATCAGGGGTAGGCAACCTGGGCTCTTTTATGACTTGTGGACTTCAACTCCCAGAATTCCTGAGCCAGCCATGCTGAGGGGAAAGGGAGAGGTTTCCAAGCTGAGCCATGCTGGCTCAGGAATTCTGGGAGTTGAAGTCCCCAAGTCATGAGGGGGCCATAGTTCCCCCATGCTGGCTCAGGAATTCTGGGAGTTGAAGTCCACGAGTCATGAAGGGGCCATAGTTCCCCCATGCTGGCTTAGGAATTCTGGGAGTTGAAGTCCACAAGTCATAAAGGGGGCCATAGTTCCCCCATGCTGGCTCAGGAATTCTGGGAGTTGAAGTCCACGAGTCATAAAAGAGCCAAGGTTGCCTACCCCTGTTCTAGATCAACAAGGGGGCGAAGCAAAACCTTCAAACAGGGCCTGTGGATTCGGTTTTTATGAACCAGCAGTGCAGATTTTCAGAATTCATTCTACTTCACTCTTGGCAATAGCAACCCTATAGAAGAGCATTCAGGTCCCTAAATTTAAAGAGTGACAGCAGAAATAGGGGCACCGTGTGAAGATCTGAACGGAAAGATCACCTATGGAGAATGGGAGAAGGTCTAGCTACGAGGTCACCAAGAGTTGATAGCTCACAAACAGGACACCATCTCCACAAACACTGACCTTGCTGTGTTTTAATCACTATCAGCTACAATTGATTTATAGTAGATCACCACTCCCTTGATTTACATCCCTCCTGTGAAATTAAATCAGTTATTATTTCATTTTCCTTAGTCCTGCTCAAATCATACATTCCCTCGAAATGAATAAGCTAAGTGCATAGATAGATGAAGGCAGCTGAGCATCTTCGGACAAACTCCCACGAATCTGATACGATTCTACATTTACACGCTCCTTAAGTGCCTCCAACCTTGTGCAACCAAGTCTACATTTTTTTAAGATATTATGGGAAACATTAGCCAGGAGAAGACGACTCTCTTGAAATGGGATCATCCTTCTTTCCCCAAAAACAGTGAAAGCAGTTTTAGCGTGTTTAGTGTGTTTTAGCGCGATAGAGGACCTACTGTGATTTAAGTAGCAAAGAGAAAGCAAAGATTTCTTTTTCCTGGACAAATAGTTCAGCCTATTTCAGTTTTCTGCTGAGTTCTTACAACCAGGATCCCCTCTAAGCTCACCCCCTTGAACAGCCGTGTTCAGGAAGCAGTCTGCGTGTCAAGTGTGTGCTGAAGAAGGCAGCTCTATCTGGATATCAGGTAACAAACTGCAGCTGTTAATAATGTCTATCTTGTCCGCCACGGCCCGCAGGTCCTCCAGAACCAGCCGGATGTTGTGTGAAGCGTTGATGATGCCATTTTGGGAATTGCTCAGCTGTCCAGTAATGGCTCCAATCTCCTTGATGGCGGTTTGGTAGACTTGCTTGATGGTGGCGTTGATGTCGTAGTATAAGCGGGCGTTGCTCTCCACCAGCTTCTGCTGCAACAGGGTGCTGTATCGGCCCCGGTGTTTGATGTGGAGGGCGGGCTTCTCCTCCACGGCCGTGGGAGACTCCGAATCTTCGTTCTTGTAAACGATCAGAGGAGGCAAATCTGCCGCGATCAATTTAGCCTCGGTTTTCGATCCAGCAGGACTTTGGGCTTCGTTTTCCTCGTCTGTTTCAGAGGCTTCCCCAGCGACTTGCACTCCCGAAGGGCTGCCGAAAGCCGCTTGATGGGAGGCGGAACAATTGATTTCTTCCTCCGAGTCGGTTTCTGAGGCTTCACCCTGGATGACGGTTTTGTACCCCGGAGAGATCATTTCTGGATCACCTTATAAGAGGAAAGGAAGCAGAGTTGAGCATTGGAGAGGCAGGCCTCTAGGAAGACTCTTTCTGTTCTGGAATACACGCCTCAGATAGAACATATCTGCAGTGGATTAATCCCTGGAGATCTTGAGACGTGATTAGTTCATGAGTGTTAGCAAACTACTACGCGGATCTAGCAGATTCAGGGGATGAGGACCCTGTTTGTGAGGATAGTGACCGGGTCCGTGCAGAACGGAACAAGTAGTCCTCGACTTACCAGTTCATTTAATGACCATTCAAAGTTGCAACGTCACTGAAAAAACCATGGACCACTTTGCACCATTACCACCTTTGTTGCCTCCCCATGATCATGGGATCAAAATTTAGAGACTTGGAAACTGACTCCTATTTATGACCGTTGACCTGTCCCAGGTCATTTGATCTCCTTTTGCAACCTCAGTGGAGAAGCCAGATTAACTTAACAACCAGGTTACAGAGTTATCATCTGCAGTGATTCTCTTAACAACCGTGGTAAAGGTCGTAAAATGGGGCAAAAACTCACTTCAATGTCTCACTTAGCGACAGAAATTTTAAGCTCAATTGTGGTCATAAATTGAGGATATCCCTTTTGTTGGGATGTGGCTTAGCGCAGGGGTAGGCAACCTTGGCTCTTTTATGACTTGTGGACGTCAAGTCCCAGAATTCCTGAGCCAGCCATGCTGAGGAGAAAGGGAGAGGTTTCCAAGCTGAGCCCTGCTGGCTCAGGAATTCTGGGAGTTGAAGTCCACGAGTCTTAAAGTTGCCAAGGTTGAGAAATACAGGCCCAGGCCAGGGGTGGGCAAGCTTGGCTCTTTTATGACTTGTGGACTTCAACTCCCAGAATTCCTGAGCCTGCCATGCTGAGGAGAAAGGGAGAGGTTTCCATGCTGAGCTATGCTGGCTCAGGAATTCTGGGAGTTGAAGTCCACGAGTCATAAAAGAGCCAAGGTTGCCTATCCCTGGCTTAGCATGACATGACGTTACCCGGTCGGATCATGAGACATCTGCAAACAAACCACCAAGCTGAGAGAGCAGCAAGGACCCCACAGCCCTCCTCCGCTTTTCCTCCTCCACTCCGCAAACCCCACTCCCTTCAAACACTGATGATATTCCCTAGTTGGGTCACAAAACGTCTACAAGAAAAAAAAAACAAGTTATGAGAGCACCAAGGACCCCACATTGAAACCTTGAATCTCAGAAATTGTTTCTCAACAAATGGGGAGGGGAACAGCGGCTGGGAATTCTGGGCTCGGCTAAGGACCCACCTGACTTCTCCATGTCCTCTCCTGCAGGGGGTGGATGGGTCCCCGTTGTGTGCAAAGGGAGTCCATTCCCAAGTGTACATGCAAAAGAGTCTAGGTCAGGGATGTCCAACCTTGGCAGTCAATCAATCAGAATAGAGCTGGAAGGGACCTCAGAGGTTATGATGATGATGATGGAAGGGACCTTGGAGGTCATCTAGTCCAACCCGCTGCTCAAGCAGGAGACCATACACCATGCCAGACAAGTGACTGTCCAATCTCTTCTTAAAAGCCCCCAGGATTGGAGCACCCACAACTTCTGGTGGCAAGCGGTCCCACTGGTGAATTATTCTCACGTTCAGGAAATTTCTCCTTAATTCCAAGTCGCTTTCTCTCCTTGGTTACTTCCCATGCATTGTTTCTTGTCTTGCCTTCGGGTGCTTTGGAAAACAAACTGACACCCCCCCCCCGCCGCTCTTCTTTGTAAGTTTAACTTAACTTGGCCACTTTAAGACCTGTTGGATTGCAAGTCCCAGAATCCCCTGCGGGAAGGAGAGGTTGAAGGAGTTGGCTGGGGGATTCTGGAAGTTGGAAGCCCCCCCAAGTCTTAAAAGTTGGCCAGGTTGGACCCCACCCCCCGCCTAGGCTGGGATTGCTGTAAAGGATTCCAGTTGCTACTGTTACTGCTGTTGCTACTGTTACCATTACCCACCCAGCAATCCAGACACTCACCTTTCCAACCAGGAAACAGCCGCTTCCTCTTGGCGGATCACCTGACAGATCACGTGATCATTCGCCCACCCACCCATGCCCGCGGGGGTTCATCTCTGCTGCGCATGCGCTTGGAGAGGGAACCGGGGGTTGCGCGTAGAGAAAGGCGCTGGGGAGGGAAAGGGGTCTGCGTGCGTCGAGGTGTCCGCCTGGGGAGGGGGCTCTCTGGGCCCCAGCGATGGAGGCTGGGGTCTTCGTCCCCCACTACCACCCAAGGACAGGCCCATCCCCTCTCCCCCCCCTCGTCTAGTCCCGTGGCTGCTGAGCCTTTCCGAGTGCGCAGGCGCCGCGTGTGGCGCTCCGAGGCTAGCAATGCAAAATTGCAAATACGTTAAAAAAAAAAACCTTCAAGTTTTGACATAGATGAGAATCTGGAGGGAGGGAGGAGCTGGAAGTGCAGCCAGCTGGGTGTGTGTTAAGACGGGTGGATTTGGACTCCCAGAATTCCCCAGCTAGCATGCTCTTTCAGTTGGGTGGACTTCAACCCCCAGAATTCCGCACTCAGCTTTTTGCTGTGTTCTAGATCAGGGGCTTCCAGTCTTGGCAGCTTTAATACCTCTGACCTTCTAAAAGTTTGGAGGGAGGGAGGAGCTGGAAGGGCAGCCTCAAAATTCTCCCGCTGGGCTGTGTATGATGGGTGGATTTCAACTCCCAGAATTCCCCAGTCAATGTGTTTTAAGATGGATGGGTTTGGGAGCCCTAGAATTCCCCAGCTGGCGTGTATTAAAATGGGTGGACTTTGACCCCCAGAATTCCCAACAGTTGTCTTTTTAAGCTAGGACTCAGAGGTAGGCAACCTTGGCTCTTTTACGACTGGTGGACTTCAACTCCCAGAATTCCTGAGCCAGTGTGACTCACCTTGGAAACCTCTCCATTTCCCCTCAGCATGGGTGGCTCAGGAATTCTGGGAGTTGAAGTCCAGCAGTCATAAAAGAGCCAAGGTTGAGAAATACAGGCCTAGGCCAGGGGTAGGCAACCTTGGCTCTTTTATGACTTGTGGACTTCAACTCCCAGAATTCCTGAGCCAGCATGGCTCAGCTTGGAAACCTCTCCATTTCCCCTCAGCATGGCTGGCTCAGGAATTCTGGGAGTTGAAGTCCACCAGTCATAAAAGAGCCAAGGTTGCCTACCCCTGAGCTAGGTGGATTTGGCCTCTCCCAGAATTCTGGGATTTGAAGTCCACCCGTCTTAAAAAGTTGCAAAACTTGAGAAACGCTGAGATCTTTTGAGGAGAGGCCTGCTCTGGATACAGCAGAACAGTTCCCTCCACTTTCAAGAGGAATGTCTTTTCTCCTCCATTTTTTTTAAAGCAAGGAAAAAGCCTCAATATTTGGCGAAAATGGGCATTTCTGGCAGCCCTTCACTGCCTGGCATAGCAGTGCTCAGCTGGCATCAACAGCAAGCCTCTCTTTAAAAGTGGATATCCACCCCAGCTTAAAAACACTCTGGCTTGGGAATTCTGGGAACTGAAGTCTTAAAGTTGCTAAGGGTGAGAAAGGCCGGTTTAAGGTTGAAGATGGCCATGGGCAGTAGCCTCTTTAATAGCCAGTGGCTATTGATGCCGGTATAGGAAGAAGAACTGTTGATGAAGACTTTTCATGCAAACCCACGTCCTGCCAGCTCTTTTCTCAACCACACAGCTTCCCCCTGTTTACACAGCAAGTGAAGAGTGTGGTGCAGAATCAGGAACCGCAAGAGAAGAAGGAAGAATGAAAAACTCGCTATCCTTAGCGTGCTGAAAAAGGTGCAAAAACGAAACCACCGTGTGTTACTCTGCTTCCTGTATTTTCTCTGAAGTGGTCGGGAGTAGGTCGAGCTGTAGTAGGAGGGCGTCAGCAGGTGCTAAGAAACCGTGGTTAGAACCGGAGAGGAAAGAGAGCAAAACACTTGCAAACACAGCATATCTGCGTCTCTCAATCTCAGCAACTCCCAGAATTCCCCAGCAAGCAATGCAGGATGGAGAATCCTGGGAGTTGAAGTCCATGCATGCTGTCCAGAGAATTCAGGCAGTTTACACATGCTGGGTGGGGAATCCTGGTAGTTCACACACTGGCTGGGGAATTCTGGGAGTTGAAGTTCACACATGCTGGCAGGGGAATTCTGGGAGTTGGAGTCTGCACATGCTGTCTGGAGAATTCTGGGAGTTGAAGTTCACATGCTGGCAGGGGAATTCTGGGAGTTGAAGTCTGCACATGCTGTCTGGAGAATTCTGGGAGTTGAAGTTCACATGCTGGCAGGGGAATTCTGGGAGTTGAAGTCTGCACATGCTGTCTGGAGAATTCTGGGAGTTGAAGTTCACACGCTGGCAGGGGAATTCTGGGAGTTGAAGTCCAGGAATGGTGGCTGGGGAATTCTGGGAAGTCCACATACCTTAAAAGTTGCCCAGATTGAGAAATGTCAGATTAGGGATTAGGCACCCAGCCCCTTCTGTCTGTCATCTGATGCCATTTTTAATGACTATTTTTTGACTCAACAACTTAATTTTTCAGCCATTAATTTGCAAATTAATGCAATTCCTGGCTTTTGTCCTTTCTGCATAGGTGCTTGGTTCATTTTCAAATTACAGCCATGATAGTCAATATTAGCCTAATCTTGCATTTTCAAATTTACTCTATTCAGAGATAGTTTTGAAGGTAAATCAGAACCAAGCCTTGTTAGAATTTATGGATTAAAACTAACACTTTGAAATGTACCCACATACTTGCTGATAACTGAAATAGGAGGACCAACTACACTGGTGTCATATTGCTGTGGCAACATCCACTAGCCAACATGGGCCACTTTATAATGCCTTGGTAAGACCACACTTTTTGGTCACCGCGATATAAAAAAGATGTTGAGACTTTAGAAAGACTACAGAGAAGAGCAAAAAAGATGATCAGGGGACTGGAGGCTAAAACATACAAAGAACGGTTGCAGGAATTGGGTCTGTCTAGTTCAGGGGTAGGCAACCTTGGCTCTTTCATGACTCGTGGACTTCAATTCCCAGAATTCCTCAGCCAGCACGGCTCAGCTTGGAAACCTCTCCCTTTCCCCTCAGCATGGCTGGCTCAGGAATTCTGGGAGTTGAAGTCCACCAGTCATAAAAGAGCCAAGGTTGAGAAATACAGGCCTAGGACAGGGGTAGGCAACCTTGGCTCTTTTATGACTTGTGGACTTCAACTCCCAGAATTCCTAAGCCAGCACGGCTCAGCATGGAAACCTCTCCCTTTCCCCTCAGCATGGCTGGCTCAGGAATTCTGGGAGTTGAAGTCCACCAGTCATAAAAGAGCCAAAGTTGCCTACCCCTGGTCTAGTTTAATGAAAAGAAGGACTAGGGGTGACATGATAGCAGAGAACCCAAATTGTTGGGGGCAATATGCTGAGTCTGTAAATCGCTTAGAGAGGGCTGTAAAGCTCTGTGAAGCGGTATATAAGTCTAAGTGCTATTGCTATTGCTGCTGCAGAGTTCCAATATTTGAGGGGCCACCACAAAGAAGAGGGGGTTAATCTATTCTCCAAATCATGTGAAGGCAGGACGAGAAACAATGGATGGAAAACAATCAAGGAGAGTAAAAACCTAGAACTAAGGAGAAATTTCCTGCTGGAACAATTATTAGATTTAGTTTTAGTTTAATCAAACTATAAGCTGTTAGCTGATAATGAACTATAAATTTAGTTTTAGTTTATGGGTATATACATTTGCTTAATCAATCAAACAAACTGTATGGATGGAACTTGAGGAAAATAGAGATTTGCCTGACATTTTTCTGGTACCTTTAGAGATAAATCCAGTGTAGATTAGTCTTAGATTTTCAAGTTTCATTCCCTCCAAACTTTAGTGGCGGGTTACAATTGGACTATTATTGTTATGTATTTATGAAAAGAGCAATGGATAGAAACTAATCAAGGAGAGAAGCAACATAAAACTCAGGAGAAATTTCCTGACAGTGAGAACAATTAACCAGAGGAACAGCCTGCCTCCAAAAGTTGTGGATGCTTCAACACTGTGGAGGTTTTTAAGAAGAGACTGGACAGCCATTTGTCTGAAATGGAATAGGGTCTCCTGCTTGAGCAGGGGGTTGGACTAGATGACCTCCAAGGTCCCTTCCAACTCATTCTGTTGTTATTCTGCACTTTGAACTCACAATACTATCCTATCGGTCTTTAAACTTAGCCCCATACAAATTACACTGCTCTACTATTGTGGTTGTAGCTGTATGTAGGGTTAGATCTGACCACTGATGTTTTCTGAAAGGCTCATGAAGTATGAAGTTCATCTTAATACATGTACGAAGTTCATCTTAAGGCAGGGGTGAGCATAGCTGACTCAGGAATTCTGGGAGCTGAAGTCCACAGGTCATAAAATTGCCATAGTTGCCCCCCACCCCTGCTCCCCCTCCTCTCCCCATCTTAAGGGATAGAAGCAGTTCCATTATGACATTCTGAGCACCACTATGCAAAGTGAAAAAAAATGTTGAGTTTCTCTCTTGTTTTTACATCATGGATTCTGCCCGTTGATGGTAAATGATGGGATTTCTCGAAAGAAAACTGTTGGGTTCTCACAACTGCCGAAAGACAAGTCATGTGGGCAAATGGTTCTTCCCATCTCCTTATTCTTTGTCTTCTTGGGGTATTGGACGGTCCAAAGCTGGCTGGAGACTTTTTGACATTTTGATGCAAGGGTGGCTTGACTGATTTTCTAAGGTGGCCTTTGGCTGGAGTTTCCCAAAGCCGGCGATGAGAAAGGCAGAGGGGCTTCCAAAGGAGAAGTCTGTGGATGATTGAGGAATTTGAGAAAAAACAAGATGTAGTCGTTTTCCTTGCTGTGTCGGCCACTTTAAATGGATATTCTGCTCGATTTGGGTAATCAGACCCAAGAAGTTTGGGGTGGGGGAAAACCAGGACGTTATTGTCGCCATACCTTCAAAAGAGGAAGCGTCTCAATAGTAGAGGTTGGAAAATAATACAATGCAGGCAGAACTGAGTTGCAAGGAGGACATTTTCCATCCGTTTCAGAGAGTTTAGAGTTTTCATCTGTTTCCTGTTTGGAATTTCTGGCAAATGCAAGGCTGAAGTTCATCAGTGCCATCCTAGAGGAACTGGGGGCTCCAGAAGGGCTTTGTGGCCCCACAAATATCCTTGGCCCGAGCGATGTGTCTTAGATCTTTAATATTCAAACCATGTCATGCTACCTCAAACCTGTCGGCGGGAAGTTCTCTTCTGCAGAGATAAAATCAACGCACCTGTTTGACTTCCTGTTCAGACGGCCTTCTTCTCTCTTTTGCCCGGTTTCAGAGCATCTTCATTCATGGTGAGTTAAGATACCACCACGTGCGTGGTCAACATTTGGAAATTTTGCACTGCGGAATGGAATTTTAAAATGTGCTTGCAAAATGAATTCCTGTATATAGATGTTGGAAGATCAGAGAGTGATCCAGTATTGTGAGCTGTGATGGGCAACGGGACTTACAGATCTAAAATTGATGAAGTTGGGGGGGGGGGAAATCCGAATACCTTCAGATGCAATAATAATAATAATAACAACAACAACAACAACAATTGCTTGAATATTAATATTCTAAAGTATTCTTTTCTGTTTAACGGAATGATGAATACTTTGCCTGGAATTCTTTTCTTTGGACTTTTGTGCCATCAAATGCAAGTAGATGTAATTGGTCCTAAGGAAGAAGGGCGAATGAAATAAATTTAGTTTTAGTTTAAACAAACTATAATCTATTAGTTTACAATAAAGTACAAATTTAGTTTTAGTTTATGGGTATATCAATTTGCTTAATCAATCGAAGTGTACGGATGCAACTTGAGGAAAATAGTCACAGATTTATCTGATTTTTTTTTCCTGTACCTTTAAAGATAAATGCAGTGTAGATTAGACTTAGATTTTAGAGAGTCATTACCTCCAAACTATAGTGGTGGGTCACAATCGGGCTATTATTGTTACGTATTTATGAAAGGAGCAATGGATGGAAACTAATCAAGGAGAGAAGCAACCTAGAACTCAGGAGAAATAATGGTGAGAACAATTAATCAGTGGAACTCCTTGCCTCCAGAAGCTGTGAATGCTCCAACACTGGAGGTTTTTAAGAAGAAATGTCTGGTATGGTATAGGATCTCCTGCTTGTGGGGGGGATTAATATAGAATAGAATATTGCTGGAAGGGAGCTTTGAGGTCTTCTAGTCCAGCCCACTGCCAAAACAGGAGAATCTATACCATTTCAGATAACTAACTGACTCTCTGTTATTCTGGAGCATCCTAAACACAGAATACAATACTAATTGAATGGATAAGGCAGAAGAAAATATTCAGGTAATAAACTATATATAATAATAAATAATTCTGCAGCAGAAGAATTATGTTGGGGACTGATACGATATTTCCCCTTTTCTTGGAAGATCTCTGTGATACGTTTTCAGTCTGTTAAATAAGCTTGATTAGCATTTGCTTCCCTTTTCATTTAACTTTCCCATCTTTCTAAGAATAACCAATCAGAAACTCTATTATGATCACTCCCAATAATAAGATTAAGACGAGACAAACTTTATTGTTATTTTTCTGTACATACCGTGGCGAGCGGTGCGGTAGCGGTGAAGGCATTCGCCTGCCACTTGGAAGGGTGGGAGTTCAGCGGGCAGATGGTTTTTCTCTCTCCTGGGGTGCAAAGAAAAAAAAAATCTGCTGCAAACTCCACGTAGATGTCAGGAAGGGCATCGGGTCAGTAAATAATAATAGTAGTAAAGTTGGAAGAGACCTTGGAGGTCATCTAGTCCAACTCCCTGCTCAGGCAGGAAACCCTACACCATTTCGGACAGATGGCTGTCCAGTCTCTTCTTAAAAACTTCCAGTGTTGGAGCTTTCACCGCTTCTGGAGGCAGGTTGTTCCACTGGTTAATTGTTCTGTCAGGAAGTTTCTCCTTAGTTCCAGGTTGCTTCTCTCCTTGATCAGTTTCCATCTGTTGCTCCTTATCCTGCCTTCAGGCGCTTTGGAGAAGAGCTTGACTCCCTCTTCTTTGGGGCAGCCCCTGAGATATTGGAATCCTGCTATCATGTCCCCCCCCTTGTCCTTCATTAAACTAGACATACCCAATTCCAGCAGCCATTCCTTATATGCTTTAGCCTCCAGCCCCTTAATCATCTTTGTTTCTCTTTGTACTCTTTCTAAATGCTCAGCTCCATCCAGTCACCCCAACCTTAGCGTGAATTAAGGAATTAAAGGACCCTGGGGGGGGGGGAACGGAGTTATGTATACAGAAAAATGCACATTAAAAATGAAAATCTGATGCCCACTCTTGGAAAAAAAAAATAAAAACCCAGGAAAATCTCAGGAGATATCTTTTGCAGAAATTCCTGAGACAAAATACAGAACAGGCTGCCGCTTTTATTTATTTATTTGTCCAATTTATATACTGTAGGGCACCCATTTCACAAAACCAACGACTCTGGGCGGCATGCAACCTAGCTAAAACAATGAATAAGTAGCTAAAACCGTGTTAATGTTTCACAGGTGCTCTTTCAAAAGGCAACTGGACTGCGTTTTCTCCTTGAGGAAGAAAAAGACATTTTGCTTCTCATCCAAGTTTTGATGAACTGAAGATGCTTCTTGGATGAGAAGCGAAACATCTTCAAGGGGAAAAAAAAACAAGTCCAGTTACCTTTGAAAAAGCACCTTTGGGACAACCATGGATGATTGAGAATCTCCATAGAGATTTAACCTTATTAATGATTAAAAAAAGAACAACTATAAAATTTATGATCATAGAGAATTTTAGATCTTGATCAGGATGGCGTATCAACTCAAGGTGATGATGATAATAGTAATAATGATGATGATGATGATGTTGGAAGGGACCTTGGAGATCATCTAGTCCAACCCCCTGCTCAGGTAGGAAACCTATACCAAATGACTGTCCAGTCTCTTCTTAAAAGCTTCCAGTTTTGGAGCATTCACCGCTTCTGGAGGCAGGTTGTTACACTGATTATTTGTTCTAACTGTCAGGAAGTTTCTCCTTAGTTCTAGGTTGCTTCTCTCCTTGGTCAGTTTCCATCCATTGCTTCTTGTCCTGCCTTCAGGTGCTTTGGAGAAGAGCTTGACTCCCTCTTCTTTGGGGCAGCCCCTGAGATATTGGAAGACTGCTATCATGTCCCCCCTCGTCCTTCTTTTCATTAAACTAGACATACCCAATTTCAGCAACCGTTCCTTATATGCTTTAGCCTCCAGTCCCCCAATCATCTTTGTTGCTCTTCTCTGAACTCTTTCTAGAGTCTCAATCTCTTTTTTTACATCGTGGTGACCAAAACTGGATGCAGGATTCCAAGTATGGCCTTACCAAGGCCTTATAAAGTGGTATTAATACTTCACGTGTTCATCAAGACTCACGTTGAACACACTGAGCAAAATGGAGATGTTTGCATTTTATTTATTAAATTTGGAGACTGCCCATCCTATAATTTTGACCGACTTTGGGATGGGGGTGGGGATAATGTTGCACACTAGCTGGGGAATTCTGGGAGTTGAAGTCCACTTATCTTAAATGTGGCCCAGGTTGAGAAACACAAGCAGTGTGAATAACTGCGAGATTTATGGGTCAGAGAGAGAACTACAACATTGCATCATCCCAGCTGCAAACATAGCTAAAGAAAGAGAATAATAAAACAAAATATCAGACAGGCTGGCTACCCCTGTATTTTGGATTGCAACAGGGCTACCCAGATAACTATATTTACACATTTTAAGATTGCTGGGATTGAGAAACCCTGTACTAACAGATTAAATCTATTCTTCTCCCATTGCTCCTCTGGAACTTTTATCTTTCTCTTTTTTCTTTTTTTTTGAAAAGAGATGCAAAATCTGATCAGTCAAAAGCTGCCCCTATATAATAAACCACAAGCATGAAACCCTGGTCTTTTATCTGAGTGCCTGGATGTAGACAGGCAGATTTTATTTTTTACTTTTTATTTTTGAAGCCATAATTATCTTGGGTTAGGTTTCAGGGAGAAAGGGGGGGGAGCTTATCTTTATATCCAGAAATCCTTCTTCCCGTAGAAAAGTCGAGATAACAGAGATCTAACCTATCTGCTTTCCTTAAACGTTAAGCTGACTTGGCTTTGCTTAGAGATTATAGATTATTGCTGGTCTGAAAACGACGGCCCGTTTGCAATGCCCCAGCAAGGCTGCAATAGAATTTTTCTGTTGACAAATACGTTTTATTAAAACGCACAAGCTTTTACGAGCTGCTCTGTTGCCTCCGATAAAGCCCGCTGCATTTCACAGAACTTGAAATGTGTTAGTCACTGAGAAAGGTGCTATCAGACTTTGGTTGAATTTTGGTTTTTTTGTGTGTGTGTTTTTTCCCAAATAACATTGTAATAAACATTTTGTTGCTAAAGTATTATAATAAACATTTCGTTGTTGTTTCTAACAATGCTATGCTTTGAGCTGCAGATTGGGAAAATTGATGCCTTTTCAATGTTTTTTTTTTTAACTGCACGGTAAAGATTTCTACCAGATTTCTTTTTGATTTTTGTATACCGTAAATCAGGGGTAGGCAACCTTGGCTCTTTTATGACTCGTGGACTTCACCTCCCAGAATTCCTGAGCCAGCCATGCTGAAGGGAAAGGGAGAGGTTTCCATGCTGAGCATGCTGGCTCAGGAATTCTGGGAGTTGAAGTCCACAAGTCATAAAAGAGCCAAGGTTGCCTATCCCTGGCCTAGTCCATTGTTTCTCCACCTTAGCAACTTTAAGATGTGTGGACTCCAACTCCCAGAATTCCTGAGCCAGCCATGCTGAGGGGACAGGGAGAGGTTTCCATGCTGAGCCACGCTGGCTCAGGAATTCTGGGAGTTGAAGTCCACGAGTCATAAAAGAGCCAAGGTTGTCTACCCCTGGTCTAGACTTAGTGTTTCTCATCCTTGGCCACTTGACGATGGGAGGACTTCAACTCCCAGAATTCCTGAGCCAGCCATGCTGAGGGGAAAGGGAGAGGTTTCCAAGCTGAGCCATTCTGGCTCAGGAATTCTGGGAGCTGAAGTCCACCAGTCATAAAAGAGCCAAGGTTGCCTACCCCTGCCGTAGATTAACACAGATTAAATGCCCTTTAAAACATGTACAGGTAGTCCTCAATTTACGACCACAGTTGAACCCCAAAGTTCTGTTGCTAAGCGAGACAGATGTCAAGTGAACGTTGTCCCATTTTACAACCTGTCCTGCCACAATTGCTCAGTTAGTAACAAGGTTGTTAAGTGAATCTGGCTTCCCCATTGACTTTGCTTGTCAAAAGGGGGTCGCATGACTGC